ACTATATTTTACCTTAAACAACCGGATATACCCCTACATAAGTAATTGTTTAACCACTAAGATTTTATGAATAATGTTTTTTACTAAGGACAAATGTGTAACTTGATCCATAAAAAGTCAAATTGGACAATAATTTTGGGACAAAAGTTTTTGGGCAAAGTGGACAATAATTATGGGACGGAGGGAGTATTAAATAAAGTACAAAATGATTTTTTTTTAAAAAAAATATTAAATGACAAAAGAATACCAGTTAATATATTCTTAATTATTTTGGTAAAAAAAAACTAAAGTACGATCAAATCATTTCAGTTAAATTGTATAAGAAAATGTTAAAATATAAATAAAACTTAAAGTAATTTAGTGTGTGGGTGAAAATTATCGACTAAGTTCTTGCAGGCACATCTTTACTACCATACGAGCATATCACCTAATTCCTTTCAACTTTAAATAACTCACAATAAAAATAATCTTAGTAACTCTTAATATTGGATGGTTTCATGGAAAAACAAACAAAAGAATTACAGATTTATCCCAATATATTTTAAAATGCTCATTTTGAACACAGAAAAAACTCAAAGTATCCACACTCATACTGACTATGATTGACTATGATTTGTGACAGTACTACAATAACAAAAAGGAAAAGAGAAGATGTTACATTAATTTAAAACTTGGGCAAAAAAAATTAAAATCACACAGACATATATAATTATACAGATTTTTGTTTTGCAGAACTGCAATCATATGAAGGAATTTCATATTTCTTTAATTTGGATCAAGAGTACAATAATATATACAAACAACCATCACATATAAAGTGGCCGAGTTTTTCGGGAATCTCCTAAAGATTAGAAGATCAACGTTGGTTTTGCTTGTTAGTTATAATCCAAATTAACACACACGCATGAGTCATGTATGTCATGGGTTTCCGGTTGTGGGTAAAAGGAAAAGTTCAGCAAACAAATTTGAAGGAAAATAATCTTACGTTTGACTGAGAAAGAATACCTTATGATTACGTTGAAAATCAGTTCCTAGGGGAGAGCGAAGTGGGAGGGTTTTGGAGGAGAGTGTTGGTTAAGTGGGGAAAAAAATCTTATGGTTGTAAATGACACAAAGACAAAATTTATTTACACATCTTCATAACCGTTCACTCTTTCAATTCTCATATTCAAAGACATTACTTTTCTAATTAGATTATTTTTTTTATTTACTTAATAATGACATGAAATGACTATCAAAATCTTTCTCATATTCACTAATTATAATATATGTTGATAACAATATCTTTTACTGTTGTTTATCTTTGGGTACAAAATTAAATGAACATAAATAATTCTCAAAAATCACCTTCTTTTTTCTTTTTCAATTTTTTTTTTAAACTTATTCCCTTGACTGAAATTAATTTTGGTGGGTAACATCGACAAACGTAAATGCAAGAACAATTTCTTGGAGAACTTTTTTGATACACACGTTGTGGAAAATAGGAAGCAAGTTCTGGCTTGAAGAGCTAGGATATGGTCATTATAGATAAGGATTTTCTTTTTCTTTTCATCAACTACGACATACATTCGTCAAGTACAATACACACTTTAATATTGTAGATTGTATATTTTGCACGTAGCTAATTAACTAATTACTTTTTGGTAAATACTATATATCTCCAAAAAACCAAAAAAAAAAAAATCCCTTTGGACTCCAAATATGGAAAAATTAAAATAGAAAGTGGTGGTCATTTTCGGGCAGGATATTTCGGGTGATGTTTCGTCCATTTTCAGGTGTCGGGTAAATTTGTGGATGTAATGTAAAAGCCTATAAGGTACTTACTAGTCGACTACAATATTTTCCCGAGAAGATGGGGATATATACCAAATTACCAAAAATATGAAACAGTATTGTTCAGAAACCAACCAAATTTCTGATAGGGAAAATTAGTAAAGTCAATCATAAATTTAACACTAACACGATTGCTAGATATAAAAGTCATGGATCATTCTAAAACTGGAAAAAGAAAAACCAACCTTGAGAGATCCTTTAGCTAATTATAGCTAATGATACTTAAGGAAACAAAACATAACATTTACAGTAGTTAACTAAATATTCAGTTTATCTCAATTTATTACATTACTATTATCATTATTATTTTTTTGAAATTAAATACTCCCAGCGAGAATGGAATCCTCAACTTCTTGATAATAACCATCCCTAATAAGCTTAGTTTTGTTTATTTTATTACATTTTTTTAATTTAATAAAATAAACTATTAAAATGAAAACGAAAGAGTATTCCAGTACAACAACGACAAAACTTTTTGGTGACAGAGAATATAGATCACTATTCCAAAACCTGCGTGTTATTTTGGGTTATTATGTTCATTGATGATTTTCCAATCACATGCAGAATAAAATTCTAAGAGAAGAAATCGTTTCAACCAGCCAGCAGCCTCGATTCCGTTTCCTGTCATTTTTCATATGCCCAATACTCCCAGAAGTTGCGTGGCTCATTTTGATTTTAGTATATGATGGTTAATTCAGAATTTGTAACCAGAATTTTAGTAAATGATTTTAGTATATGAAATTATTAATTTCAATTAATTCGAATATGAATTAAATAAGTATTTTTAACAAGACAAAACACTTTTCCGGAATATATTTTTAATTAATTACTGTTGTTGTAAGTTTAGTTCTTCGATTCATACTTTTCTTGGCTGTGCTGGACAACATCGACATTAATGAAGTTTTTAGTTTGCATTTCATAGTTACTTCAGTGTGAGAGAGAGTAATTAGTTAGTGGTAATCTGTTACTACTAGACTAGATGATGGGAATAAGTAACTCTCTGGCTGTAGTTTATGTTGATCATTGTTTCACAAATCAGGTGTTGTTAATTAATTGCGAAATGATTAACTTTAATATCAGAACCAAACTAATTGTTTTGTACATATATCTTCCTAAACACAATTATTATTATACAAGATTATAGTGACTAGATATAGTATCTGCCTTTTGTTTTCTTCTTTTCTGTCTATAGTACAAAAAGAATATATTCCCTTTGTTTTGTAACAGAATTAATCCCATTTCAAAAAACAAAATTAATCATCCAAATATTATAACAAAAAGGGGATGTTCATATATGCGTGCACAAGAACACAGTTGTGACTTGTGAGAGAGTAGTGGAGTCATGTTGCTAAAACATTTGCAAAAAAAGGTAGCACCAAGTTTCTCAGTCAAGCCGGCGTTTATTGTGGGATTACACTTCATATTCAACGATGTTCAACACTATATGCAAGGCATTTGGAAGTAAAACGTCGAATACCGTTTCTTATACTGTTTTAGTTCAACGAACATATATATACATACTATTGTGTTACTGTTCAAATTAGAATGAAACCAAATGAAGGCTATAAGAATCTATTCTGAGGTTTGATTCTTTCCAAACACGAAGTCAGGTCATCCTCCTGTTCGGTAGGTACATTTGAAACCATTAAGTAAGCCAACAAATCGCGCCCATGTGTTATGTGTAGACAAGAAATTTATGCTTTTTTAGGTAAATTTCTTAATCTTGAGAGTTGTGTTTAAATGTGAGTTTATAGAGTTGGGATTTGGATTAGTGTTCAGATATTGAAATGCTGCTTTTGAATTCTCGTCCAAAGGACTGACTCGTCACGAAGACAGAATATTAAAGAAGAGAGTGAGAGCAAACGAGTATTTGCTAACACAACAACCAAACTTTTGGCTTTTACGTTTGAACTTGATTGAACGCCACAAGATCCCGATCTCCATCCAACCAGATAGACAACCACATATTAGAACAATCACATTATAACATAAAATAATTAAGCCGTGTTGAGCTGAGAACTTTATATATTAGAACAATCACATTATAACATATATCCCTTTCGTTATAAAGAAATTCAATAAATTAATTTTTACGTCCTTGTGATTATTATAGTCTTGTTATTTTGAGACTCAAAATTACTTTTTTGTCAGTTGGATCATTATGCTGATCGATTTTATGAGGAAATTTATTAAAAGTTGCGGGCGTGGGCATCCTTTCCATAAATTAAGATCAATTAAGGTGAGGTGATTGTAATTTATTTTCATGGCATCTTTGGTGAGCAGGGCATTCCCAGAGTAATTTCATTTTCATGGTTCCAACTTCCAACATGACGTTGTAAGAATTTTTATACTCAGTCGATACTGGTATAACACGAAACAAAATATATTTGTTTGGGATCCCTATTTTATGTTTTTGAAAATCACTATTGTACGTTATTATTCAAATTGAAAATTTTTTTCTTTCCTTTTTTTTTAATTATTGAAATTGAATAAGTTATTTTTGACGATGTAAAAATCAGCTAACAAGTATTTTTATGAATGTAGAGTAGTATTTGCATGAAAAAGTCTGGTCATAATTACCCGATTTATAAGAAAAGTAACGGAGTAGTAGTAATAATAATGAAGACCAACACAACAAACTGAGAATGAGGACTGAGAGAGAGAGGGGGTCAAGCAGCCTAAGACCCACAAGCCACAATGTGAAATAATCAAACTATTCACTGACTCAAACTAATGTGTTCATGTCCAAAAGTCAAAAGTAAGAGATTTTCTTGTTAAAAACCACCACTCCTATTTTTTTTTTTTTTTTTCTTTTGTGAAAAAATATTGGTTCCAAAGTTTCTTACCATTTTTGGTGCTTATTCATTGAAACTTCCATGTTCCTCCCTCACTACTACCCTCACTCTTCCCACCCAAAAACGTGCTTCCCAACTCTCAAATAAAACCCAAAATAAAATAAACTGTATCTTGCTGCTTCTGCTGCTATAAATACTTCCCACCCTTAAACCCCTCTCTCTTGTCTTTTAAAACATAACCTTTACAACTTCACATCACTTCTCTCTCTCTCTCTCTCTCTCTCTCCTTCATTTGCTGCACTTCTTCTTTGTTTTAGTTTCACTTCTGATCTGCTCGTACTTATTAAAAAAAAAAACACCATCCAGAAAACGATGGAAAACTTGCCGAAATGCGGAGCGAATTACGCGGCGCTTACGCCGGTAAATTTCTTAAAGCGAGCCGCTATGGTGTATTCAGCCAAAACCTCCATCATCTACGGACAAGTCCGTTTCACCTGGCGAGAAACCTACGAACGCTGCCGCCGCCTCGCTTCTTCCTTAAAATCTTTGAACGTTGTCAAAAACAACGTGGTACGTTTTTTTTTTTTTTTTTTTAAATTTCATTTTCATTCATTTTTTTGTTTCTATTTATATTTTTTCATTAATATGATTTGTTATGTTTTTCTACAGGTTTCGGTGTTGGCGCCAAATATTCCGGCAACCTACGAAATGCATTTCGCAGTTCCGATGGCGGGCGCTGTCTTAAACACAATCAACACCAGACTCGATGCTAAGACCATTTCCACCATCCTCAAACACTCCGAGGCCAAAATCTTCTTCGTTGACTTTCAGTTCGTCCCCATAGCCAGCGAGGCCCTCCGTCTCCTCGTTTCGGAACCGGGAGTCGCCATGCCCCTAGTCATCGTCATCGACGATCTCGGTTCCCCGACTGGAGTCCGCCTGGGGGAGCTCGAGTACGAAGACTTAGTCCGCAGAGGAAATCCAGGATATGTACCGGAAGAAATTACGGATGAATGGGATCCAATCGCCTTGAATTACACATCAGGCACAACCTCCGCCCCGAAAGGCGTGGTTTATAGCCACCGGGGAGCGTACCTGAGTACCCTGAGCCTGATTTTGGGTTGGGAAATGGGAACTTTTCCGGTTTACCTTTGGTCCCTCCCGATGTTTCATTGCAACGGGTGGACTTTTACCTGGGGAATCGCAGCCCGGGGAGGAACCAACGTCTGTATCCGAAACACGACGGCTCAGGAAATGTACGACGCCATCGGAAACCACAATGTCACCCACATGTGCTGCGCTCCCATCATATTCAACATTCTCCTGGACGCCAAACCGCACGAGCGCCGGAGATTGACCAACCCGGTCCAGATCCTCACCGGCGGAGCCCCGCCTCCGTCTGCCCTGTTGGAGAAAATTGAAGCACTTGGATTTCACATCGTCCACGCATACGGGCTAACCGAAGCCACAGGACCGGCCCTGGTTTGTGAATGGCAGTCCCAATGGAACCAGTTGCCAGCAAATGATCGAGCCAAGCTCAAGGCACGACAAGGAGTCAGCATATTGACTCTTGCTGATGTTGATGTTAAGGATTTGGAGACAATGGAAAGCGTTCACCGAGACGGGAAGACCATGGGTGAAATCGTGTTGCGAGGGAGCAGCATCATGAAAGGTTACCTGAAAGACGAACAAGCCACCGCGAAAGCGTTCCATAAAGGGTGGTTTGTGACGGGGGATGTCGGGGTGATTCACCCGGACGGATACCTGGAAATCAAGGATCGGTCCAAAGACGTGATTATTTCGGGGGGTGAGAATATTAGTAGCGTCGAAGTGGAGAGCGTGATTTACAAACACCCTTGTGTGGTTGAAGCCTCTGTTGTGGCAATGCCACACCCCAAGTGGGGAGAAAGTCCTTGTGCATTTGTCACGTTGGCGAAAAACATGGACGCTGCCGGTGTTACTCAGGCGGATATCATAGCGCATTGCCGTCAAAATTTGCCGGCATTTATGGTGCCTAAGAAGGTGGAATTCATGGATGAATTGCCCAAGACTTCGACCGGGAAGATTCAGAAGTTCCATTTGAGAGCTTTGGCTAAAACTTTTGTGGTAGAGATGGATAAGGACGAGAAAACATCAAGCCAGCATCAAAAATCGCGACAGAAAGTTGATAATCGGACGGTTCGTGGTGGCGGATCGTACAACAGTGAACCGCACGAGCAGATTTTGGCACTATCTCGTCTATGAAAATCATGAATCTAAGACTTTTTTTCTTTATTTCTTTTTTAAATTCACAATTTGTTAACAGTGTTCTTTCCTGGAAAAGAAATGTTCATTATATATTTCAATATGCTTTGCAGAGAAGGAGAAAATCTAATATTACTATTATTATCGTATAGATAGACGGAATTACTTCCAATCCGATTCATGATGACTTGTAGTTGTCTCTTTTAACTCCTACATAATTACTTTATATATATGCAATTGTTGCAAGTTCGTAAACAAAAAGTGAGACAGAAAATCTCGTTTGATCCTATCCAAGTGCTTTGAATCCCATTTTCGGAATGCAGTAACAATGCATCTAATTGAGGTATTGCAATTGAACGAGAAGATTTATCAATGTTGGTTGTTAACGATACACCCTGCATATAAAAACAAATGAAAGATATAGCCACATGATATAGAGTTTGGCATTAATTTTTTCATCATCATGTGAAACAAACAATTATTAATCTCTGGAATAAGAACATTTGATGATATGGTTTGAATTGATTGATACCTGGAGAACTTTGCTACTTGTCCGTTCAGATTTAGGCACAGTTTATGCCAAAGATGATGTCGGGTGGGTATATCTTCATTGATAAAAATCTTTTTAATGATCTGACAAGGAGAAGAATGTTCCCATTAGCTAAATTATAACATTCTTTTTCAGTTTTTTATTTTCAAAAGAAACAAAAACCAAACATTTTGTTGGATTCTTTTTTTGGTCAAGATAATACTTAAAACTTGAGGTACATAAGGTACATCTTTAATCGTGCGCCTCAATTCATGATGTCCATTGTCCACAAATTTCACTTGAAGGTAGGTTGTATGAAACTTTTGTCCATTTCATCAAGTTGGAGTTTGGTTTGATCATACTCCCTCCCTTTCAAGATTATAGAATTTTGTTCATTTTACCATTCTATTCAATTTAAAAAAAAAAAATCACAAAGATTAGCAAATTTTGGAGATATACGATGCGGTGTCATGTACATATAAATTTCAAAAGCAGACGGAGTTGATGAATTAGGGAGCAAAAAATTGAAATTGACAAGTTTGATTCCTAGTTTATTGTTCAATAATCATGGATGCTGGTGATAGAGCCAGATGATCAAACCCGGTTTGGAATTGATTAGGGACGATTGCGCTGTCGATTATGTGGTGGTTAACTCTTAATTGACTCGCCAAACTAAATTGAAGGATCGCCACATCCAGCGTCTTAAATTTTGTCAAAATACTTTTAGAAGGTCGAAAATCTCTAGTTTGGACATATTTCCAGATCAAATGAGAGATTGTTGAACTTTGGGTATTAATCTAAGAAAGGCAATGGACACAGATGGTGTACGAAATGAGTATTGAAGATTACTTTATAGACGCAAATGATTAGACGTAGCAATAGACATAGTTAAGTTTGTCAAGAATACAGATATTTTTCAGGTCTCTAACAACAACAACCGCAATTTTGTCTCAGAGGCGACAACCGAGAAGATTCATACACGAACCCCACCCGCCCGACAAACGCCACACGGGAACGGAGTTTCATTTTTCACATTCGGTCGCAGAAAAAAATCAATCGGCCCCCACTTTCCTTTGTTAGTGATTTTGTGAATTATGATGATGATGAATAGATGAATATGATGATGATAGAGGGATGATAAATAGCACTGTAGGAACTCCATCCCATATGGGGGCCTGCTGCTTTCCGTGACTCGGAAAAAACAGAGGTCTAATCGCCAAAGTCTAACATCCTTTCTGCTTAGATAGTGGCGGAGAAGCCCAGGCCATTTGAGTTTGTCCAGGCCAATACAGAGCTATAGATATTTGATTCCACCGACAGTGACAAGAGCCTATTGTTTTTTCCGCTTTTACTCCGTTTGGCAGCCACACAGTATGGAGGCTATGCCGATGACAAACTCCTAACTTCTCAGCAGATTGTTTCAGAGTTCCCAATGGCATTCGTGAAAATTGGAATGGTTATTCATCCAAAAAGCACAACAACATTCACAACAATGTCCTTTCTCTATAGGTTTTTAGTGTAATGAGGAGGCCCCTAAACCTGTCCTTGACCACTCTCACCTCTATCTTGGTGGTGTCCAGTCAATGCAGTCAGCCACCACCACCATCATCATCAGAACGAAAGCAAACCTGGGGAAAAGAAAACGTGAAATTCCACGATTTTCCTACAAAAGGTATTGATAGAGACAGGAAGCCACAACACAAGTACGACTTTCCCCAGGTAACCCCTATCTAATCAAGCATCTAAACCTGAGATTAACAAGAAGCGTTGCGTTGCAGCATAGCTTGCATTGTTTTAATTTGTATATCAAAACCTTGACGGGTGATGAGAGAAAAACAACTGAAAGACCTGAACCAGGGCAATGTGGACTGACTTCGTTCAAATCTTATTTCGCAGTCTGCTTTGTAGTACTCTATATAAATTACAGTCTCCCCTTATCTTTTCTTTTTTGGTCCTCTTTATATCCCCTCTTTTATAAAGTTTATAAAGAATAAAGCTTACATTTTACTATAATAAGAATCCAGAGAAGAGTTTATACAATATGATCCAAACTCCACACAAACAACTATTACAGAGATCAATCGACAATTACATTGAGATTCGGAGATCATTGACGATCCTAATCAAGCACAGCATGTCGATGTTCGAGCACCATCCACTTGTCTATCAAGGATCATCCCTGCGGGAGTTTGTGCAGGTTGAGCTCTTGGTAACCTTCTCGCTGCATCAACCACAAAGTAATCAAGTTATATGGAATATACACCAACACCACATCCACAGAGAACCAAGTTTTCATTTTACTCCTTAAGCCAAGGTAGGTAAAACTCAACAGGAACCCAAAGAAGCAGGCACAGAAACATAGAGACACATATTCAACGAAATTTAACTCATAAAATGAACCACTTCCTATCTGAGTTGGTGGCGATACAACACCAACAAAATCATATGCAGCTATAGTTACATTAATTTCTTTTTTGCCAGAATAAAGCAATGACGTTGAGAAATACAACCCTTGAAATTCTTAGCCCATCCCATATTACACCAAAAATGGGTTGGGAAAAAAAAACCCAGAAAAGGACCCACACCAGATGAGGCAGACCATGAACATAAATCTTACTCAAACAGGACTGTTGATACAATTGTGGTTTATAAACTAACAAACAAATGAGCAAAGGGCTAGCATGGATACAATGTGAACATTTAATTAAAAGTCTATCTATCCCAGCATAAGTTACATCAAAACAAGCATTTGTGTGAAATCATTTGTAAACAGAACCAAATGCTGATAATTGAAATAAACATGAAAGAAGAGCCTTGATGATGCAAAGTGGAGGGACACTGGCGTATATAGACCAGTAAATGCCATTCCATGAGAATTTAGCATTATTGTTAAGCCTTTGGTATTCTTAAGACGTAAAAGATTCCGGGGTGGTGGTTTGAGGGGAAGGAAAACTATACACCTTAAGAGTGTGGATGCCACGGAGCCCGTGTTAAATTACAGCGAGCTATCAGTAGACATCCCAGTATCTTATTTAAGCCCCCACATGTAAAACATTTCTACAGGAAGATAAACTGCCAAGCTCTTCAATTGTTGGTGGTGGCTTACAACAATTGAAAGTCCTATGAGGCATCTTTTCCTACACCCTAAGATGTAACCCAAAATCACCGACTCCCCTCTAAATGATAGCTTTCAAGAAACTACAAACATTAATAGCGAGAGCTAGAAGCCTTCCTCCTTCAACCAAAAAACTAAATGTAGGAGCCAAGCAATACCATCAGGGGAACAGGTCAGAAGCAAACAGTTCTGATGAAAAGAGAGCAATCCTAGTTTCAAAGCAACACTAAATTTCATGACTCCAACCTACATTTTGAAGCTCAAGTTCCCATGATAGCAACATCACTCTGACAAAGACTGTTTACGATGCCAACAACAATCCCTTTAAGCGCGCAAGGAAATATCCAAATCAACATTAATAAATCTATCACCAACCATTCTATCCAAGGTTCAGTAATGGTATTACAGTAGATCACCTCTATGATAATTCATATGGCAGTTTGCACAAATCTATATCAGACATCAGATTTATCAGAAAATGAACCCCAATGGAATTAAAGGCACAACTAAAACATAGCTAATGAAAGATATTATAATTGGAATCCAGTTGACAAAGAGAACCAGGTTCAATTCCACCGAGGAAAAATGATTTTCATAAATTGCACACAAGCAAGAAGAAGAGGATAACACAAACCTATTTCATAGAAAATATCATTAACGTTTGCCGCTGTTTTTGCAGAGGTTTCCATGAAAAATAGACCATTTTCCTCTGCATATACTCGTGCTTCCTGGATATACAAGGTAGAAAAAATAAGCATGCAAATCCACTGCAGAGCAATGCTAACTTTCTACCCCAAAAAAACTAACACAAGTATGAAAGATACTTACTTCCGCGGTCACCTTCCTTTTTTCTTCTAGATCAGCTTTATTTCCTGCAAATGCCATAACCATATTTGGATTACCTGCAGCAAAACCATGAAGTGATCACGTAACAAGAAAAAAAGGCCCATTCTTATAAAAGGCGAAGATTCTTATTGTTGGAGGAGGAACATTAGACAAGCCAATTCTTCTCAGAGTGTTTCAATGAAATCAAAGACAAGAGTTGCAAATTTTAAAGCACAAAAGTCTCTGAGTAATCCAAGAACAAGAGCCAACGTGAATCACCTTGCTTTTGGAGTTCTTGTACCCATTTCTTAGCCCGTGCAAATGAATCCTGAAAAAGGAAACACCTCTTGAGAAATGCTACAAATTCACTATTCAATCAATAAATGGATGCTCAATCAATTCCGATTCACTTGCAGTAGGAAACACCAAAGGTACAAGCAGGAAAGCGCAATGAAATATACAAATCAAAAGGATAAACCAAAAAATTCAGATATCAAGCAAAGAATGAAACAAATGCTTCAAGGCTAATTCTCTGCCAATGTTAAAAAACAAGATAGTTACAACATCCAGTTCCACTAATCCGAGACATCGACTTAATGAGCTTGAAGAAGGGAGCACAAAATCATGCAAAGTTCAGTGGCTTTTGCCCGAAAAATTGCTAAGCAATTCAACAAATACATAAAATAGTGGCTGCAGAACCCCCAAAATTTTGCAATCCAGTGCATTAAATATACATGAACATTTATGAATTGACTAGAAAATGGGAAGTAATTACAGTGCTGGTAATATCGTAGACGATAATAGCAGCGGCAGCACCACGATAGTACATAGGAGCCAAGCTATGGTACCGCTCTTGGCCAGCAGTGTCCCAGATCTCGAACTTGACGGTGGCATTGTTCACCGACACGGTTTGTGAGAAGAACGCAGCTCCAATCGTCGATTCCTAAATCAATCATTAGAAATACCTGGTTAACAACGAAACACAAACACCCAACCATTCCCAAAAGTAAACAAAACCCTAAAATCCCAAATTCGCTAAAGGAGCAAGTTTTCCAATTCGATCAGTGGAAGAAATTGATAGCTCACCTGAAATTCAAGGAACTGACCCTTGACGAAACGCAAAACTAAGCTGGATTTACCAGCTCCCATATCCCCTAACAAAACCTGGAAAGGAACGAACACAGTATCCGATTGAGTTAAATGACCCTAAAAAAACACAGCTAATCTGTAATCAAATCGGGTAGGGGGGAATCAGGCACGCGCTTACCAGTTTAGCATTGAGATTATTGTGAGAGGCGGTAGCCATGGAAGATTTCTTGGTAATTGCTTGGGGGGCGGAGAATATTATTGCCAAAAAAATGAAAAGAGTTGGTCTTTGCCTTTGGATTGATCGGATACGAAAATAATGAAGAGAGAATAATAATAAGGGAAAAAACGAGGGAGGAAGGTCCGACCAAAGGACTCCAAATTCGTTTTTTGAGACGTAGGAATTGGGGCTGGCGATGACGTGGATTCGCGGTAATTTTTTAATGATTTTATTTTTTTGTTGGGCTGGGCTGGTGGTAATGACGTGCTTATCCAAAAGGGCTTTCCCCGGAATCTGGACTTTTCTCGGTGGTTTGACAAAATGCAAAATTATGATTGGGGACTTATATTATGTCCACCGACCGTGATGATTTGGGATGGCCGAACCAACCTGCATGAATAAATGCTGCTTATTAAACCTGTAATGATTAAGGATTCTTTTTTCACGTATATATAATAATTGTTAATATACATAATACTTGTTAAAAGATGATGGAGTAGTAGTAATCTTTATATTAGTCAAAATATGGGGTGGCTTGGTTTTGCTGCTATGATAAAGGCGCGACGATGTAAGCATAAAATTCAGATATTCAAAATCTCTAGATTAGTCAAATGTTGAGATCAAGTTGCATTCCCAGTGTGTTTCATTGAGATGTAGTTGTGTTAGTTCTGTTTCTTGTTTTTCAACTTGCAAAACTGTGATGCAAATTCATCTAATTTCAAGTGACACCAACAGTTTTAAAGGTTGCTGCTTAAAACTGGCTTTCAACCCAAATCTCAGTACAACTTTAAAAGACAAGAAGTTAAAACATTCGACAAGTTTAAACAAGGTTTCAAGCTTTCATAAGGTTCAACCCAAATCCGACTACAACTTTTAGAAAAAGAAATTAATAGTTTTTCACGGCTAAACAAGTCCCATTGCCTTTTTGCCCAGCAATTAGCAAGGAAGGAAAACAACTGAATGGGAAAAAGTAGGATGCTAGTGCATCTCTTATTAAGGGGGTGGATGCAGAATCCAACCATCTTCAAGAATCAAATCACATTCTTGATATCTGGAGAGGCACTGTTGATTCAAGGATTTCTTCCCTGCAGGAGATGAGCTGAATTCTGTCCCAGGATCCCAGTCTCTCCATAACATGCTTGCGACAGTTTTCTGCAGCCATCACTCCGGAAGAGTACGCCCCATGTACTGATCCCTGATGCTCCACACTAACAGCTTCGCCTCCGAAGAAGAGGTTCCCAACAGGTTCTCGGAGTTTGTCGTATATATCGGATGGGTTCCCGACCAAATCGTAAGAATAGCATCCAAGAGTGTTTTGATCTGTTCCCCACCTTGACACAATATACTTCACCTGTGAACAAAGACAGTATTAATTTTCTACTTCTTGTACACTTAAAAAGAAACAAGTTCTTCACGATACTGTAAATGCCTAAACAACGCAAATTAGCTTACAGGTTTTCTGGCATGAGGAAACATTTTCTTCAACTGTGTCATCACAAAATCAACTGTATCTTCATCTGAGAGCTTCTCGAGGTCATAAGCAAATCTCCCAGCTGCCATGTACACAAGTACAGGATTGCCTGTTGCTTTGTGAAGATTTAGAAAATAGCCACAGGCATATGATGTGGGAGCAGCAATTCCTAGAAGTTCCACATTGGGCCAAAAGGCTTCGTCAAATAGCAATGCGATCTTATTTTCATTTCCTACACCAAGATCTGATATTGCAGTAAGTTTCCATTCGGGCAAGCTGGGTTCAAATTTAATTAGATTAGCCTTGAGTACACCCAGGGGCACAGTAACAATCGCAGCATCCGCAACTACGATCCCGCCATTTTCGAGTGTAACCATCACCTTATTATAACCATTGGCAACCTTTGTAACCCTACATTCGAAATAAGGAATAAGGTTTCAGGTTAGTAAGCAAAGCATTTCTTGGCATGTGACAGTTAACAAAAACCGTATATTTCTCATATGTGATCTTATCTCCAGACTAATGTTATTGTAATGACACATTCTTAATCTCGTGTAACTAAAACCCACTATTATCTTCAGCAAAGTAAACTAGTTTAGCAGTATCCAATTGCATGCTGGTTCGGCAAAGTATAAAACAAAAAGATTCCTCTAAAGTCCGCAAAACACACACTTCCAAGTTTGATGATGACAGAAAGGGTAAGCATACCTATGATTCAACCGAATGTCAATATCTTTCGCCATGGCTTCCAATAATGGGAGATAACCTTGCACCATAAGCCCATGACCACCAGTAAGAACTTGCTCCTGAATGTGGAATAAAGGGAAGTTGTAAGAATCATGGGACAAACAAGAAAATAACAAAAAATATGGGTGGGCTGGATATCAACCATGTAACAAGCATAACAAAATTTAAGGTTCAAACATCAATGTTTACATAAAAATCATAGCGAATTTTAAAACCAAGCAAAAGAAAACGATGTGCATTAACTTACCTCATCCCAGTTTCTCAGAGATATCATGTCAGCATCAGCAGCAAACCATGCTTCCATTCTACATATGTACCATTGCAACACTTCGTAGGCAATTCCTTCTTGTCTAAAACATGAAAAAAGACTCTTATAAATAACAAATTAACACTTTCATAATATAGGGATAAAATAAGTACTAACAACGGCTGGTACCTCAATTCAGGATGCCTATCCAGCACAATTGATATTGCTTGCAAGACTGACATGTCCTTTTCATGCTCATTCCTCACTTTGTCCGTCTGCAACAAACTAGATTGATTAGTATACTTGAAACTTACTATAACTGAACAAATTTCGCATAGTGGATCCGTCGGAGTACCTCTTTGAGGATTTTCTTGAACACCTCTCCAACTTCTATAACAGTCTGCTGAGGAACTTGGTGGCCGTTGACATCAAAAAGTGCATAACTGAAAAGTACATCAAGGAAACAAACTTCAGCCAATAGAGGAGGTACAAGCAAGATGCAGTAGCAGCCACATTTAATATTTACGTGAAACAAATACATTAATATGCATGTACTAATTCAACATAATATATTGACGTGAAACGAGCGAATATCTAATTCACTAGCTACAATTAACTGGAAAGGAAAAACGATGATTCTACCTTTCCAAATCATGATCATAGAGCACTGAATTGTCGCCACTTGTTCGATAAAGAGTAAGCCCAAGACGGCGTATCAAAGGAGCCAAAGGGTTCTCATTGCACACACCATGTAACCTGTAAAGTAAACAAATATCAGTTAACTATCCAGTCATCATATATATTTGCTCATGAGATTCTTCAAGAAGAGAATAAGTAACAGATTGATGACAATTCATGGCATCATATGCTCTTTGATCTTCATTTCATTTTTTGCTAACTAAAATCGTCACTTATCGTTCCTCCAAAACTACCAATGCATGCAAAAAATAGATTTTAGAGCGAGGGGACCACAATTAAAAACAAGCAAAAGTATTAGAACCATTATGATAAAAGTAAATGTCGGATGAACAATGGGCAGTGCAAAGGAAAAAGGGATGAAAAATGGGCTTACCATGATGCTCCCATATCTATTGGGCAACCGAAAGAGTAATCGGTGAGGATGCGGCCGCCAATCCTATCACGTGACTCCAACACAACCACCTGTAAGAAAATAGAAAGTTTATCCAATTAGGTGAAAGAACGAGACATAAATTTAATCGATATCCCTTAATAAAGAGGAGAGAACGACAAACGTTGACGAAATCAATACCTTAAAAGATGCATTATGTAGGATACGAGCAGCAGCAATCCCAGAGATACCACCGCCAATTACGATGACAGAGGGTTGCGAACCTTGTCGCTTCTCGATGCGCGACAACAAAGAACCTAATCATTGCATATCAATACATCAGAAAAGATTCAGCCAATGCGTAGAAAAAGATAAAGAATAAAGTTACTATTAAAACATGCATGAAAATCAAGTAACTTTGTCATTTAACAAGCCGCTCGAGTATTTGAAAGGCAGTTAGACATAAAAGCCCCCCATTGAAAGGAAGCCATCAACATCAACATAAGCTCTCGAGATAAAGCTAAATAACTACCACCCTAGAACTTTGGTCCACCGGGATTTCTTCTTGGAACAAATTAACAAGATTCTCCCAAAAATATGTACATACTAAGAGCACCCTCAGCATCTGCCCTGAAACTACTCAATGTATCATCCCACACAGCAACAAAACGTAGCCAAGTTGGGATAAAACCAAGGAAGCAACTGAAAACAACATCATGATCTTCCTAATATAATTATGATTCATGCCTGTATGCAATTATGCGTGCAATGTGTGTGTTGGTTCAGATGAATGCACGAAATGAAACAAGTTGAGTTTATCACAGGGAAACAGGAGTGTCTCTAAACAAAGAATAGCAAAAGGAAATGCAATGTAATCATTCCAGGCCAAAACAGGGTAAAAACAAATTAAGAAAATCTGAGAATCCCAGATCATGCAAATTGAATTAAAGCAAGATCAATGCAGCTAAGCACAAAAAAGATTGAATTTTGAACAAAAGAAATTCATACTGACCGTCCAGAAAGTTGCCGGAAAACGAAGAATCATCATCACTGTCTTTAGTTTCCATGGAATTCAGCGGTGTAACAGCAAAAACAACAAGAGCCGTCCACAAATCCCCCCCCAAAAGAAAAACAGAAGAAAAAAGAACTCCCTTTTTTAACTTTTTTCCAATCTTCTTCCCTCTCCCTCTTTTCGCAGTAAATTGATCGAGAACTTTTGAACGATTTTTTTGAGAAAAATAAGAAATCCAAATGCAAAAGGATTGAATGAAAAAGAAAAACAAAATTACGGGTGTATAGGTAACAAGAAATTAGAGATCAATTTAAATGAATGGTAAAGGAGAAAAAGCATAAGGCCACTAGATGAACACCGCAACTTATCAAACCAGCTCATAATCACCGGAACAAAACAATGTGGTCTCCGTCCCCAACAGCGATCCAATCCAACAACGATGCCTTTAGCTTCGGCCGGTGCATAGATCAATTTTCACCTACAACCGGCTTGGATCAATAATAATTATAAAAAAAAAAATCAAATGAATCCCTTCTCAATTCTTGTTTTTTCTCTCTCTCCTCAAAACCGCTTCCGATTCTGATTTCTCCTCTGTATCGGCGGTGGAGGAGGTGGTGGGTTTGCGTAAGGAAGCTGGGAAGTTAGATGTTGTTGTTCTATTTATAGAAGAAAAGATTGAATATGAATATGATGAACAGGCCCATGAAATTACAAATATTTATAAATGATTTGTGATTTGGATTTTGGAAAAATCCTGCGTTAAAGTAGCAAATTTCACAACTTGCAATTGTTGTTGGGACACATACGATTGCGATATTTTCTGGGGTAATTTTGACTTTTGAAAATACTATTTCATTTTTTATATGCTTTTTTAAGATTTTCTTTTCCTCATATGAATATACTTACGTAATAATTACCTGGCATGTGAGAATGAAACCTGACAACTATCATCATATGCAAATTGAATGCAATTATTGGAAGCATATAATTCAGAGAATATACTGGACTTTTCTTCCAGAATATATAATATATAATATTCATCTTCACTTGGACAATTTGACTATGAGGACAATTTTATACAATTGATGGTCTCCTTTTTAAAATAAAAAAAAGAAAAGGAAAAGATTTTACTTTATCAAGTACCTTAAGACTATGTTTATATTTTTATTTTTAATTTTTCATATAAGCACCATTATTTGTACCACAATCATAATGATGATGACCTAATAAAACTAAATTTTTATTAAACTATAAAAATCTCTATGAATTTTGTCGTTAAATTATAAAAAAATCTCTATGAGTATCACAATTCTATATTCATAAGGTATGCGAACAACTAAGATTTGTGTGAAAAGTTACTTTTACTTTCAAATTAAAAAATAGATTAAAAGCTCAAAATGAGCAGAGAAACAAAAATCCTAGTTCCTCAAAATTTTAATACTGCATACTCTTATATTTAATTATTCCATGTTAAACTTGTCATGATTTCGATTTCATTTTTCCTCTATCTACCCAAAAAAAACCCCCCTTATAAATTAATATGGCACAAGCTCAATTACAGGTGTATTTTAATGACTCTTAATTGTTAGGTTATACATGTTTCACTATTTCAAGCTAGTAACAAAAATAGAATTTCCCAGTATTATTATTTTGTATAAATTTTTTTAAGAAAATGTGAAATAAATTTAATAAATAGATATAGATTTTATTATATATGTTGTATCTTCTATATATATATAATTCATATTTTTACATGCTATATATATTATAAACTCTATAATTTAATACAATTGGGCCCTCAAAATTTTATTAATTTATAAAATTGTTAATTTATTAATAGATTAATAATTTCATAATTTAGCAATTTTTTCAGTTATATTAATTAAAAAAAATTATTAAAATTCATGTCTTTCATAATGAGAAAATTCGATAACCACCTATTTATATTATTATAATTTTCCCAATGAAAAAAATACAAAAACTAAAAATATTAAAACAATAATAAAGTTAAAATCCAAGTTAATATTCATATCTAAATTTGTTATTTTAGGTATTTTTACTTTGTAAAACTATGAGGAGCTAGATTTACCTAAGGGGTTCTTGAAAAGTTATTATCTTATTAATTGATCCAATTTCTTTATTCTTGTACTAGTCTTGGGACTTAAAAAAGTTATTATTCAATAAAAGTGATCTATTTATAAAGAATTAATTTATAAAGATTCTACTTTATGAACAAGTACTCCCTCCGTCTCATAATGATTGTTCAGTTTGGATTTTTATTTATAGTTTAAATTGTACTAAAAGTGAAATCTCAAAGTGAGCAATAATTTTAGAACGGAGGGAATACATGTTACCAGCATTCAGTGTATGTAGAATCTTTCATATTCGCAGTACTAACCAAAAAATCAAACCACTTTTTTAGGAGATGTCAAATTGTGTGAATATATGTTTTAATCATTACAACCCATTCATATAAAACTTTAACTATAATCATAGTTCATCTGACCTAATGATGATACCTTGTACGAGTATTACCTAAACCTATATTCGTTGGTGTTCATTTATAAGGCACACATATATATAGTATTAAAAAAAAAAAAAAAAAAAAGCCCGCCAAAGTAGACTTACAATTCCCATAATACCCCCGTAAGCCGACATCACTCCCTCCCTTGGAAGGATTATGGGGACATGGGTCCAGCTCGACGACGTAGCTGGTGGTACACAAAGTGTGCCAATAATGGTTGATTGGTTATTACCCGGAAATCATCACTTTGCAAAAGTTAAAGAGGAAGAAGTATCCTTGTTTTGTTTTGGTTTGTTTTTTTGTGTTTTTTTTTTTTTTTATTATGATCTTGCACAAACGTGTTAAAGTATTGAATTGCACAATTTGGACAGATTTGCTATCTTTTAAACTATCACAAATCATCATCATCACCAATAATAAAAACTAAAAAGACCCGTGATGAGTTGAACTTTTTCCCTATTATAAATCTAAAGAAATAGGAAGAGTGGATTGGAATTGGTAGATTATAGGCCCTATATATAAGCCAAGCATTGCCAGGTCAGAAGTTAGGCCTTCAATGGTGAGGGGTGACAATGGATGGATTTAGCAGCAAATGGATGAAATCAGATAATTAGGTATATCCCTAGCCTCCAGTCTGGAGTAAATGCTTTACTTTGAGATCTTCCTAGAATGATCCCATTTCGTCACAATTCACTAGTATCATTTACTGGCCGTTTTTTTTTTTTTTTTTGCTATCGGCTGAGAAATTAAAGCCCAGACTAACTACCTAATTTCCGTCATAAAAAGGGCACATATGACATAACACAAACAAATCAAAATTAAAAAAAAATCTTACAAACAGGTTGTGTTGCCGGATGCATTTACGAGCGGTTATCAATCAATTTGTCCAAACCTTCAAGAAATTTCTATCAATTATTTTGAAATGTGCATCCATTACGGATCATTTCCGTAGTAATCACAACTTATAAATGTGAGGAAAAATCTCCATTAACATATCTGCGATAGGATTCGATCTTGAATCTCCACGAAATCTGTATAAGATTCTTCTTCTTTTTTTTTTTCCTATAAATGTGTGTGTTGAAATTACTCTTTTTTGTGCACACCAGCACTCACTTGAAGTTACATGGAAACCACAGGAAAAACAGATGCTTGATTCTGTGTCTGTTTTCATATTTTGGGCTACATGACAATATGTCAGTCTCAAAAATCTTGGAGGAAAGACGACGAAGAATCCAGTGTCACATGCAATGTCGAAGTTAGCCCACAAAACAATCCAAAATGGAGGACATGCTTGGCCCAGATTGGGACTGGTTGAACTCCGCCGTCTCAGCTGATAAAATGCATATGAATAATGTTACCACTGTATATGAATAATGAATTCAAATGTCATTTTCTTTAAAATAACTAAAGAAATGTAAACATCTTTGCTTGCTCTTTTGGTTATTTATGGTTTCTCTGGTCTAATTTATAACGCATATAGTTTTTACTTTTTAGACTAATTTTCTTTTTCATTTTTTCATTTTTTTTTTTGGTTGAATCATGACTAATAATTAGGTCCTGATGGTACAATGAATTCATTTTAAACAGTATCAACCTAATAATGTTACCACTGCTCTGCCTGTTGCAGCTGACTAAGCTTAGCACTGGCAATTTATTAGTTATTCACTTATTCTTTAGTATACAGTAGTACTAATCATTGTACTCAATCCATATTAATCAATTAATTAACTGACCAGTTGAAAATCTACTGTTAACGTTGTGTGTGTGTGTGTTGGGGGCGAAGGGAATCCAGATGATTAGGGCATCTCCAACCCAAAGCTCCTCTGAACTCTATATTTGGAGTTGAAACAGTAAAATTCTACTACTTTTACAGTTCAAACAGTGTAAACATCTCCAACACATTCCCTCTATAACATTCTTCTAAAAGGAATATTCTCAGCATATCTTATTATTTATTAATTTTTTATAAAATTAACTTTTGTTATTTGCATTTTATTATATTCTATTACTAAAATAAATTACATTTAAGAAATTTTATAATTTATGCATATGATCGTTAATTTAAATAATAGTTAGTAATATTAATTATTAAATTTAAATTACATAATTTTTATGTTATTACTTAATAGTAATTTTTTCACCATATATTATGTCAATTAAATAAAATTACAAATAGTAAAATAGCAAAAATATTTGGCTCAATGATAATAATAAAACACCGTTACTAATATTACATTTAAATTATTAAAAATACATAACAAATACAAGATGAAGGAGAAGTTCAAATTTAAAACCGGATTCAAGTTTGATAATGTTTGGGACACCCTCAAGAATTTTCAGTAATTTCAAGTCTAAATGAAGATTATTCTGAATCCATTAAGACTTTTAAATAATTTATGAATGGTTGACTTTATCAACCGAATTTATCGTTATTGTCTTTTTGGTGTTTGGTTTTGTGAGTCTAAATGATGTACTTTATTTTTTCTTATCGTATAATTTAAGTCTATCAATAATCAAAATAATGTATTTGTTTTGATTGTTTGTAGTTTTTTTTATGTGATTTTATTAAAAATAATATGTGTCTTATGATTTTATAATAAATTGACAATGGTTTCTTAGTCCATGTTAAAATACACATACATATATTTACTATTAAGACTTAAGTTCACTCATTAAAATGATAATTATGATTATTAATTTTGAGTTCTACAACTTAAATAATAATTAAGAATGAAATAGATATGTAATTAAATTATAATAATTAAATTAATTAAGATCTAAACTATTAAAAAGGGTTCAAAATAAAATAAATTGGCCCAAACAAATGAAAAGCCCAAACAAATCTTCTAGTTTGGCACAAATTTTAATTAAAAAAATAAAAAAAAGGGCAAGGTCCACAGTCTCCTTCAAGATTGAAAGAGCAGCGGCCCCTTTGAAGGAGCGGGCCTGGGCGGAGCGGGCTGCGTTGGAGAGCCCGTTCAGCTAAATCCAACGCGTCCGCTAATTTTGCGGACGCGTTTGAGATGCCCTTAGAGCAGCAGCGGTATGTAGCTTTAGCAGCTACAATCGGCTACTTACTTCGAGGATGGGATAATTCAACGATTGCCGACGCCGTATTGTAACATCAAGACGGAATTCCATCTGGAGACAGACCCAAAACTGGAAGGCCTTATTGTGGCCATGTCTCTAATTGGCTCCACTCTGATCACCGCATCCGCCGGTGGAGTTTCTGATTGACTCGGTCGTCGTTCCGTGCTGATCATCTCTGCCATCCTTCGTGTCGTGAGCGGCGTATAGATGTTATGGTCTCCCGGCGTGTATGCCCTACTTTTCCAAGGCTTCTCGATGGTTTTGGAATTGGTTTGACTATTGTCATAGTTCCGATCTACATCTCCGTGACAGCTCCGCCAGAAATCAGGGGTTTACTCAGCACTTTTCCTCAGTTTATCGGTTCATTTGGGATGTTTCTCTCCTACTGCGTGGTCTTTGGGATGTCATTGCTGGACTCGCCTTGTTAGAGATTGATGCTTGGATTTATCTTGATTCCGTCTATGTTGTGCTTCGTTTTGGGTGTGTTTTATTTGCTGGAGTCGCCTAGATGGCTTGTTAGTAAAGGGCAGTTTCCGGAGGCAGAGCAGGTTTTACAGCGGCTTCTTGGAAGGAATGATGTAAATGGCCAAATGACACTGTTAATTCAAGGACTGGGAAAAAAGTATAACAATGTTGAGTCCCAGGACGAATTGGAGGACAATTTGCAGAACTCGTTAATGTCATCAATAACGGATGATGATGACATTGGTTGGCTCAATCAATAAAGATTCAGCGAAATGGCTAATTGGTTGGAATGACATGTTGGAAGAGCCAGGAGTTAAGGCTGTGTTGTTTGTTAGGATTGGAATTCAGATGCTTCAGCAATTTTCAGGTATACACTACTACGCTCCCCAGATTCTAGAGCAGGCAGGGGTGGGAGTTATTTTGTCGAACTATATCGGCATTATCTCCGAATCCGCATCTATACTGATTAGTGCCTTTATGACGCTGTTGATGTTGCCTGCCATAGCTATTGCCATGCGGCTAATGGATATATCTGGCAGAAGGACATTGCTGCTGACCACAATACCTGTTCTGATCTTAACACTTGTAGTCTTAGCTCTATTTGGAGGTAATATTGTTGATTTGGGGAAGGTTGCGAATGCCGTGGTTTCAACCGTGTGTGTAGTTGCTTATTCTTGTTTCTTTGTGATGGGGATTGGTCCCGTACCCGGGATTCTGTGTGCGGAGATGTTCCCGACAAGAGTGCGCGGGATATGCATCACCATTTGCACCATGGCGTTTTGGATCGGAGACATTGTAGTCACCTATACTTTCCCGGTGATGATGAGTTCCATTGGCCTTGGTGCTGTTTTTGGGCTATATGCAGTTGTGTGCGTCCTGTCGTGGTTTTTCGTGTTCAAGAAAGTTCCTGAAACTAAGGGTATGTCGCTGGAGGCCATCAGCGAGTTCTTTTCTCTTGGCGCGAAAGCGTCCACAAAGGAAAACGATCCCATAGTTGCTTCATTCGTCTGTATAAAAACATGAGCAGTGATATCCTAGAATAGTTTCTCACAAGTTTTAGATTGCACCATAGTGTAGGATATGTAAAGAGTTTTATCACTTTGTTGCCAGTTATTTGTACTCCACTGGTTTCTCATTCCTGATTTTGTAGACAACATTGATTTTTCAGTGGAGTAACAATGTAGAAAAACCACAAAAGAAGAAAACTACTCCACTTCTTTCTGTGTTAAGTTTTGTTGAGGTGGTGGCCTAGTAGTAGTATTCAGGATCAGAGCTGGTTTGATTGCAGGGAACGAAAGCAAAATCTTACCAAAATGATAGACTACTTAAAAATACGACCATTTTTCACTTTTTGGTACATTGCCCAAAATGGGTCTCTTTCCAGCTTATTACGGTAGGATTAGAATTTAGAAGTCGACTGGCCCAACTCCCTGATGCCCAAACCATTCATTTCTTAAAAAGGAATTTCCTCCATTGTATTGAATGAGAAAACAAGCCCAATATAAAGTATTCCCTGACCCCAAATATTTTTGGGTGTGTTATGGACTCTCAGATTGCAAGGGTTTGTTTGAGAATTGACAATGTTCAAAATTCAAAAAGCCAAAAAGCTTTTGAATCGTACTACACAATCTTCAAACGAAAAAAAAAGCGCGGGGAAAAGTGGGAATCAGCCTACAGGCTACATCATCATTGGAATCTTCCTTGTCCAGAACCCACAAACATCATCAGTATCTAACAAATATTCTCAGTAGATAATTTTCATCCTACCATAACTTATACTATCAGTATCACTCACTTTTTGATTACATTATTATTGCATAAATTTAGAAGCTACCCTTGACAATGCAGTTTCGGAGCATGGCTGAAAAACCGGCGGGCCCCCACCACTCCCGGTTGAAACCGATGGATCAAAAGGGAAAGGCAATCATAACTCCAGTCGACGGCGAAGAAGGGAAATTTTATTTGGTTGCCAAAATCATTTGTGCCAGAAGGAGACACGTCGACCCCATGGTCAATCTTATGCAACAGATTTGGCGCACAAAGGGGCTTTTTTTCGGTTAAGAAGCCGGCGTGAGCCGTCTTCGTCTTCGATGAACTTGCCGACCGGAACAAAACCTTGAAACTCCGACCCTGGTATTACGGCCGGTGTTTGGTGGTGATGACGGCGTTGGAACCCGGGACCGACATTTCCGATCTCCGATTCGACGAATCCCCTTTCTGGGTACACGTTAAGAAACTCCCATTCGATGCGATGACTTACGAATTGGCGCAGGAGATTGGGGACTGCATCGGGGACTTCATTTCCGCGAAGAGGAATCCGGACGGACTCTGTGTCGGGTCGACCCTGCGTATTCGGGTTCGTCTCTTTTTGGACCGCCCGATCATCCAAGAACTGCTGGTGCTATGCAGAGGAGAAGGACGCACCGTGGAATTGCAGTATGAAAAGCTAGATGGTTATTGTACTTTTTGTGGCCGGCTTTCCCATGTGGTGGAGCATTGTGAACACAGATTGGTCCGGTTCATGGACGGAGATAGACGTACTCCGCCGGAGAACTGGGGTGATTGGCTCCGGTACGGTTCTCCCGTACAAGTCCCCCGCCGGACCTCCGTTGGAGTAAACCGCACCCACTTTCCATACAAGATTGCTGCCGATAAAACAGGTACACTATCTCCGGACTTTCCGGTCACCATCGTTGACCATCTGGTCAACGGGTGGAATACGACATCTTGAACTTAAATTAGTTTATCAATTAAATTAATGTTAAATAAATTAACAAAATGCATTCAAATTTTCCGTATCTATGGCGGGTGTCTACTATCTTAATTAAGCTCTGCGTTATTATAAAGCTACGCGCCAACTGAAATTTCGTATTTTCCCACATTCTTCGCCTCCAAAGCCAATTCTTCTTCTATATATAAACCTCTCTTCTCTTATTTCCGGTTTTGTATTTTGTGGAAAATGTTAAAGAATCTTTCAATGGCAGACTCTGCGGAATCAACTGACGCTAAAGTTACTGGTTCAATGGACAACTCTGTGAAATCAACTCCGGCCTTCAAATTTACTGGCCGGTGGGCAGACAAAGCCGACACCCAGGAGGCGGCAGCATCAGGAGAATTAACCCCTGTCCAGAACGCACTCGATTCGTTAACCATCGAGGATACGACCAAAATCAACAAGGATGCTGACTCTCTGCCAGAACCCCCGGCGGTGGCGGCGGCAATCACCCCGGACGAGATTGCGCTTGATTCCTTAACGATGGAGCAGACAAGGAAAATCTAGAACGAAGTATCTGATCCCGATGCATGCAACATCGAAGCTGTAAGTCTCTTAGCCCCAGTATTATTTATTAATTTTCATGGGACATTCTCTGGTGGTGGTTTGGATGAGAGCTAGAGATGTTGATATATATTTGATTCATTAATTCTGTAGGTTACAGCTGGAGATACTATATACGGATCAGCCGAAAAGTTCGAAGATTTGAATTTGTCGCCGGAGTTGTTGAAGGGGTTGTATGTGCAGATGAAATTCGAGAAACCCAGTAAGATCCAAGCAATTAGTCTGCCGATGATTTTGACTCCCCCATTCAAGAATTTGGTGGCCCAAGCTCACAATGGTTCGGGGAAAACTACGTGTTTTGTACTGGGTATGTTGAGTCGGATCGATACCAAACTGGCTGCCCCTCAAGCTCTCTGTATCTGCCCAACGCGTGAACTGGCAACTCAGGTTGGTTCATACAAATTCAATCACAGATTTAGTTATATGTATATAAGAGAATGTAATTGATTTGTTGACATGGACTTGTGTCTCTGCAGAATATGGAAGTCCTATTGAAGATGGGGAAGTTCACAGGGATAAAATCAGAATTAGCTATTCCAGCAGATGGTAATCATAGGCGGTCGCCTATTACTGCCCCAGTAGTGATTGGCACTCCCGGCACAATAAGTCGTCCGATTGTATCGACGAAACTGAGCCTGAGTTTCATGAAGATACTTGTGTTTGATGAAGCAGATCACATGCTTGCAGAGGTATGAAATCTCAACTTTATGTTTGTGAAGTTAAGATTCATTTAATGTCGGGGCCTTGGTTGTTAAGAATGTATTAAGCATGCATCAGTAGTTCTATATTTGTGTGGTTTGCTTCTGCATTTGGATCCGTCGTTTTACTTTCTTTGTATTCAACTTATTACCCTCAGAATGTCTTGGTGATTGGAATAGAACTACCTGCTGGGATGGAGTTTAGAGTAATTTATTTAAATTCCTTCATTGTATTTCAACATGCCTTTTTGAAGCCAATTTATGTTGCTTTTGCTAGCTTTAGTGATTGATTATTAAATTTTGCCTTTCTTTTATCAATAATGTGAGTAATGTTTCACTCCTGGTTATGGTGCAGGGTTCTTTTAGAGATGACTCCATGAAGACAATGAAATCCATTGCTAAAAGTAGTCCTGATTGCCAGGTCAGTTTTTCATGCTACACATAAACTGCGATCGGTTCTCTGATACTCATCAAGGGTTACCCTTGAAGTTTAAATGTTGGTTTTAGTTGACTCGGGGCATTGCTTCATTTCCACCGCAGGTCCTCCTTTTTTCTGCAACATTTAACGATGCAGTCGGGGCTTTTGTTGACCAGACGATTCAAGAAATCTTTCACAAGGATTATAATCAAATGTTTGTTAGAAAGGAAGAACTATCACTGGCTTCGGTGAAGCAGTACAAAGTCAATTGCCCAGATGAACTTGCTGTTGGAAATTTTAGTTTGTAAAATAAAATAATTAATTTAAAATTGAAGGATAAAATTAAGTTGGCAACCCTTCACATGCTTGGTGGTTATTTCCTACAAGCCAAGGGTTGTGTACTTATTTTGTATCCTTTTATTTCTGCAAATGTTGCCTATGAATAGGTGAACTAGTGCAGGAATTCATTTTAACTTTTGCATTCCAAAATCCTGAAGAACATTCAATAAGTTGCAAATTGCATGTTCTTGTGTTCTTAAGTCCTAGAGGCAAATTGCCATTCAACCCTGTTTGCAATCTAGTGGGGGCAAATATTATCTTAAGGGTAGTGTTTGACACGATTAGAGCACTTTCAATTCTTTGTGAATTTCCTTTTGTTGTTGAATTTCAGATTCCATCAATAAAGTTTCTTTTCTCCATCTTTGTTCTTTGGTTCGTATTGTGTTGTTTCTTTTGTTTCCATCCCCCGAATTCTTTCAATCTTAAGACAATATTTATCATGGAATCAACACAAGAGTCTGCCATGAAAGTGATGAACCAAGACTTTGTTAAGTTGGATCGTCTTGATGGATCTGGCACTAACTTTAACCGTTGGAAGGACAAGTTGATGTTCTTTCTCACGGCCTTGAAAGTGGCTTATGTTCTAAGCCCCAATTTGGAGGAGATCCCACCGCCTGCGGAAGGAGAGTCTGATGCAATCAAGAAGAACCGTGCACAACGTGAGGAAGATGAGATCATTTGTCGTGGTCACATCCTCAACAACGTGTCGATTCGCTTTATGATCTCTTCTCAAATGTGAAAACCCAAGAGAGATTTGGGCTGCTATTGAAAGGGAGTATGCAAATCGAAACAAGGGGCGATAAGTTTCTCATTAAAAACTACTTTGAATTTAAGTTACTTGCTAATTCTCCTCTTATGGATCAAATTCACAATCTCCAAGTTATAGTATCAAAACTAAAAGACATTGGTGTTGAAATCTCGAATCTTTGCAAGTTGGGGCAATTATTGCCAAGTTGCCTCATACTTGAACGATTATCAAAAGAAACCGTTGCACACTTCGAGAATTTGACTGTGTCTAATGTTTTGAAACACTTGAGAATTGAAGAAGGGGCAAGACTTCTTCAAAACTTGGAAATTGGAGAAAATTCTAATAAAGTGAATTTTGTGGCTGAAAATGGGGCCAACAAAAACAAGAGGAAGAAACCTGGAAATTCTAATGACAAGAAAAAGGATAAAAAATGTTTCAACTGTGGTGTAAAGGGTCATTTTAAGGCCGATTGCAAGTCTAACAAGAAGCAAAAGGGAAATAACATCCCAAGTGCAAATCTTGTTGAAGATAGTGCACCGGTTGTGGCGGTTATCTCGCTTGGAACCGTGACCGAGTTGAACATGGCAACACCACTTCCTTCCAAGGATTGGTGGTATGATTCTGGGGCTGGAATTCATGTGGGCAACGACAAGGATCAGTTTAAGAATTACGTTGTTCTTGAAGGACATGAAGTTGTAATGGCAAATGGTGTTAGGGCTCAAGTTCAAGGCAAAGGAGAAGTGCATTTGCAATTCACCTCGGGAAAGAAAGTAGTCCTAACTAATGTACTTCATGTTCCTAGTCTTGTTAAGAACCTTGTATCAGCCAACATCCTTAATAAAAAGGGATTGAAGGCAGTCATTGAATGTGACAATGTAATCTTGTCAAAGAATGGGGTGTTTGTAGGAAAGGGGTACTCTTGTAATGGCATGTTCAAGTTGAGTATCAATAAGATGAATGATGTTTCTATTTATTCGATTGAGTCTTCTTATTTTTTGTGGCATGGTAGATTAGGACATGTGAGCCATAAAGTTGTTTCTTTTATGTCTAAAAATGGCCTAATCAATTTAAGTGACTTGGAAAATAAGAAATGTGAAACTTGTGTGCAAGCCAAAATAACAAAGTTACCATTTCCTAAAGTTGAAAGAAATACATCTTTGCTTGAATTGGTGCATTCGGATGTATGTGAACTAAATGGATTTCTAACTAGGGGAGGTAACAAATACTTTGTGACTTTCATAGATGATTGTTCAAGATTTGTGCAAGTTTATCTAATGAAAACAAAAGATGAAGTATTTGGTATGTTTAAAATTTACAAGTCCCTAGTTGAGAATCAATTAAGCAGGAAAATAAAAATTTTGAGAAGTGATAGAGGAGGTGAATACTTCTCGAATGAATTCTCAAAATTTTGTGAAGATAATGATATTGTGCATCAAACTAGTGCACCTTATACACCACAACAAAATGGTTTGGCTGAAAGAAAAAATAGAACTCTATGTGACATGGTAAATGCTATGCTAGTGAGTTCTGGATTGCCAAATAATTTGTGGGGTGAAGCTTTATTGGCTGCATGTCATTTGCACAATAGAATTCCGTCCCTTAAGACTAAAATGTCACCATATGAAATATGGAAGGGAAGAAAACCAAATCTGAATTATGTGAAGGTTTGGGGTTGTGTGGCTTATTATCGTGTCCCGGATAACAAAAGAACAAAGTTGGGACCTAGAGCACTCAAAAGTATGTTTGTGGGCTACGCTGAAAATTCTAAAGCCTATAAGCTACTAGATGTTGATTCTAATGTTATTGTAGAATCAAGAGAAGTGCAATTTTTTGAGAATTTGTTTCTCAAAGATTCAAAAGTAAGTAGTGGTCCTTTTTATGTGCCTAATACTACTCAAAATGTGGCAATTCCAAGTAGTTCTTTTAGTGAGCTCAAAAGGAAAGAAAATGATTCTCCTATGGAACCAAGGAGAAGTGAAAGGCAAAGGAAAGAAAAACAATTGCCTTTGGACTTTATATCTTCTCAGGCTATTGTTTTCTTAGTTGAAGGCAATAGAGATTCTGTACTTAGCAAAACTCCAATTTTGCTTAGTGTAGAAGAAGATCCAAAAACTTTTAGAGAAGCTATAAATTCAAGAGATGCCACATTTTGGAAAGAAGCAGTCAATGATGAAATGGATTCAATATTATCTAATAATACTTGGGTTCTAGTTGACTTGCCTCAAGGCTCTAAGCCAATTGGGTGTAAATGGGTATTTCGAAGGAAATATACCACAAATGGAACTATACTTACTTATAAGGCAAGACTAGTAGCAAAAGGATTTAGGCAAAAAGAAGGAATTGACTACTTTGATACTTATGCACAGTGGCAAGGATTACTTCGATTAGAGTAATCCTAGCTTTGGCTTCCATTTACAATTTACAGTTCATCAAATGGATGTTAAGACAGCATTCTTAAATGGTGATTTGGATGAAGAGTTGTACATGGAGCAACCGGAAGGCTTTGTGCTACCAGTCATGAAAACAAGGTGTGTAAGTTGGTTAAGTCATTATATGGACTTAAACAAGCCCCAAACAATGGCATGAGAAATTTGAATCTGTTTTACTTTCACATGGTTTTAGGTATAATCATGCTGATAAATGCATTTATACCAAAGCATGTGATGAGTATACAGTGATCATTTGTCTATACGTTGATGATATGCTCATTGTTGGTATCACATTGAAAGGTGTGGTTGAGACTAAGAAATATCTTTCTTCTAAGTTCCAAATGAAGGATCTTGGTGAAGTAGATACTATCTTAGGAATTAAGGTTAAGAAGCATAGTGAAGGTTTTGTACTCTCTCAATCACATTATGTGGACAAGATACTAACAAAGTATCAACACTTGAATGTGAAGGAAGCATCTTCTCCTTATGATCGTAGCATGAAACTTTGTGTAAATAAGGGTAAACCAATTGCACAACTAGAGTATGCTAGTGTGATTGGAAGCCTTATGTATGCTATGAGTTGTACAAGGCCAGATATCTCTTATGCAGTATGTTACCTTGCAAGGTTTACTCATTGCCACAGTATGGAACATTGGAAAGCTATCACTAGAGTCTTGGGATATCTTAAAAGAACCAAAGATTTGGGACTCTATTATAGCCGATTTCCTAGTGTTCTTGAGGGTTATTCGATGCCGTTGGATATCCGGAAGTAATGAGAAGAACTCCACCGGTGGTTGGTTGTTTTTACTTGGTGGTGGTCCCTTTCTTGGGCATCAAAGAAGCAAACGCTTATAACTCATTCCACTATGGAATCGAGTTTGTAGCTCTATCCTCGGCTTGTAAGGAGGCAGAATGGTTGAGAGATCTTTTGTTAGATCTAGAAATTTGGCCAAAACCCATGCCGCCGATAACCTTACATTGTGATAGTGAAGCAACAATGTCTATAGCATTGAACAAAGTGTACAATGGTAAATCTAGACATATCAGTATAAGACATGAATATGTCAGAGAAATGCTGAACAATGATGTTGTCTCAATTGTGTTTGTTAGAACACACAAAAACTTGGTGGATCCGTTGACTAAACCTCTTGCGAGAGAGTTAGTGGTTTCGACAACATCCGGAATGGGTTTAAAACCTTGTATCTAAAATTACTAACAATGGAAACCCAACCTTCTTCTAGTATTACCCCTAGATTGAAAGGTTTAAAGGGTAATAACAAGTTGTTTAGTAATTAGGGCACCAAATCAGTGTATATATCATTCCATAGTATTGGTGCATTTATGTTACTCTTAAGTGAGCAGGTTGAGAGCAATCTCTTAATGAAATTATTCATGATTATTCAATTACGGTAAAGTAATGAATTTGAATAAATTTCACCTATTTGACCATAGAAGTGGTGCCGCTTCTAGTAAGAGTTTGAGGTTATCTCTTGTACATGGTCAAGAATCTAGGATGAGCACATGGCCAGTAATAGTGCTAAATGATAATGTGGATTACAAGGAATGCTATGAGTGTTTGCGCGTGAATTATTAAGTCTATACTAGATCGATTATTGGTTTAAGCAACGAGCCACCAATAACTTAGCTAGTTAGTGACTTAATTCCACTACGATGTGGTTTAAGACGAAAGTCACCACCTCTTAAGCGCGATTCTCATGATTGTGTAATTATTTTATATTACAAACTAAGTGGGGGAATGTTGGAAATTTTAGTTTGTAAAATAAAATAATTAATTTAAAATTGAAGGATAAAATTAAGTTGGCAACCCTTCACATGCTTGGTGGTTATTTCCTACAAGCCAAGGGTTGTGTACTTATTTTGTATCCTTTTATTTCGCAAATGTTGCCTATAAATAGGTGAACTAGTGCAGGAATTCATTTTAACTTTTGCATTCCAAAATCCCGAAGAACATTCAATAAGTTGCAAATCGTATTCTTGTGTTCTTAAGTCCTGAGGCAAATTGCCATTCAACCCTGTTTGCAATCTAGTGGGGCAAATATTGTCTTAAGGGTAGTGTTTGACACGATTAGAAAGACTTTCAATTCTTTGTGAATTTCTTTGTTGTTGAATTTGATTCCATCAATAAAGTTTCTTTTCTCCATCTTTGTTCTTTGGTTCGTATTGTGTTGTTTCTTTTGTTTCCATCCCCCGAATTCTTTCACTTGCTAAGATCATGATTGTGAAAGACAGAATCCTGGAACTAGGTGATAAAGTGGGGCAAACGATAAGAGTTGTCCGCACTCGAAATAGTGCCAGCATGTTACGTAAAAGTTTGGTCGATCTTGGCTATGAGGTTACATCAATTCAAGGTGATTTACAGCAACAAGACCGTGACAAGATAGTCAAAGAGTTCAAAGAAGGATTAACTTCAGTTCTTATATCAACTGATATTCTTGCTCGTGGCTTTGACCAAGATCCAGGTCCATATGACTTTACTTAAGTTCAATGTATTTTCGGTTTTATCTCTGTTTTAATCAACCCTCATAACTTGTCTTTTCTTTTCCTTTTTTCTTTCTTTATAGGTCAACTTACTCGTCAATTATGACCTTCCTGTTGTTTACAACACATCAGAACCAGACTATGAAGTCTACCTGCATCGTGTTGGTAGAGCTGGTCGATTTGGCCGCAAAGGTAAATTCTGCTATTCGACTCTTTGTCCCGATCCTCATATGTCCAAATACTTTTATACCGTTCTCTATATCCGGTTGGATAAGCATGCTATGTTCTTACACTGTCGTTAGAGATCGTATGCCCTTGTTTGTAGTTCTCTCGTGCTCATTGACTCATTGTCGTCTAAGTAGTAGTATTTATGAATTTTCTGCTTAAGCTTGATTCGTAGTTAGCTAACTCCTGGGTTCTTGTGTCTTTCCACATTTAACTCTAGCTGTGGATTCATACAATAAAATTGACATCCTTAACTGAATAAATGTTCGTCTCTGTTCTCACTCCAAGGGTAGACGCAGATTGGAATATAAAGAAATTATGTTGACAGAAATGGAAGTACGGTTCTTTTCTGACTTTTCTTGCACTAAAGCTTATGATAGGGGCTGTATTCAACTTGCTTTGCGATAATCGGGATAAGCAGCTGATGGCTAAGATTGAGAAGTACTACAACTGCGAGATAGCGGAGGTATGTCTTTACTTTCTTCTTCTTTTATCCACCCTCGTTGGGAATGAGTGCATTCAGGATTTACGAAAACCTTGTTGGGAAAACATCTTCTAATGGTTGGCTATACTCCCTGACTGTAGGTGGCTCCCTGGCAGAGCGAAGATGGTTTCGAAGATGCATTGATAAATGCTGGACTAGATATGGACTTTTTGTTTTTCGATCCCGTTGCATTGCTCTGGTAGCTTAGGATCAAGCTCAGACTTCTCTTCTGGATTTATGGAAGAAAGGGATTTGGCTCATCATTCATAGTCGCCTTCTTTTTGATGTTATATTTGGGTCAATACCATGGTTAATATGATAACATGAGCAGATTTGTGTGGAGGCGTATAAAATCCCACTTCCGAGTTGTCTAGTATGCCCATTTAAGAAGTTGGCAATGCTTAGTAAATTCAATAACAAAATCCTTAATTTTGTAGCAGATTTCTTTTTCTGTTGTACTATGTTGCATAATCACATCTCTCTCGAGGGATTGACCTTAGTAATGAAACCAAATTAACAGTAAAACACGAAATAACATATCAAAGTACCTCTTGTACGAGGAACAAAGAAACAACTTCTAATGGTTAAGACTCAAGAAGATGGGAGGCCTCAAACTGCATATACAACACAAAAAATGCAGCTAAAAATATAACAAAGAAAGTTGCATAAAAAGTGTACAAAAAGATTTTAGTATTTCAGATCCCCAAAGCAAACAAAGGGCGTTGGGAAGTAAAGTTAGTTGTGCTAGCAGATCTATGGGGAGGAGGGATAGGAGGCCTACTCCCTAAGAAGCTGGAATTTCTCTTTACACAAAGTGAAGAACAAGATCCTCTAGCAGTCTTCTTGGAAATCAGCCTTGAAGAACTCCCTTTGTGATGGATAGATGTTGATCCATGGCTCTCAAACAATCCTCCATAGCTTCTGCAAGATTTAAGCTTCTTGTTGTAAGGATTCTCCGGCTTGGCAAGATCTTCCAAACTTGTCACATTAGCCAATGATGTAAATGACTGTGATTTCCCATTATAATGCCTAGACAATCCTCTCCTGCAATTAATATCCCAAAGACACAAGAAATAAACCATCCATTTAGGTTATTAATTAACCCCCAAAAAAGAGAAGGATTAAAGCCATTTATACTTACTTGATAGGAAGTTCTTGAAGCAGGGAGGACATGTCCTGCAAAGGTCCAGAAGAAAATTGAGATGCAGCGAGCTGGATATTATCACCAGATGAAGAAGCAGAAGCTGATGAATCCGAAGTTGGCGAATTGACTTCTTCTTCAAACAAATCTGAATCATCTCCAGAGGAAACAACACTGGAAACCTCAGATGAGGAAGGAGAACAAACAGCATCATCAGCACCAGCTGGTTTCTTAACAAGAAGCACATCATCCATGATCCCACGGTTGCTTTGTTGGTGTAAAACAAAAGAATCCATTTCCAAGTTTATCATCATCATTACTAAAACCTTCAACAAAGAAAGCCAGTGATACGACCATATACAGTTCCTTTTTTCACAAATCAGATCCTTAATTAGAACCACTTGGTAACTTCAAGATCTTCAAATGCTTGGTGTTGCCACAAAGAGTACTCTCCACAGAGATTGTCAAAGTAACGTAAACATAAGCAGAATGAGGATCAATGATAGGTGAAGTATGAAGTTGAGAGGATGAGGGGAAAAAAAAAATAAATGGGAGAAACGGAGAAAGGGGGTGGTATTAAATTAATGGGGGTGGGAGGAGAAATGGCGGTTTGGGTTTCGGGTAAGGTGTGGCAGACTGCTGAATCCTCAAATTCTATCCATATCTTCGAAAACTGTAAGAAGACAGAGAGAAGTAAGATGAGAGTTTTTTTGGTATACGATGAAGATTCGGAGTTATCCGGTTCCCAGTGTTTTGTCCCCACTTCCCGCGTTCACCACCTGTCTTAATAGTAAAACTACTCTCTCACTAACTCGTTTGATCTATTCAAGCGCCCCGCATGCTTCGTTAGGAGCGTGGCTCTCGATACTTTTGTCTTTTTTTTTTTTATCCGTCCAAAAATAATTATTCACCTATTTAATTTTCACTAAAAATAAAAATTTATATTGAACAATATGCAACAGTAAATGAAGTTTACTTGGCTGAAGTGACTTTCTTCTTTTCTAAAAAAAATCTTAAAATGATAATTCAATTTGAATTTTTAATTTCAACACAAACAAAAAAAAGGTTATATAAAATAAAATTTTGAGCGACACTAAAAAAAAAAAAATTATCAATTAACTCATTTCATCACTCGGGCATTTAAGATTAGCTTTAAATTCATCTTAAAATTGAAATCTACAAAAAGCCAAATCTAGAAACTAATGTGATCAGCAGTAAAATGTTGGAGGGAAAATCCAACAACAGAAAGTCCCCAAAGGGAAAAATAAAAAGAAATGTTAGAGGTGTCTAGAATTTTTAAATCAAGTCTTCAATAATTCCCATGATATTTACATGGAAATGGGGGAATTTCGTATGTCAAAAATTCATTGGGCGCGTGGGGGTGTGTGAGGAGAGTTTGATAGGGTAATTGAAGCCAGTAAATAGGCAGCTATGACTACGAAGGGGGCCAATAATTGTGGATAAGATAAGGCTTTCCACTTATGAAAAATTGTGATCTTAATCCCTAAGCAAAAAGGCCATTTTGGTGGGCGCTCACTGCCACTGGTTTAAATAATTTACGACCAAGTTTTTGGTACTATTTCTTTTTGCCGCCCCCAGGTTTCTATTCCCATCCACTTTCCCCCCCGGCATACTTTACTGTTTTCACATTGCACTTTTTTTTTTTTCTCCTATCGCCGTTACACATACAAAAATCTACAAAAATGTAAGATCACAATTATGAAATGTGAAAAATAGCGGTGCCATATCCCTGTTGGCTTAAGCACACAAAAAATGTGGATGTCTATCCCCATTAGAACTTAAAAATTGTTCATTTTAAGCGTTTGCTAAAGTATAAGAATGACTAATAAACGATTATTTCCATTCTTTTTTTCTTTTTTCTTTTGTATTTTTTTTGAGAATGACCATTCCCAATTTCCCATTCGCAATCAGCAAATATATCTTAATATAAACTGCTATAATATCCAACATTGTAATTAAAAAAAAGCATAAAATAATTATTCCCACTTCAAAGCACTTCTTTTTTTTTTTGGAAGTACTATCTATGTATGTACACATAGAACAGAAATTAATGGGAAATAGTGACTGGACAATGAGTCAGCATTACAGGTTCGAAGAAACGACCACCCAATTCCAATAAAACTCTGCTGCCACACCCTGCAATTCTTCCTCCACATATTTGGCCCATACTTATCCTGTTATCCATCCACCTAAGCTCCAACGTTCTTGGTATTCCATTTTTTTTTTAAACCAAAAATAATTTTTCAGACCGACCGCGCCAAAGTCTTCATTTCTAACGTAAGAAGAACAAAGATTATTGGTATAAAATTTTAAAAATCAAAACTTAACTGTGTTCAATCTCTCCTAATTCCTATAACCAAATACGTTACATTTTCTCATACTGCCCCGTTGTTCCCCTTGGTCACGCCAAAATCAAAAGTCTAATCCAAACCCCCATTTATATATTGATCCTCTCTCTCATTCATTCTTATCTTCTGCTGTTTCTAATGGAAACGTGCAGTTTAAACCCCAGCAAGTCACCATCAAAACGGCTCCACTGGTAACCCTTTCAAGATAACAAACCCGGCAAATCATGGACCCAGAGGCATTCAGCTTTCGGTGGGTGCATATACCAGATAACACCCGGATGACTTCAATTGGAAACTTTAAAAATTCATCCGAAAAAAGCCTACTGAAAGCAACATCCAATGACAAAAAGTGTTTAAAGACCAACTACCTGGTGAATGAAAAAGTACTCATGGCCGCTGCCCTACATGATTGATTTGATTCTTCTATCTAAAGCCCTGATTGGATTGTAAAGCCAAACAAGCTGCATTCCAGATGTACATGTGTATGTGGCATAAAGGGAACCATGCCAAAACCATCAGATTGAAACTCAGTCCTGTAATGCTTACAGTCAAGAAGAACCGACCCATTTATTTGCCCTCTACGTTTTCACGCACACACAGTACCGCAACAAAACACCACTAACAAGATTTCACTATTTGTAGAAGTAGATTTCTTTCCAGCTAGCAACCAGTATCAGGATGATCAGCCGGAATAGGCATGTGTTTAACTAGAAAGATACTCGTACGCCGAGCAGTGCCATAAGTTGTGAAACAAACTCAGGATGACCTGGCCATGCTGCTCCAGTAACCAGATTTCCATCTGTGAAGCAACGGTGTATTGGTTCAGGTTCTAACCAAGTTGCACCGGATAGAACCACGTTAAGTTTCACTGCAGGGTATGCAGTACATTTCTTTCCCTGCATAGTGAAAAGCAATGCAAAGAAGAATTAGAGCAAGGGCAGCAAGATTTGCAAGATAAAATTTGGCTCTGGAAGATGGTACATGCATCAATCGTTTGTTCATAAAGAGATCAGTGGACATGATGCTTCGTTTTCATTGATTTCACACTGGGCCATTTGATTATATTATCAAAAGTATTAAAGCATACCAACTTTAAGTATACAGTAAGTTCAAACAACATAAGTTAATGCCAACGCTTTTGCATAGTTATAAAGCATGTCTTACTACCGTAAGAACTCCGGCAGCAGCCAAGATCTGTTGTCCATGGCAAATGGATGCCACTGGTTTTTTAGCCTCCATGAAGTGCTTCACTATCTGTATAACACTCTCATTCAGTGCCAAATATTCTGGAGCTCGCCCCCCAGGGATCACAAGAGCATCATAGCTTGAAGCATCTATGCCTTCAAAATTAGCAGTCAGGGTAAAATTATGGCCTGGCTTCTCACTATAAGTTTGATCACCCTCGAAGTCATGGACAGCTGTGGCACATGTATCACCAGCACCTTTGTTCGGGCATACAGCATCGACATGGCATTCAAGAGCTTGGAGGGACTGAAAAGGAACCATAACTTCGTAGTCCTCCATGTAATCCTACACAAGGAATAAAGGAGACGAGAGCTGCAAATTATGATTAGTGGTAATAAATTGGCAATGATGCTGAGGACATACAAGTATATACAAAATTAATTTATGCACTTCCTTCCTGGCTCGAATCTGAAGCTTGTATCATCAATATATCAGGAAGCGATAAAACCATTAAAAAGACGGAGTTACGAAAATCCAATGAGAGAAACTTAAATGTTTATTTGCTTCAACTTACAGTTTTACCAAAAACAAAATAAATTTATTTAAGCATCAAATACAACTAAATACTTACCCCGCAAAGAAACAATATTCGTTTACCAGAACCACTTATGCTTCCTCCTAGTGACTTGATAAAAAGGTTAATAAAATCAGGATGCCCTTCGTATGTAGCTCCCGTTATAAGATTACCATCAGTTGTACATGAGGCCATGGTCTCTGGTTCCACCCAATGGGCACCTGCAGCTACTAGAACAGGCTTCACGGCAGGATAGGCTGTACATTTTCGACCTTTTACTGAATCTGCAGCTGCCAAAATCAACTGACCATGGCAAATAGAGGCTATAGGTTTCTTAGAGTCTGAAAATTCCTTAACCAAGCGCAGGACAGATTCATCCATGGCAAGATATTCGGGAGCACGTCCTCCAGGGATGATCAAACCATCATATTTGCTGGCCTCTATTTCGTCAAACGTCGCATTGAGAGCAAAATTGTGACCACGGGACTCAGAATAAGTCTGATGCATTACAGTAAACAAAACAAAATGAGAAGCGGATATAGTAAAAAAGAATAAACAAAACACATAACTCAGCCACCTTATCCAATCAAATGGTTGTCAGGCATAAGGATGGAAGAGGGGGTGGAGGAGAAGAAGTAATGTTTGGCAAAGTACAACGATGGGCAAGAATTTGAAGTTCCTTATTCTGTATTTTCCCTTCTACTTAATCCTCTTCATGAACAACATGACTCTTTTTCCCTATCAGGGCTAATCATCATTGAACATACCCCTTAGCGCCTACAGAAGCAGTTTGAAACCAAGGAAAAGTACCCACAGATAATATTACGTCTAAACTAATGTATGAATCAATAACCATAACTTCCAAGTTTACATCCACAGTTGTGGTTGCAAAGAGAAGCGCAGAGAACCATACTTTTTGCTCAATTCCATCCCTGTCTAGTTCCAAAGAATGAAACGGCACCAAATGCTTCTTCAGCACGCGGAATATTAAGCTCAAAAGTTGCCAAAGAAATTCTTTTCATTTATAGGAAACTACATAAGAGAAAAATCGCAAAACAATCTCTATGAAACATCAACCCTCAAATACTGCCTTTTGGATTAATTAAGCGGATAATCCATATTGAAGTGAACATAAAAAGGAAGAAAAAAGCAGCGGCATTTCTAGCATTTGTAATTACCGTAGCAGTTTCCCTCAAGAGAGATTTAATGGAAAGTAAATGTTCACTGGCACAGCGTACACACAAGCCAGACTCTTGCAAGGAAGGGAATGAACACCGTGGTTGACAAGGCAAAGAATTAAAAACCCCTTCTTCAGTGGCAAGAATCACATTCATTCAGTTCAATAACTAACTTGGGAACTCCAATAACATCAATCAACTAGTTAGTTAGTAGCAACTGAATCATTTCAAAGAAACAAAAAACAAGCATCCAAGTCAACTCAAAACATTAACCACCCTAATACAGCAATTAACTTCCATAAATCGACAAACTGAAAAACCCCTTTGGAACCCTAGACACCGAGAATAAGAAAAACACCATATCATACCTGGTGACCGCAAGAGTCGTGAATAGCAGTGCGGCAAACGTCACCGGCTTTTTTCCCGGGGCAAACTGCATCAACTGCAACTCCATATGCCTGTAAAGCTTGAAACGGAACCATAACCTGCAATTTTCACAGACACCCTGGGTTAAGAAATTGGTACTCCCAGATGAAGCAAATTAGACGAAAATTAAACAATGAAATCGTGATCGGAAAAACGGGCAACCTCATAGTCTTCAACGTAATCTCCGCATAGTAAAAGGACCTTTTTCTGAGCACCGGAACTTGCCATTCTGGATGCTTGGTATGTGTGTGTGTGTGTGTGTGTGTGGAGGAGGTTCTGAGAGTAATCTTTTGCTCTTGGCTTCTTCTGTACCGTTGTAGAAGAATGCTCCAGCTGATTAGACAGTGTGAGAGTCAACTTCGCTTCTTCGATGAGGAACTTCGAGAAGAGGAAAGAGCCAAGCTTATCCAAATTACAGAAAAGGGCTTCACCCTTCCGCAAAGTGTTGATGAAATCAGAGGAGATAAGATGAAAATCATCTCTTCTTTTGTTTTCTTTCTTTCTGGGCTTAACTTATTTTTAGAGTGGTCCATTTGATTGTTTCAAATGGCCAGAATTGTGGAATATAAGTATTGGGCCGGGGTCTAATAGCCCGTAAATTTCCCGCAAGTTTGCCGCCTCAGTCCCTCACCCAAAAAAATCTCTCTTCGCCGATCAGTCCCAAATATGGACGTCGCCGGCCACCCCACGAAACGCAAACGAGGCTTCTCCGACAATGATTACGACGACGGAGACGAAGTTTCCGTTTCCGCCGCCACGGAAAATGGAGGAGTGGACCTCTCCCTGTTGGAAGCACTTGAAAAATCCCAGCAGAATGTCGTCGAGACGCTCGACCTGAAAACCCTAAAGAAGCTTGTGTTAGCCTTCGAGCGTCGCTTGAAGGACAACACCGCCGCACGGTTGAAGTATCCCGACCAACCTGAGAAGTTCGCGGACTCTGAAGTGGAGCTCCACGAAGAAATCGAGAAGCTTAAAATCCTCGCTGGCGGTCCTGAGCTCTACCCGGACCTTGTTTCACTTGGCACTGTCGCGTCCATTACTCAATTGCTGAACCATGACAACACCGATATCGCTATTGACGCCGTTTCCCTCATTCAAGACCTCACTGATGCGGACGTATTTGACGGTGAGGATAACGACGAGGCGGCCACTGTTTTCGTCGATGCCCTAATTGAAAACAACGGTTTGGAGCTTTTGATTCAGAATATGAGCCGTTTGTCGGAAACCGACCCGGACGAATCAGCTGCTATCTTTAGCACACTCACAACCATTGAGAATTTGGTTGAAATAAAGCCGGCCGTGGCTGAATTGGTCTGTGAGAGGACTAAACTGATGAAATGGTTGGTTTCAAAGATTAAATCAAGGGAGTTTGATAGTAATAAGCAGTATGCCTCGGAGATGTTAGCCATTTTGTTGCAGAACAGTCCAGTGAATCAGAAACGGTTGGGCCAGATGAATGGTGTGGATGCGGTGTTGCAGGCAGTTGCAATGTACAAGTCTAGGGATCCAAAAACTGTGGACGAAGAGGAGATGGTGGAGAATTTGTTCGATTGCTTGTGTTGTTTGTTAATGCCATTGGAGAACAAGGAGAAGTTTGTCAATGCTGAGGGAGTGGAATTGATGGTCATTATTATGAACCAGAAGAAATTCTGTTATGGCTCTGCCATTAAGGCGTTGGACTATGCTTTGACAAATTATCCACCTGCTTGTGAAAGGTTTGTCGATGTTCTGGGTTTGAAGACTGCTTTCCCAGCTTTTATGGGTAAGGTAAGTCCTATTCTTCCCTTTCCTTAGTATATTGAACGGTCTAGCTAAATGCATTACATTCATGTAATGAGTGCTTGTTTTTACTACCTGCTGTCTATAACTGAAGCAAGAATTTTAAATGGTTGATATCATGTATGTTAGCCAAATATGGTGATTTTTGTCATTCAAAAACTATTCGTATTGACAGATTCCTTTGAGCAAGAAGAACAAGAAAAAGGGCTTGAAAGAAGAATTGGAAGAGCGTCTTATTTCACTAATTGCATCATTGTTTGGTAAGATTACATGTGAATTTCTTTCAATAACATCAACATTTCTGTTCCCAATGTAGTATTTTTGGAAACATGTTTGTCTCTGCACTGAAGTGGATTATGTTTTTAGTTCAGGCAGTGATGGGAGTGAATACAATGACTTCATAAACTATAACTCGTTTGCTAATGTAAAAAAGTTTATTTATAAGACAAGTTGTCCAAGGAAACCAAACTGTTTTAAATTGCTAAGTAAATGATTGATTGGGTTAAAAAAGTGATTTGCATGATTCCATGCCAAATAGAATATATATGCCTTGTAGTATTCTTTTATTTCACTCTGATTTACACTGTCTTTAACGGATGATAGGTGGAATTTTGAGGGGTTCTAGAAGGGAAAGATTGTTGAGTAAATTTGTGGAGAATGAGTGCGAAAAGATTGATAGGCTCATGGAGCTATATATGAGGTGAAGATATCGATGTTCTCAGAGCACCTGTATTTCTTTTTTTTCTTTGTTCCTTTGGTTAAAAGAACACTTGTATTTCCTCCTTCATTCTATACAGGAAACTGAACGCTGACACTCAAGCCTTTTCTTTTGTTTTTATTCTCAGATATTCCAATAGAGTAAAAGCAGAGACTGAAAGACTGAACAGTCTTGATCTTGATGATTTAGAGGTTTTTATCACACTTGGATACTGTTTTGTAACCTCTCCCCTCTCTACCTTTCTGCTTTGTAATTAATTAATCGATTTATTTCCTTAAATTTGCAGATGGACGAAGAAGAAATATACATTAGGAAGATGGAGGTTGGGCTATATACTCTTCAGGTGGAACATTGATTTCCTTATTTAATAGTACTCTATTTCTCTTCTGTCTTGAATCGATCATATGTTTCCACTTAATTGTACTGCCTTATTTGATAAGGGATTTTGGTTCCAGGGTATCTATTTCTGGCGTTTTATTTGTAAGAATCGAACTGTATAATGAAGTATGTAAATATGATTATGTATTACCTTTAACTTTTCCATTTTCTTTTGCAGTTGATTGCTGTGATCTTGGGTCATCTTTGGACTTCTGAGTATGTTTTCTTATCATCAACCTTGAAGTTCCTACTTGAACTAGATTTGCTAATGGAGGTTATGAGCCTTACTAATAGTATTTATGAATTTTCTGCATTTCATAGGAATTCTCGGATGAGAGCGAGGATTGAGTTACTATTGAAGCAGAATAAGCTCTCCAAAAAGGATGTCAAAGATGTATTACAGGTTTGTCTTCTTTCAGCTACTTATGGAGAATGCATTTTATAGGCATCTTCCATATTCACTTGCATCATATGAACATGGCATTGAGAAGTATTAAGTAATAATTTGATAGTGAACTTCAGTTAATTTAATAATAATCTTATCTGAAGTTCAGTTTTGAAATACTGAAGCTTATATGAATCTTTAGTTTCATGTCCATTTCCACAACTTAAATCCAGGGACGGTCTGAGATGGATAGGCTCGTACTATTATTATATTCAGCTTGTTGTTTTTACTGACTAGGATAAAGATGACGGTCTGATGATATGTTCAGAAATTGCTTTCACTTATAGGGATGATGCTTGCCCTTCAATACCATATACCTAGAAGCTGATTTTGTTGCAATTTTGGATTTTTCGCACAGGAATATCACGACAATGTGGGTGATCTGGAAGGACCTGATGAGAAAGAGAGGGCACAGTCAAAGATCCAAAAGTTCATATCAGCATTTTGACTATTATTTTGCTTTAAGGGGCACAAATTTTTCCCCGCCAAATGTCAATCTGTTGTTCGTAGCTCTTCTCCGCTGCTGTTGTATCTAACCTTGCTAAATGTTATTGTTTTAAAGTAGCTCAAATTTTGGCGCCAACCGTTAATGGTAGGGAACATGTAGAATGCAGTAGCATGTTGGATTTCTTACAATACTGGGATCCTTAACTGCCAATGGCAGGCATCACAAGTTCTTCTATTGCTTATCACGTCTAACAAACTAATCTAAACAACTCTTCCATAACCTAGCGAACTGCACCTTCAGGACCTCCTTTTCCACCGACTCTTGTGCATCATATTGTTTCTGGCGTAACAAGAAATTTGTCAAAATGCCGAAAGTGGACTAGGAAATAGTATGTAATTAACCAATGGAATTGACAGCTTACCCAGAACTTTTTGCAGACGGTTTAGGCTCGTCATGTAGGCTGATAGTAGCTAACTTATTTATCAAGCTGTCCGTTGTCACAACAGAATGTGTTTCAACTGACCACGAATATGGAACTACTAAACCACTGCATCAAAAGAAACCCACAATCAGTTCTTATTGAGATCTTAGTCCAAAACAAGCATGCATGTATCAGGAGATGTGGTTAAAAATTTTGCAAGGAATTTGATCTGATGGATACAATTATTTCATACCCTTCCATCTTTCTGAGTCTGCACCGGTTCAAAGTGTTCATCGTATAGTTTCCATACAGCTCGTCAAGCCTTTTTACGATGTTTGGTATCCCTGAGCCTGGCAAGATCTCCCAGAATTTTAGAACCTGAACTTCCCTTGAACTCTCCCTTTCAATGTCAACTGTCCAAATTAGTTTCAATGAACCCTTCAAATCATGCAGCCCCAGCAACAAAGCCGAAGCACCGAAATTTTCACCTACGGCACTGTGATCTCGTGCGGGGAACCAACCACTGGAAAGTTTCCTCATAATCGAGAGGATTTCTTTATGGATCTCTGAGTCCTGAATTTTCGCAAATGATTTTGAAAATTCATCTCTGAAGCAAACCTATTGAGGGTACATGCAAAAACAAATATACATCACTATCTCGCTAAGTATGCAAGGAGACAATGAGGTGCCTTTGAAAACAAATACGAACATCGCAACAAAGTTAATTTTTAGTTAGATTCTTAATTTTACGTTAACGTTACATCTCATTTTAAACATAATATCCAAGATGAGACTATAAGAAAGATACCTTCCACCTTGCATTCTGGAACAATACTGAGTCATTCTTGAATAGCTTATCAAACAAGCGGAAATCAGTTAAGGCAGAAGAAATGGCATCAGCCAAGTTCTTGTCATCTTCAGCATTGTAGAAACAACCCCTAGATTTTGCATCCAAGACTAATTTTTTCCAAACAGAACCACTATTAATGAGAGTCGCACTATTCCCTAGTATCCAAAGGCAATGCCTGCAAGCAGTAGTGCTCAAATGAATAAATATAGAGAATATTCTTATGCATTACTTTTTGAAAAGCACATTCTGTCTCGTTTTTGTAGCTAAAATATCTCGAGACTCATTGTTGGAAATATCTGTTGTTATATTTATACCTAGCTCGAGTAAGAGCCACATTTGTCCGTTGATGATCGGAAAGGAAGCCAATTTTCCCATTCCCATTGCATCGCACAGTTGAAATGATTATGATATCTTCTTCACCACCTTGAAAGCCATCAACTGACCGAACAGTAACTGAGAAATCACTGTTCACATCTGTACTATAGATCTTTCCAAGTTTCTCCTGAAGCTCAAAAACTTGAGCTTTGTATGGTGATATGCAGCCAACACGAAGCTTTTGTTTAGAGAGAAGAAATTCTACATTAAACAGGCGCAAACGTAGCAGCTCAGTTGTAGAGATGTTCAAAAAGAACAAATTAAAAATAAAAAACACAAACTTCTTTGAAAAAAAGAAAAAAAAAAAACTGATTAGATCCAAAGCGAAAATGATGCATACGTTTATGAAGCTGAGCTATGATCGCGACGACCACATATACCTCCACGAGATTTTTCCTGCTATGTCTATCATCAAGCAACTCAACACCATGGTTTATGTCAATGAAAGAGTATGATCCATACATTTGTCCTTTCAAAAAGCTCCTTTTATAGCTTGCATTCCTCACGTTGGGACCATCCTTTATTTGTTTTCCATAGAATACCCTATTTGGAAATAAGCTTATCGATGGATGCATCCTATATTGCACATTAAGAAGGTTCTTTGGATGCCCTAATGTCGTCAGTCTTTCAAATAAACTTCTTCCAAATTCAGCCTTCTCACAAAACTGTTAATCGCACCGCTCAAATAAGTTAGAGAATCATGAATATCAATAGATGGTTGACTGTAAAATTCATTAGTTGGAATACCTTGCTTTGAACCATTGCTGGCAGTTGTTTTTGATCTCCAATAAGTATTGCATGCTTAAGACCAGGAAGCTGAAGGGGTACTGTGGACTCGCATTCTTTGAGTTGAGCAGCTTCATCAATGATCAGTAATTCAATTGGTGCCATTCCTTCCGTATGCAACTTAGATGAGCCTGAAGCAGTACAGAATAGTAAGGTTGCACTTTGCAAACAGAAATTTCTGATTTGATAATCTTCAATTAGATTTGGAAGACATAATTTTCCTTGAAGAATTTTTAGTTTCAGAAGGCACTCTTTTCTTGTTGCCAACAATTCATTAGGTTTTTTTCCCTGTCTTCCTGAACTTTCAATTCCATAGAGAATATCTCTTAACTTTCCATTTGCAACAACCTTTTTAATTGAAGCTCCAAGTGCTTTCATCATTTCCACAACACTGGCCATGTCCTTCGCCACTTCCACCTGAATGAAAGACGTCGGCATGTGAGTATACAAGCTTGTTATACAAAAGATCAATCGGTTTCCAAGAGAAGTGAAGTCCCTCCAAAGAAACTCCTCAAAGGTCAAAAGATCCTCCACCCCATTGTTTTGCTTCCTTTGGTTCTTGCAATCAGAAGAATCTTTCTTCATTTTTTCATGCTTCGATGTATGAGATTCTGGTTTGTTCTGTTCTTTCTTCTTTTTATTCTCCTTCACAGTTTGAATGATTACTTTCCTCCAAACCTGATGCTTACTGTCTTTTGAGACAGGATTTTCGGCCTTATCAGCTTCATCTTGGCTGGCCATTGCACTGGTGTCCGCGAGGAAGATTTCATCTATCTCAGCTTCCTCGTCATTGTCTTCTTCGTTATTTTCTTTTGCTTTATTCAAATATAACCGATACTGTTCCTCAGGGTCTTCAAGCAACCGTATCATGGCTTCGGCACTGCCTTTCCACCCAATTAATGGAGAAAAACAATATGAAAGGGCCGAAACACGGTTGTTAAGAAAAACATCAAAGAGCTCTTCGTAATCATCAATCTTCATTCGCTCTCCATTCCCAAACAAAAGAATATCCCCGAGTCCATATGTATCATACTTTAAAGTAGGCCTCAACAAGGTCATCAGTCGATTTATAACTCCAATAACTGCAACATTCGTGGGAGCACAAGTCAATGATCTGCATGTCAGTTGTAACAGAGCAAATAACAGAGAAGCAACTGTCTTCGTTTTGCCGGTTCCAGGAGGACCCCATATCAGCTTCACCGTGTTCTGATGATTACAATCTTTTGTATCAAGGCAATTTAAGACAGCAGTTTCCTGTGACTTGTCCAGTCCAAAGTCTCGGACAAGTGCAAGTCGAAATAACTGAGTAGACACTTCGGCTTTTTCAGAGGAGCAAGCATTACAAGCCAAACCAACCTATAAATGGAAATGAAAGTAGAAGAAAACATTAAAAGGTTTTGTTTTTAATGACGTTATCTGGATCTTAAGGAGGCAAATATTTTATCAAATTCCAAATAAATTATCTATCTAGCAAACAAAACAAAAGCAGTATCATATAATGTTAGGAAGCCTAATGGAAACAGATGGACATCAGAACATGGGTCTTACGTTGGGGTCAACTTGCAATACACTTGTTAGAATCTTCATGTTTGCAACTTCTGGATCAGGATTCAGAGATTTCCATATGCGCATATTTGTTGTCAAGTTTGTGAGATAAACAGCGAAAAGTTTGTTCTCATTCCTACACTTCTTTATGCCTGCTTTCTCAAAATCAATTGGCTTCGATGTCAAAACAGGAAGCTTAAAGGAACCTTCATCCTTCGGCCCTTGAATTAAAGCAAGAACATATGGCCATTTAGGCTGATTCAAATCATCAATCCGTTTTGGCCTTACATCCGTAATTGCCATCAAATCTCCATACTCAGGTTCGTAAATTCCTTCTTTCCCCTCATACTCACTTGTAGGCTTCAATGACATAGCGTAATACAGCTCCTTCGGGGGACTGAAATTCTTGGATATTTTCACATCAAATACTTCTAGGATAGGAGCTCGACACAATGTTGTCAAGTTTGAGTACAAATCGGCTCGTGTTTCTTCAAGAAGGGGGTAGATAAATGATTTCAAGTAATGATCTGTAGATGTGAACGTCTCAGGAATCTGTTTAACCTGTCACAAGAAGGTGCCGTTAGCAGCAGATTGCAGAGAAGAATCAAAGTTGACTGACAAAGGAACAGAACACTAGTACTGGAAATCAAATTCTCCAGAAAAAAGAAGGGAGAAAAAAAAAAAACCCAACCATCATGCTAGATTTATAATGAACTTTACCATAATATAAAGATCGCCAAACTAGCTACTTCGATCGGCTGAACTAAATTAAATCCACTTAACAAAGCAATGCCATGCAAACTGGCCAACTCAATATAAATTGTCAAAAGGGGGAAAAAAAGGCCTTAACTTTTCTATGAACATGATGAAGGCTCTCAGCTTATGAAGTTATGATCATAGACATGCAAGTGAAGGGAACAAATTTAAAATCTGAGAGAAGTATAGATTACCAACGCTTTTGCTAACCTTGTCAGAGTAATAATTTCTGTTCATCACATCCGAAATGGACCAAGAAAATACAATATCGACCAAATCCTGGGTCTTGGACTTTTCCTTTTTCTTTTTGATTGTCGTCATCATCCTTCAATTTCTTGCCTGATCACTCAAATACAACCAAAATAAGCTAGCTATCCCAGAAAACCGGAAGTTCAGAGCAAATGCCAAAAAAAAAAAAAAAAGAAAAAAAAACCCCTTCAGGAACCAAATTCCTCAAGCAAACAACCAATCGAAATTACACGGACATTTATGAAAAAAGTTGAAATTTTGATGTCGGTAAGCAACGAAATTTCCACAGAAGCACGATGGAAAGTGATGAAATAAAGTAAAAGAAGAGGAGGAAAAAAAAAGGAACAAAATTGACTAAGAGTCAACTTCAAATCAAATGAAAGCAAAGAGTGCTTAAGAAGAAAGGAAGTAGAACTGTCCTCCTCCTCTACTGAAACCCCACAATCCATTTCACTGTTTAACAATACACTCCCAAAAAGACCAACAATCACAATGCAACAAACAGGGAAGAGAATAATAACCTTAACAAACCCAAAAGTAAAGGATAAAGCTTTGATCTTTAACAGAACCCCATAAACAAAAAGGATAAAAAAAAAAAAAAAGAAAAAAGAAAACACAACAGAATCAAAAGATCGGTCTTTGGTGATGGGAGAAAAGGGTTCGTTTTGGAGGAACCCCTTTGGAGAATTTGAAAGAAAATGCAGGATCAGAAGTAGCTGTGTAGTGGAAGTTTGCTTCTAGTTTCTAGTGTTGCCGTCTCAGTTGTCAATCATACGTCCCCCATTTTTGGGAATTTGGAATTGGTAAAAGTACATAAATTTTTTCCACCGTGAAGTTAATGATGATTGATGGATCAATTAATTAGATGGTTAGCTGTAATTTTGGTTTTTAAGCACTTCTATCGAGGTGCATGCTAGGAGGAAGAGGAACTGATTAGGAGTAATTTGCTACAATCGGGAGGGAAAGAACATTTGTACCTCCGAATTAATAAGATTAAACGTCGGAAATACGAATCATCGGAATAATTTATTCATTCTTTTCCATTTGAATTTTATTGCATGAATGTATTTATGATGTTTGACAGTCATAAATTAATCCTCGACCTATTGGGACTAGGATTAGATTACTTAGAAATTAAGCCACCGCCTAAATTTATTCCGTTAGGGTTTCAGGAAACATGTAACACGGTGCCTCTTCCATAATTGATATCTTCTACCTATCTTCTACACCTTCTACACACGATACACATCCCCCTCTCTCTACTCTCTTTATTCCCTTATTGACTTAAGTATCGGAGAATCTACTCTCGGGAGACGCCCAAGGCTCTGTCTTGCAGGTTTTAGGCCGTCCGCCGCCGCCTAGGTCATCATCGCCGCCCGTCCTAGGCACCGTACAGATCCATGCTTCGTCAAGTGGCACGCCCAGTGGGACCGATTTGTTTGGTCTTTACAACTAAATAAATTTCTTAGCGAAGCACGGGATCTTTTGTATCTTTCGCAGCCATGGTGTTAGTTCATTGCTCCGATTTTGCAACAAGAAGATCACGCAAAAAATTATCTTTATTTGGCCAAGAAGACGTCAGCCGACAAGTAGCACAAAGAAGCTTTCGACTGCACAAATAGTTCAAGGAGACGCACTTGCTCCATGCTGATCGAGAAGGAATTATGCAATTTCAAAAAATTGCAGAGTGGTCCTTAAAGTTTTTAAATTTGAAATTTTTTACCCTAAAAGTTTCAATTTTGCAGAACAATCCTTAGAGTTCAAAATCTATGATAAGCTCTCAAGTTCTTCGAAGTAAGGGGCAATTTCGAGAATTGAAGTTTCGAGAGATACATCTCCTCGAAGGGGCAAGCATACCTCGAGCACAATAATACTCCTCGAAGTGTTCAATAAGATGTTCTCGACTTTTATCTATTCAACAACTACCTTCTCGGAATCGAGGTAACACTTTCTCGAATAATTAATTTATCTCGAGATCGAAGTACATTTCAAACCTTTTCTAAATACGTTTCTCGAATCTATATTCATATATTACTAATACCATTATTCTCCTTTTGAGTGAAATTGCATATCGACGAAAGACCTGCACGACAGGCAATAAAGGCTTCTCCCTTTCAAATAAGAGAGTAAAGGCTTCTCCCCTTCAAATAAGAGAATCTAGGCGCCATCCTCCTAATTCGGTATAAACAGGCTTCCCTCTTCTAATAAGGAACTCACTAACACAAAGACCTCCTCGAGGCATTCTACTCTCTCTATCTTGTATAGGTGACACCCAAGAACGAAAGAATTCGAGAACTGGGGCAACACCACGAAACTCGAGAAGACATCAACATTTATAGCAACTCATATCTTTCTCATCAAGTCTCGAGAATATGGCTTGTTAGGGGCACTTGACGAGTCATAAATTAACCCTAGGCCTATGGGACTAGGATTAGATTACTTGGAGATTAAGCTACCGCCTAAACCTAATCCGTTAGGGTTTCAGGAAACATGTAACACCACCTCTATATAAAGAAGTGGTGCCTCTCCCATAATTGATATCTTCTACCTATCTTCTACACCTTCTACACACGATACACATCCTTCTCTCTCTACTCTCTTTATTCTCTTATTGACTTAAGCATCGGAAAGTCTACTCTCGGAAGACACCCGAAGCTCTGTCTTGCAGGCTTTAGGCCGTCCACCGCTGCCTAGGTCATCATCGCCGCCTGTCTTAGGCACCGTACAGATCCATGCTTCGTCAATATTATACATACATACATAAATAAAAGGGGTAGAGCCACAAAAATATGCACTTTGCCTACGTGTTACACTTTTCAAATTCATTCACCTAATAAATATATCTAGTACCACCCCAAAGTCTTTATTCTCTGACACGAAAATGTACTAAAAAACTATTCGAAATTAGTGTTTTGTTTCTTTTCTTTTTTCTTTTTTTCATTTGAGCAAAGTGTGACGTTGGTCCTTTATAGTTTATATTTGATCAAGTAAAGTATCCTCCGTTAATTTTTTTTTAGAAGAAGAAGAAGAAGAGAAATGGACACTTGTGTCGACCATTTTATTCGCGATCTTTTTTATTATTTTACCTAAATTTCGTGAAACTCCAACACATCAGTTGAAATTTTTTCTTTAAATTTTTTTTGGTTAACAATTAAAAGCATGTTACTTTGCAAGAGACTAGTTTTGTGCCAAAAACCCAAAAAGGAATTTATAAGGCATGAAGCATTGAAAAATCAAACTCAACATATATATTTTTCAGTTTTGGAAATGACAAAATATGTATATTTGGTACATCAACTATACTACTTACTCTCTAACCTTTTTTTTTTTTTTGGGGGTGGTGGGGGTGGCGCTGATCAAATACTTTCTCCTTTAGTTCCAAGCCTGACTTTTCTGTATCTTTCATCTCCACAATCACTGATTCATTAATTACATTATCTTGGACAAACTTTCACATGGAAGCAAATCGGAACGAGAATCCCTTTCTCCCCTTATTCTGGATTGTGTAACATATTAGTCCACATTTCCCTCCAACTATTATTATCGATCATCCTAGTTATGTCTCTACCACAAAAGTTTTAGCCAACGCTCGCAACTGGAACTTCTGAATCTTCCCGGTTGAAGTCTTGGGCAGCTCATCCATGAATTCCACCTTCTTAGGCACCATAAATGCCGGCAAATTTTGTCGGCAATGCGCTATGATATCCACCTGAGTAACGCCGGCGGCTTCAATGTTTTTCACCAGGGTGACATGCACAAGGACTTTCTCTCCGCTTGGGGTGTGGCATTGCCACAACAAAGACTTCAATCACACAAGGGTGTTTGTAAATCACGCTCTCGACTTCGACGCTACTAATATTCTCTCCGCCCGAAAATATCACGTCTTTAGACCGATCCTTGATTTCCAGGTACCCGTCCGGGTGAATCACCCCGACATCACCCGTCACGGACCACCCTTTATGAAACGCTTTCGCAGTGGCCTGTTCGTCTTCCAGGTAACCTTTCATGATGCTGCTCCCTCGCAACACGATTTCCCCCATGGTTTTCCCGTCTCGGGGAACGTTTTCCATTGTCTCCAAATCCTTCACATCAACATCCGCAAGCGTCAATATGCTGACTCCTTGTCGGGCCTTGAGCTTGGCTCGATCATTTGCTGACAATTGGTTCCATTGGGCATGCCATTCACAAACCAGGGCCGGCCCCGTGGCTTCGGTTTTCCCGTACGCGTGGGTTACATAGAATCCCAGGGCTTCAATTTTCTCCAGGAGCGCCAGTGGAGGCGCCGAGGCGGGGCTCCGCCAGTGAGAATTTGAACCGGGTTGGTTATTCTCCAGCGCTGCTCATCCGATTTGGCTTCCAACAGGATGTCGAAAACTACCGGAGCGCAAAACATGTGGGTGACATTGTGTTGAGCAATGGCGTCGTACTTCTCCTGAGACATCGTGTTTCGGATGTAAACATGGTGCCTCCTCGAGCCGCGACGCCCCAGGTGAAAGTCCAGCCATTGCAATGGAACATAGGGAGCGACCACAAGTAAACAGGCTCAGTTCCCGTTTCCCATCCCAGAAGAAGGCTCAATGTGCTTAGGTACGCTCCCCTGGGGCTACAAACCACGCCTTTCGGCGCCGACGTTTCCCTGATGTATAATTCAACGCTATTGCATCCCATTCCTCCTCGATTTCTTCTGGCACGTACCCTGGATTTCCTTGTTGAACCAACTCTTCATACTCGAGTTCCCCCAGGCGGACGCCCGTGGGGGAGCCGAGATTATCGATGACGATGACTCGGGGAATTGAAAGGAATTGGGCATATTAATATTCCCCAGGAGCAGGAGTTGGAGGGCCTCTGTAGCTTGCGGCACGTACTGAAAGTCGACAAAGAAGATTTTGGCTTCGGAGTGTTTGAGGATGGTGGAAAAGGTCTTAGCATCAAGTCTGGTGTTGATTGTGTTTAAGACAGCGCCAGCCATTGGAACCGCGAAATGCATTTCGTATGTTGCCGGAATATTTGGTGCCAACACCGAAACCTGTATCAATTGCAAGTACAATAATCAATCAATCAAAGCAGAGCACTCTGCATATCAAGCTTAGAAAAAATAATGGAAACAATCGACGTAGGACGTTGTTTTTGACGAGGTTCAAAGATTTCAGGGAGGAAGCCAGTCGGCGACAGCGTTCGTAGGTTTCCTCCCAGGTGAATCGAACTTGTCTATAGATGATGGAGGTGCGGGAGGCATAAACTGAAGCTGCTCGCTTCAGGAAATTTATAGGAGTCAGAGGAGTGTAATTTGCTTAGCATTTTCTCAAGCTATCATCCAGCTGTTTTGGGATGGTTTGGGTTGAATAATTTCTACCAAGAGCTGCTCTAGCTAAGAATCTGTAGTAGTACATTTTATTAGCAGCAATTTTGAACTAGGACTCAATTCTTCCACCTTAATTTATAAGTGAAGATGATACAGGATCGAAATTATTCATTTCTGAACTATACTTTTTGTTAGTTGTTACTGTCAAGACACTTTCGTATTCATGATGTGTAATAATTATGAAAGACGTAGAGGCCGAACCTAGCTAGAATTACATAATTTGGGATTTACGCAATCTTTTTGCTAATTATTCCCATTTCACCATTGGCGTTTAGATATGTTTGGTAATTCAAAACTGCTTTCCTTAGCACCTGTGTTTGTCTGACTATCTTTAGATTCTTGTATCCGCCTCTCTCGTAGGACTTTTGAGAGAATACAAAACAAGTGAACCTTTTCTTCATCAAATTGTAAAACATTTTTTTTTTTCTTTTTTCCCCTAATCTCTCTTTTTTACATGATAATTAATACTCATGAAAACACACCCTACAGCAAACTGATAAACTAGTTTCGGATATGCTTTGGATTGGAGCATATCCTACACTAGTAAGGTGATGCAATAGCACCAATCCATGGCAAAATGGTACTGATGAATGGCTTCAGTCATTTTCGGTACAATAAAAGAGCCTAAAACCTTTAATAAAAAAATTCAATACTTCCATATATAGTAAGTAACATCGTTTTACATGACTATTAATGTTCATGGAAGCTGAAACTTGAAAACACATCTGGAGCAAAATTATAAACAAGTCTGTACCCAAATCTTCTTCCTCCAGTCTCTTTTACTCACCTCCTTGTACATAATAGACCTTTTACCATTTTCTGTCAAAACAGATATTGTAGTCAGAATATACATGTGTCTAGTAAATGGTATCACCACGGAAAGATATGAATTATCATGGATTCAACTCGCCTGTGATTCCTTGGAGATGATCTGGGTTCATTCCTTAAGCTGATTGATGCAAATTTACTGACCAAGCTTTTTGTTGGATCATTACTGCAACTGTCAACTTCAAGTAAGGCACGGGAAATTGCTCTGGCTAACTTATAATCGTCTCTAGCATTGTAAAAACAACCACGATCCTTTGCATCCAACACCAATTTCTTCCAAACACTGCCACTGTTTGTCAGAGTTGCACTGTTCCCCAATATCCATAGGCAATGCCTGCAGTAGTTTCGGACAGAATTAAGAGTGTAATAATTATGAATTGCTTGTTTCTCTATCTATTCTTTTGCTGTGCTATTTAAATTTTACCTTGCCCGAGTCAAAGACACATTAGTTCGCTGATGATTTGAAAGAAAGCCAATGGATCCATTTCCGTTGCATCGCACTGTTGAAATGATAATGATATCTTCTTCGCCGCCTTGGAATCCATCAACAGAACGTACACTCACTGAGAAATCACTGTTTGCATCTGCACTGTATAGCTTTCCAAGTTTTTCCTGAATTGCGAAAACTTGAGTTTTGTATGGTGAAATGCAGCCAATGCGGACCTTCCGTTTCGAGACTTGAAACTCTAAACAAAAGAACAAACAGATTAGCAGTTCAGCTGCAGATAAAATAAAAAAAATAAAATAAAAAACTCAAAAATCCTAATATTGCCATAGAACTCAAGAGTAGAAGAAGCAGCACACACGTTGGTAAAGGCTTGCAATAATCTCCGCAACCACATAAACTTCCACCATATTTTTTGGGCTGTACTTGTCAAATTGCTCAGTACCCTCGTTTATGTCAATGAAAGAGTATGAACCGTACATAGATCCTTCCAAGAAACGCTGGTTGTAGGAATCATCATTCACGTTAGGACCATCCATAATTTGTTTCCCGTAGAACTCTGCATTGGGAAATCGGCTAATCGATGGATGCATCCTGTATTGCACATTCAGGAGATGTTTCGGGTGTCCTAGTTCTTCCAGCCTCTGAAATAAACTTCTTCCAAAAACAGCTTCTTCACACATCTGTTCATCCCATTTCAAACAGAAGTTGAAAAACAGTAACTCTCAAGATGCTTAAATGTGAAATGTGCAATTAGTTGAATACTAACCTTGCTTTGAACCATAGCTGGAAGTTGTTTCTGATCCCCTATTAGAATGGCGTGGCGAAGACCGGGAATCTGAAGGGCAACCGCAGATTCGCATTCTTTTAGCTGAGCAGCTTCATCTACGATGAGTAACTCCAATGGTATCACTTTTTCAGCCTGGTCAGTGAGCAACTTGGCTGAGCTTGAAGCTGTACAAAAGATCAGTCTAGCATTGGCTAAACAAAAGCTTCTTATTTGATCGTCATCTGCAAAATCTGGAATCCTTATTTTGTCTTCAATTAGTTTGAGATTCAGCAAGATTTCATGAAGAACATCATCTCTTGCAGTACTCTCACTTGAGGCAATTTTTAGTAGCCATGAACTGAAAGCTTTTGGTAGCATTCCATGAAGAGCATCTTTTACACCCAGACCCGATGCAATATTTTTTAGGCAGGAACTATTTACAGCTTCCAATGCTGTCAAAACTCTGAACATTTCCTTTGCGGTGTCTCTCGGAATGAATGATGTAGGCAAGTGAGTAATCAAAGTTCTGATACAAAGACTCAACTGTTTCCTTTTTAGTTTAAATTTCTTCAAGAAAAACTCTTCAAATGTTAAAAGATCTTCGCCTTCATAATCATCAGCTCTCTCCAGCTTTTCTTTTTTTGTTCTTATATAGAGATGATATTGCTCCTCAGGCTCTTCAAGCAACTGTATCATGGATCCTATGCTTCCTCTAAAACCAGTTATTGGGGAAAAACATTGCAAAATGGAAGAAACACGATATTCAAGAAAAACATCACCGAGCTCCTTATCATCATCAATCTTCATTCGCTCCCCGTTACCAAACAAAACTATATCCCCAAGTCCGTAAGAATCAAACTCCAGAGTTGGCCTCAACGAGGTCATAAGCCTGTTCACAATTCCAATCACTGCAACGTTCGTCGGAGCACAAGTCAGTGTTCTGCATTTCATCTTGAACAGGACAAATAACAGAGAAGCAACTGTCTTTGTTTTTCCAGTTCCAGGAGGACCCCATATCAGCTTCACTGTATTCCGATGATAACAATCTTTTGTTGCGATACAACTTAGAACAGCCTTTTGCTGGGAATCGTTTAGTCTGAACTCGCGAATAGCTGCAATTTGATTAAGCTCAGAAACCCCTGTAGCTTTATGTAAGGAACAAAGGGTGCAAGCCGGAACATCCACCTATAAATGACAGCCATTTAATGTTATCTGTGTACTAAGATGGTATATGTTTCAGTACTGAAAATATGAAGGTAAAAATTATTAAAAAAAGTGATCTTACCCTGGGTTCAACCTTTAACACAGTTCTCAGAATCTTCATGTTAGCAACTTCAGGATCAGGATTCAAGGCTTTCCAGATACGCAGATTTGTTGTCAAGTTAACAAGATAAACAGCAAAAAGTTTATCACCCCTTTTGTCCTTATCATCCTCTTTCTCAAACTCAATAGGTTTTGATGACAAGATTGGAACATTGGTTTTATCTTGTTCCTTAAGCCCTTGAATGACAGCAAGAGTATATGGCCTCTTATACCTGTTCAGGTCATCAATACATTTAGGCCTTGCATCAGTAAGTGCGATTAAATCTCCATACTCGGGTTCATAAACAGCTCCTTTTTTCTCGTTGTCTCTGATTGGCTTCAATGAAATTGTGTAGTACAGATCTTTAGGGGTCTTAAAATCCTTTGACAATTTCACATCAAATACTTCACAAGCGGGCGCACGAGCTAACGTGTTTAAGCTTGCAGATAAACCAGCCCTTGTTTCTTCGAGAAGAGGATGGATGAATGATTTAAGGTATTGATCTGTTGATGAAAATGTCTCGGATATTGGTCTCACCTATCCACATGAAAATACAAGAAGTTGGGTTCAAGGGAAAACCAATAAACTCAAGCAACAAACATTATACTTAATACTTACTTCACAAGATGCGAAAAGAAGACAAGATATCAGCATCCGAATCTCTGAGATAAAAAAACGTTATTATATGGGTACCTTGTTAGAGTACAAATTTTTGTTAATCACATCAGAAATGGACCAAGAAAAGATGGCATCAACCAAGCCCGGACTCCTGGATTCTTCCTTCTTATTTGTGTTGCGGGTCATCATCATCATTTTCCCTCCTTTCCTGAGAAATCAAATTCTATTGTGTTTGAGAAAGAGGATTATGAAGGCTGGGAAGAGTTAAAAACAGCAGTGAAGACAGGGATTCACGCACCTGCCAATGAGATCACTTATTACTTATTAGAAACCAATTTCAGATATCCTGCCAACTTCAAATCTGAAGGAATCAGGAAAACAAACATAAATCAGAAATTTGATACTTCAATCGCAAGTGAAGGAAAGTTTTATGCCATGACAGCAAGAAAGACAAGAACAGTGGAACGAAATGTGGAAAATTGACTTGAAGTCAACTCGATCAAAGAGCAATCAAAGCTTACCCAAGAAGAAAGGAAAGTTCAAAAAAGTTCCCCTCTGAACCCAAATTCAAGAATGAAATAAAAATCCAAAACCAATGATAAAAGAACCGTGATTTAACAGCAGCAGACCTTTTGGGCTTTGTTTCTTGTACTTGGAAGGAAAATGTATAGTTTCTTCTTTGGCGACTTTTCTGTGTTTCTCAAGTATCAAGTCTCAACCTTTATAAAGCATAAAGTTCCTAGGTCGGCCATTGGACTTCCGCAGTGAAGTCTTCCTCGTGTGAAGTCCATATTAAAATCATTCATGTATTTATTCACAGTTATCATGGTGGTGTACAGCTTCCTTTGTTGTAGTATGTATGTATACTTACGCTGCACATTGATACTGCTGCTGCATTCGTTGGAAATTTAATAAATTGGACGTTTGGGTGTTTCATGCTTTGGGTTTTCGTTTGAGTTTTAGAAGATGCACCAATTTCAAGCCTTTTACTATTAGAATGCGTTCGATGGAATTATTAACGACGTGTTAATTTGAATTTTGAACTAAGAAATGAGGTCTACAAGGCTCTCTCTATTCATTAGGGGAAAGATTGATATAAAATTATTCTAAAAGTGTTAAATTGTGACTGAAACACCATGTAAATTATGTTTCTTACTCGTAAAATGTAATTATTAACACTAGCTTTAATTTTATAGATAGCCACCTTCATTGCAGGGTAGAAAGAGAGCAGCATACAAATAGAAAGACAGCAACAAACAGAGCTGCTGATATTTAGTTGTAGAGCAATGATACAGATAGTGAAAATGCATAGTGATTTGTGTGTACGTAGTAATTAGAGATAAAAGAGTAATTTTAGGGAAAAAGATAAAATTTTAACGGTAAAGTGACAACAAAATAGTAAATACACATTAGTCACTATTTCTTTTTACTATAACTTTTTACTACATATATCATTTTGCTTAGTTGTAATAATGATAACTAACTACTATACCATCCTCATCAATCGGATCAAACGATGTGAACCTTTAAGACCATCCCTAATGGATGGCACCAAATCACCAATGGGTACAAATTGCAACCCCAACGGTTGCACTATCCATGGCACCAAATGGGTGCTCATGGACAGTACCAAATACTGTTCATAAGCACCCATTTGGTGCTTTAATTTTATATATATATATATATATATCTTTTTTATTTTTAGTTAATTTGTGTAAATTATAAAATAATCTTTTTAAATTAAGTAATGTGTAATTTATAACTATTGTATATTATTCTAAAGTTATTAATATATTTATAAGTCTAAAATAGATTTAATCGGTCTCATGTGTATGACTTAATTTGAGATAATTAACAAAACACTCATGCACCGATATTGATAATTAGAAATAATTATAAACACTCATACATTGATATTTGAGATAGTTTGTATATTTTCATTTGTATAAGAAAAATATTATTTAATTATTAATGCGATTAAATATGGTTTCTAAAATTTAATTTACTATATAATTTTTTTTATATTTTGGCTATGTTCGAAAGATAAACAAAAAATATGTTATCTTTTTGTAATTTAATAAATCTAATAAAAAAATAAAGATAAAATAGAATTGGTGATTTTGGGTGCGAAATTTGTTTTGATGGTTGGACTTCAAAATATTGAGTCACTAAAACACTAAATTGGTAAATTGGTGTGCACCAAATTGTTGTTGCCCTTGGGATGCTCTAATTATAATGTGTTGTCATTCCAATCCTCGATTCCAATGAATCAAACTCCGTAAAAATCGCTCCTAATTACCACGATTTGATCCTGCCTTGCACATTTATGATCCTTGCAATGGCCTTCTTTGCCTGTCAACTTGAATATGAATATATATATATCTATATGTCGGTTTGCATTTCGAGTTCACAAATCATAGTAGGAGAAAATCATACATCTGCTAAAGTTTCATTTCACAAGAAGCATTTTACACATTAAGACACAGATAATTTTACTTTCCTTTTTTGCTTTGTTGAATGCTAAAATTTATAGGGAACAATTAGTTTTTGTTTTGGCCTCTGAAGTAACTAGCAAAATGACATCGTTGAAATGATTGAATTTGGGAGTTTATAATGTCCAAAGCCCATCAAGGACTATCATATATTGTGCTATTATTAGAATCCCAAAAATCAAAATGTTTTTATCTCAACATAATTTTGTCAGAAAACTGGCAAGTGATAAAATTGCAAAACATGGAAAGGTTTTCGATTTCCTATAAAATAAGTGCTCTTTATTTATCAGCTATAATTTGAGAATGTTCAAATGAAAATTACTTCCACCAAGGTTAAATTTGGTTCAGGATGGAGCTTGTTTTTGCCTGTCCCCTTTTCAAATTTAATCAAAATAATGAACATGTTAGAGAAATTTTTATTATCATCATTCTCAATGATCTAAAAATTTTGTGAAATTCGATCCTTAAAAATTTGAAGTATATACACTTTCTAATTTTTTTTTTTTTCGATTTAAATATACACTTTCTAATTTTAAGAGAGTGAACGTTACTCGAACCAAAGGGAACAAGAGCGTGTATTGGCCTAATGGGCTTAAAGCACAAAGTGATCCTTGGTCGGCCGTTGGACTTCCACAGTAAAGTCTTCCTCTTACGGAGTCCACATTTGAATAATAATCATGCACTGGTTCATAGTCATTGTTATGGTTAAATAGTATTTTCTTCGTTCCAAAATAAGTGTTGTTTTAACAAAATGGAGAAATTTCTATAGTAACCGGAACAAAAATGAAGTCTATACTCTAATAGGTATAATAAGAACAAGTTACAAAAGACACTTTAAAATGAAATCTGTGCGATCCTCCTTCATATGTGTTAAGCTTTATCTCTTAAACACATCCTGCAGCAACATTGTAAACCAGATTGTAACCAAACCATCTTATCTTCCTCCAGTGTCTCTTTACACTCTTCAGTACTCGTACATAATAGAATTTTTACTATTTCCTGTCAAAATAGATATATAGTCAGAATATATGTATGTATTAAATGGTATCGCGCCACGAAAAGATAAGAATTGCTATCATATAAGTAACTGGCCTGTAATTCTTTGGGGATGATCTAGGCTCATTCCTTAAGCGGATTGCTGCAAATTTACCAGCCAAGCATTTTGTTGGGTCATTACCGGCGCGGTCAATTTCAAGTAAGGCACAAGAAATTGCTTTGGCTAACTTGTAGTCATCTCTAGCGTTGTAAAAGCAACCACGATCCTTTGCATCCGACACCAATTTCTTCCAAACTGACCCGCTGTTGATCAGAGTCGCGCTATTCCCCAATATCCATAGGCAATGCCTGCAGTGGTTTTGGACAGAATGAAGAGTGTAGTGTAAGTGTAAACGCCTGTTTGTTTATCTATCTGTTTTGCTATTCCAATTTTACCTTGCCCGAGTCAGAGACACATTAGTCCTCTGATGATTGGAGAGAAAGCCAATGGATCCATCAAGTTAATAAGATATACAGCAAAAAGTTTATCACCCCTTTCATCCTTGCAATCCTCTCTCTCAAATTCAATAGGTTTTGAGGATAAGATAGGAACAAGGGTTTTATCTTCTTCCTCCAGCCATTGAATTACAGCAAGTGTATATGGCCTCTTATACCTGTTCAGGCCATCAATACATTCAGGCCTTACATCTGTAAGAGCAATTAAATCTCCATACTCAGGTTCATAAATTGCTCCTTTTTTCTCTTTCCCCCCAGCCGGCTTCGGTGAAATGGTATGGTAAAGTTGTTTAGGGAGCTTAAAATCCTTTGAATTTTTCACCTCAACTACTTCGCATGCAGGGGATCGATTCAATGTTGTCATGCTTGCGGATAAACTGGCTCTTGTTTCTTCGAGAAGAGGGTGGATGAATGAGTTTAGGTATTGGTCTGTCGATGAAAATGTCTCAGGTATTTGTTTCACCTGTCACACGAAAATGCATCAAGGTGGATTCAAGGGAGAATCAATGAACTCGAAAGGAGAAATATTATATAGTAGTTAATTCACAAGATGCGAAAAGAAGACAAGATATCAGCATCCGAATCTCTGAGATAAAAACGTTATTTTATGGGTACCTTGTTTGAGTACAAATGTTCATTAAGGACATCTTAAATGGACCAAGAAAAGATGGCATCAACCAAGCCCTGCCTGCTGGATTCTTCCTTCTTATTTGTGCTGCGGGTCATCGTCGTCATTTCCATTTTCCCTCCTTCCATGAAAAATCAAACTATCTTACATAATATATTTGAAGATATAAGAATAATTAGAGTTAAAAACACTAGCGAATACTGGGATTCAAGCACCTGCCAATGAGATCACGTAGAAACCAATTTCATATATCCTGCCCAAGTTCAAATATGAAGGAATCAAGAAAAACAACATAAATCAGAAGTTTTGATACTACAATCGCAAATGAAGGGAAGTTTTATGCCATGGCATCAAGAAAGACAAGAACAGTGGAATGAAATGTGGAACATTGACTTGAAGTCAACTCGATCACAGAGAAACCAAAGCCCAAATTCAAGAATGAAGTAAAAATCCAAACCCAATGATAAAAGAACCGTGATTTAACAGCAGCAGACCTTTTGAGCTTTGTTTCTTGTACTTGGAAGGAAAATATAGAGTTTCTTCTTTGGCGACTTTTCTGTGTTTCTCAAGTATCAAGTCTCAAACTTTATAAAGCCTAAAGTTCCTAGGTCGGCATTGGACTTCCACAGTGTGAAGTCTTCCTCGGATGGAGTCCGTATTAAAATCATTCATGCATTTATTCACAGTTATCATGGTGGTATACAGCTTCCTTTGATGTATGTATGTATACTTACGCTGCACATTGATACTGCTGCGGCACTCGTTGGCGATTTAATAAATTGGACGTTTGGGTGTTTCATGCAGCAATTTTTATTAGAATGCGTCCGTTGGAATTATTAACGACCTGTTAATTTGAATTTCGAACTAAAGAAATGACCTAAACACAGTACAAATTTGAAAACTCAATGTAGACTATTTTTTTTGGACACGGATAGTACTATAAAACAATTTTTGATAGTATTAAATTGTGACTGAAACACAGTGTAAATTACTATGTTTTTTGCTAATGAAATGCAGTTATAGTGTTTTGTCATTCCAATCGTACGATTTCAATGATTCATTCTCCGTAAAATTGGTCCTACTTTACCACGATTTGATCCTGCCTTGCATATTTATGATCTGTAAGTAACTAGCAAAATGACAGTGCTGAAATGATTGAATTTGGGAGTTTATAATGTCCAAAGTCCATCAAGGACTATCAGATTGCTTTATTATTAGAATCCCAAAAACCAAAATAGTTTTAGCCTAGTATAATATTGTTTTTGTCCAGAATCAGGGAAATGATAAAATTGCAAACATGAAAAGGTAAATTTGGTTTATGATGGAGTTTGTTTTTGTCTGTCCCTTTTTCAAAATTAATCAGTACTATAATGAACATATTAGAAAAATTATTACTATCATCATTCTCAATGATCTAAAGATTGTATATCTATTAAGTATTAACTCAAAAAAAAAAAAAAGAGAGAAAAACTTGTATATTCACTACTAATTTTAACAGACAATTTTGAATTTTCCCTTACGAGTGAACGTTACTCGAACCAAAGGGTAACAAGAGCGAACATACATGCAAAGGTGGACTACACTTCCAGGGTAGTTACATTATGTGTTATGTTTCTAGAGTGACTGAATGCCCATTTTGGTTCTAGACTCTTCGATTTAAGTCTTGATTATAAAACCAAAAAAAAAAAAAAAAAAGTGTGTAGCTGACGTCATGCATGAGTGAAATGACAAACTCTGATTGGTGGAATGCGCATGTTCCCCACCTAAACCAAGTTGAAAGTCAAAACCCCGAAGCTGGTCATCTTGAGAAACAAGCCAGCCAGCCAATGTAAGTCCACAAGAACAGTAAATCCAAAGTCCATAAGAAGGAAGGCTGAGTCTTCAACGAAAGCCCATATCTGTTATCATCATTTCTTCTTGGAAATCCAGAAAAATCTTACACTTTAACCAGAGCTTTCCCGGAGCTTACTCCAGATTTATTTCACGATCCCCAAAAGAAAGAGATCAAAATCATATCAAGAAATCATGGCAACTGCGGTTGAATTTCTTCCCAAAGAGTATGGTTATGTAGCTATTGTTCTCGTCCTCTACTGTTTCCTCAATATGTGGATGGCTGTTCGAGTGGGCCAAGCTCGCAGAAAGTATGGTTTCTCTATTCCTATTTTAACTTCTTCTTTTTTCTAATTATTGTTTGTAATACGGATTACAGAATACCTCTTTCTGCTTATAAGCTGTTGTAAATTGGGTACATTCCTTTTGGCATCCACGACCCGGTTCCTAATTTGATGGGAATTGGTTATAAAGATTATTGCTTCTTGGAGCTTCTGTTACAGTCATTGATGATTGTGAGATCAAATTTTGCAGAACTGATTGTGAAATTTTGGTTCTTCTGTTTGATGATTTGTGAGATCTAAGGTCAGTAGAATTGATGGTGAAAATTTGATTGTTGTGTTAGGTACAAGGTTTTCTACCCAACCATGTATGCTTCAGAAGCTGAGAATAAGGATGCTAAGCTCTTTAACTGTGTTCAGGTTTCTAAATTTTATATCCTTTTTTTTTTCCCTGGTTCTCTCATCTTCTGGATTTGATGTGTATCATCCCTTCAATCTGATTGTAAAGATCTATTCTTCAAGATATATTAATTCGTTCTAATGTTTTGGGTTATCTCTTTTTTTTCAGCGAGGACACCAGAATTCGCTGGAAATGATGCCCATGTTTTTCGTGTTGTTGATATTAGGAGGGTTTCAGCATCCAGTCATATCTGCTTCCCTTGGCTTGTTTTACATTATAACTCGATATTTCTACTTCAAAGGCTATTCCACTGGGGTCCCTGATAAACGCCTTTCCATTGGGTCAGTTCTCTTTATTCCTCTGTTTCTTTAGGCCCCTTTATGCTTAATTGGCTAAAGGTTATTAATAATTACTATGCTTATTCTAGTTATATGGTTGTTCTGATTGTAATGTTCATGAAACTGAAAGGAGTGACTGACTGATCCTACTATTTCAACATGTATTTGTGCAGGATATATGGCTTTGTATCTCTTTTAGGGCTAACGATCTGCACTATTTCTTTGGGCGTCCATCTGATCACTGCTTGAAATCTTCATGGAACATCCTCAGCAGCCTCAGTTTGCTTTATCATAAATCCCACAGGATTAGGCAGCTTAGCTTGTGTTTTCGATCCCTTGTTTACTTGAGTTTAGCTGATTAAGACTACTTCTCTGCGATGATGTAGGTTTTGTATGTTGTGTGTTTTAGTCATTTTGACTGTAATAAATAATGATGTATGTACACACTCTTTCGTGTGTTTGTGTTGTTCTAACTTTGGTCACACTGCCGATGGTGTTGGTCTTTTTCTATTCTGTTTTTCTCTATTGATTTACTCCCCTTCGATCTTATTTATAAGGTTATGTGGAGAAATTCATAATGGATATGGACACATGAATTAAAAACTTCTCTTTCTTTTAAATATTTTTACATTTGTTGAAACTAAAATGTTTGCAAATGCTGAACTCAACTGGACAGAGAAGATAGCTCATCAAAAGAGAAAAGGTCTACAAAACCGATGCATCTGTCAAGTTTCGAGGATAACATGTCCGCCCTTTGCAGACATAAGGGTTTTTGCCGGAATCCTGCTTCCTAAATCAAGGAAATCTTCTTTTAACTAAATAGTCTCAAAACAAATTAGTATAATTGAAACGAGGTAACTATATGACAACATATGAATATCTGAAATCTGAATCAACATAAAGTTGGAGTTATCCAGATCACAGGTACTTGGTCGTTTTGGTCACCTTTAAATCCTTCAAGTTTGCTGCCAATCTCATGATGCATGCGAAAAACGGCAATGTCGTGGTGATGAATGCGACGACCACCACGGATGAACAGGGGATGTTCTGTTTCGAGAGTATCCGTAAAATATATGGAATTCGGGTTGAAGTTAGGAACACAGATTGCGGAAGTGCAATAATCATCATGATCAGCCCAAAATAGGGAATCATTGCTTCCCAACTCCGATATCTGTATCCATTCAGAATCTCCTTTGTCCTTTGAGCTCTTGATTGCCTTCTTCGCCAGCTTGTGGACCTCGACTATTCCAAAACTTTGCAGATTGTAGGTCCTAGGCTTACAATAATGCAGAACTTTCACCACAAGTAACAAGTCTTTATTCGAAGTTTCCATCAAACAGAACACACCTGGTCTGCATTCCTCGAAACGAGGAATGGAAGGGAATTGTGGCTACCAAATACAATTTCATGAATGGGATGGTTGCTCTTAAAGCCGATTGCGACAATCCTACAACTTTCCTTCAGGACATAAAGCAACTCATTATGAAAAATAATGTCACGAATCGCTCCATAATATGCTCCATTTCGAGCAAAACTCCGAGTTTTTTGGCCTACTCTCATGAAGGCTGCATCATGGGTTCCCGGACCTCGGAACCAACAAATTGCTCCGAGGAAGAAATCATCAGGAGATGTTGTTGGGTTGCAAGACAGAATAACTTTCCGGAATAAACCACGTGTACCACCACCATACATTACGCCTGGAGTTTTGATGGTTTTTCGGGTAAAAGGATTGACAAGAATAACGAAATATCGGTTTCGACTAAAGGGATTAGTAGTAGTGATACGCTTGACAAGGGATTTATCTAATTTTTCTTCCTGGAACATGATCAACCAGCCATAAGAGGAACCTAAGTAAAAATAGCCAGGATCATAATGATTCATGTGAGGAAGTTGGATTTCGTGGTTGTAGAACTTACCTTCAGTAATGCTGTATAGTTTGGAGGAGTGAAATTTGGATGGATTGTTTGTGTCATGTATCTCTTGCTTGGAGATCAAAAGCATCGGCGGCTGTTCATGAATTTTCGCGATTCGTTTTGGTTTTTGATTAAGAGATATGAACCGCCACGATTTGCAGACAGACCCAAATCGGATGTAATCGGTAACAAGAAACAATTTTGTTGGTACCAAATCCAGAATATCTGCTGGAATGTTTGTCCAGTCTTCAAATGACTGTTCCTGATCGATTGATTGAAAGAGATTTGGGCATATTGAAAGTTTGACGAAGTATTTGTAGCTATGAATTTCTTTACATTTTTCAGTATACATTATACGGTTTTTGTTAATTTAAGGATATCAGTTAGATATAAACATGCTAACATAACGATCATCCAGTAATTATGTAAGTTGAGTTGAACGGAAAAAAAAAGAAGTCATAAGCACATGATAACTTCTAAAATCTAAAGTAAGAGGGAAATGATCATGTTCAATTTCTTTTCGTGTGATATCTAATGCCAAAATGATCTTTATATATGTCATCAAGACAAGGGTTAATAATGTGGCATATGAACAGAGTGATTTAATAATTTTGTCGTTTTTTTTTTCTTTTTGTGTAGAGAATTAGGAGAAAACATAGTACTACTAACACACTAAATCACAATGAGTGCGCATAGATAAGACAATGATAATCCAGTTTAAACAACTTCGTAGATGCCCTTAACCAAACTTCCATAATGTTTTGTTGTTTTATACTAAATCATTGTTCATTTCATTTCGACAAATTACTCATCAAATGGGATAGTGCGATGTTTCACCTTCTGGCCAGCGGTAAACTTATAGGAAATACTAGCTCTTTTATTTTATTTTATTTTTTTGCTTCTTTCAAATCCAATCACAAAAATAATGGCAGTCCGCAACTCATGATTGCTTTGACCTCCCAAAATGGCTGTCAATTTCATAGCAGCGCCCCACCAACCACTGAATCATGCAAAAATTTTCACCGTTTCGGCATATTGTAACTTCAAATATTCTTCTAGGCAGAAAAAAGTTCAGTAGGGCTAATTTTATGTTCATAATAATGTACCTCAAAATCACTGCATCTGCGAATCCAAGAGGGAAAACAAAAGAGAACAACCCCAAAACTCGAAACAATAAAAAAACAAAGATAATCCGTGGTATAAACTATAAACTACAGAAATCACGTGCCTCATCCAGAAGCCCGTTGCAAACTGCATTTTTAATTGTGAATTTCCCTCCACAAACACAACCAGATTTATTAGTGTTGGTAGATTCCCCTCTTAAGTTCCCATTGTTGCACCAATCTACCACGTATATCGTTTTTAACTTTTTATATATATATTCTCGATACTAGTATATTAAAAAGATGTTCTCTCTTAATTGTCACAATAATATGAAACGTCATTCTTCATACTTCAATTGGTCGCATTCTGAACTAACACTAATAACAAATGTGTTTGATAAATTTATTTCTCAAATGTTCGATATATTATCTCATTTTAGGATGAAAGATAAAGAGTTGGGGGGAGATTATGTAATTACCCATAAGTTCCATTCCAAAATTTCCAATTCCAAAGCAATAGTAGTAGAAAAGATTCCTCCAAACATTTGGTCCATTCCAATAAGATAGAATTGTGATGGAGGACTGATGGGGTAGTGGAGTCTGACTGACATAATAATAATTAATAATATTATGGTTTCTGAGAGATTGATATATTCCTAGTTTCAAAAAACAACACCAACTCCTGTCTGTCTCTGTTTTAACGGCTCTATCCTCTTCAATCTCTCCAAAATTTGAAATCTTTCTTCCCCTCCCCTTTTTACCAGAGACGACCCAACTTGGGGTAATTTAAAACAGATTTGTTTTTCTTGATTACTGCGCAACCTTTTTTCCCCCTCCTTTCTCTTCCCAACCGTTACAAGATTTTCAAAATCTCCCCTTTTTCAATTTCCATTTCCGTTTCCCTTTCTTTCCTTTTAATCTGTAAGAAAAAGATCCCATTTTTTTTCTTGCTTGTTTTGTTTCAGTGAAAATGGGTGGTTGTTTGAGCAAGAAGAGCACTTGTTCTTCTTGTCCGGCGTCTGCACCTCCGAAACCGCCCCACCAAGTCAATTCTTCAACAACCCAGGTGGAAAGAAAGAAACTTGATGAAGAACCGGTGAAGAAAGAGATATTCATCATTAAGCACAGGAAGAGCCACGATGTTGAGAGAAAGTCCGAGGATGAATCCGGGGATGTGAAAAAGGCGCCGGAAAAAGCTGAATCCGGGAAAATCGGGTCGGATAATAGTAACGGTGGATTGAATGGAGGGATATTTGTGGCGGCGGCTCCGGTGAGGACTTCTAGCTGTACTAAAGAAGAAGTGGATGCTATTTTGATTCAATGTGGGAGGCTCAGCAGAAGCTCTTCCACCGGAAAGGCTAATTTTTCAGGTTCTGTTGGATCTGGGGACAACAACGGGAGTACCCAGAAGGGCAGGAAGTATGCTGGTTCAAAAAGGAGCTATGATTTTGACAGTGAAAATGGAAATGCGGGAAGGGAAGTGGAGAAAAAGAAAGGCATTAATGGGGCTAATGATGGTTATGATGGTAATGGTGTTGTTGATGATGAAATTGGGTTGGGCGGAGAGAGGTCCCACCGCCACCGGCAGCGTCAGAGACCGTCGAGTAGGACGGTTGGTTCACCGTCAAAGGGGAGGAGGAGGACGCCGAGTAGAGAAAGGGAACAGGGTCAGCCGGCAAGGTCAGGGAGCAGAGAAAGGGGTACTAGTGGTGGAAGTGGGAGAAGAGTCAGTAGATCCCCGGGTCGGAGATCGGAGTCACCGAGTGGTGTTTCAGCTGCCGGAAATATATCCTCCGGGAACGGTAATAATGCTAGTGTTAGGCCAGGAAAAATGGTCTCTGTTCCGGCTACTGTTTCATCTTTGGCTATGGACAAGAGCAACAATGCAGGAGGGCCGGAAAACATATCAGCTTCAGCTGTTAAGAGGATTCAAGTAAAGAGGAACGCCGGAGCTGCGTCTCCCCGTGCTCGTTCTCCGGCAAGGACTAATTCGCCGGCGAGGACCAATATTAAGGTTCTGAATGAAAACCAGCAACAGCAGCCGGGGTCACTCAGTCGAAGCAATTCCAGGAAGGCGGAAATTTCTCCCTTCAGGAGAAATCCCTTGAGTGAGATTGACACCAACGTTGTCAGTGAGCAGATCCCTGCAACAAAAGCTTCCAACAACATTGTTCATCAGGTATGGTTATCTTCATATTGCTAATTAAGCACTTTTAATACTTTATTAGTGTGATGAAATTGTTTTATCATTCATGCCATTGTTGACTGAAATACGTGCCACTTGATTGGAACTGATTCGAGATTCTGGAAATTATGTAAACAGGCTCCCATTCAGAAGCAAAATGCTGATCTTTTAGCTAATACTAAAGTGTTGGTTCAAGGGACTGAAAACAAACTTAGTAGCAACAAAGTTAATGCAGTGAGCTCCAACAATCTTGGAGTCAATGTGGTTGCTCCCTCAGGACCTGATTGCCTAAAGCCTCAGGCAGTAGCAAGAAGCAGATCTTCCCGGTTGTCTCGTGACTTTGACATCAATCCTGAGACATTGTCCAGTACTTCACCATCCTACACTGCATTGTTGCTGGAAGATATACAGAACTTTCACCAGAAGAATACTACTGCCCCTGCAGTTACATTCCCACCTTGCCTCACCAAAGCTTGCTCTATCCTTGAAGCAGTTGCAGACCTCAACTCAAGCTCCGGCTCGAATCTGTCAAGTATGTATTCAGATGACAAAAAGCGAGTTCCAAGTGCAGAGTTCAACAAGTACTATGAAAATACTTCATTCGGAAATCGACCAATTGGAAAAAAGGGATTAGATACCAAAGATCCTTTTGTGCAATCTGAAGTAGTTGTAAATGATGATCTAATGGAACCAACTTTTCAGAAGTATGTTACCATGAGAAGGGGGGGTACTGCAGGTGTAGATGACTTGGAAGATCAAGAATCGTCAGGTAGCAACAGCTTTGCGGGTGGCCATCAGCAATGGGTTTCGCAATCCTCATGGGAGCCTAATTCAGCTGAATCAATTGATAGCTGGGCTTCCTCTAGGAGAAATATTAGGGAAGAAAAACTCAGTCCATTGAGATTGGACAGACTTGCCATTTCTGAGTCGGCTCATGATGCTGAAGAAGCTGGAAGAAGATTGAATGGCAATAAGAGGGATACCGAGCAACAACATAATGGTATCGGAAGGGGTCGAATTGGATCAAGGGGATTCCATTCTATGACTACTGCTGCTGCTGCTGCTTCAACATAGTTTTTATCATCCATTCAGTGGTTGTAGTACGAAAAAGAATAAAAAAAAAAAAACTGTTGCAATGTTACTAGTTGCAACCTTGTCCCCAGAGTTCTTGTTCAGAGAATTGTTTTGCTTGAGCGATTCTGTTGTTTCCAAAACCTTAAGAGAAAGGTTCTTCTATTGTACTTATTTTCAATTTATGTAATATTTGGGAAAATGATCTCTTCTGTATGCATAATCTTTAAAAAGTCGATCCATTTCATGGAATAACACATATACCCACTTCAAGGGACAAGGATATCTTCAGATATCCGCACAGCCCGGTAAATCTAATCCTACTGTATCACTAAACCTGAATGGAACCTCTACTTACAGCAAGATAATCTAGTTAAATAACTAGTATCATGAACATTTCCAGGAACCAACCCTGCAGCTTTTTTCCTATCCCTCTTCAGCATCCGCAGCAGGATCCAGTACTGCTGGCTGGTGCATCCCTCTCTCTATTTACAAGAATGCAACATCCAGTGGTTCTCATTTATTGCATTTATTCCAAGAAAGTCCTTATTCTTCAGCGGTCTTGTAATTAACCATAAAAATCGCTGCCACAGTCACCAGCGCTCCAACAAGTTGTATGGGCGTGAAGGTCTCATCCAGGTATAGGAAACTATGGTTCACAAGACATAAAAACAGGTTAAAACTGAACGGAAATATCAACATATCAAATACTCTACACAATAGAAAAAACAGAAGAACCTTGAAAGTGTAGTTGTACTTTTAGGGATAAAAGCTGAAGTTTCTATGACTTTAATCCAAAAAGAAAAATCAAGTTGAAATGGAAGCAAATGTTTCCATAAGGTAGGACTCACCCAAAAATTGAAGCAAACATAGGAGTCAAAAAGGTAAGAGAACTGAGTTTTGTTAGGCTGCCTGCAAAGCACAATAGAAAGTCGTGGTTAATGAAACAATTGGAGGCATGAAGCAATGAGAAATATCTCTTTGGCTCTGAAGATGAAAATTTTGAGAAAATTAAGAACACGACTGATAATAGAGAACATGGTGATGATGAAATCTCTCCCAAGCATACTTGAAGATCTTTTCTTGTCTTTTGATTTATTCATGTATTCCATTTTGATGTATATTAGCAGCATCTATCCGTACGTGTTGTGACCTTTTTGTGGGTTGCACATGAACTTTCTTTTCATGTGAAGTTGAAAAAAATTACTCCCTCCGTCCCATAATTATTGTCCAGTTTTACTAAAATGAAAGATTTTATATTTGGTCAAACTTAACTATATTTTACCTTGAACAACCGGATGTACCCCTACATAAGTAATTTTTTAACCACAAAGATTTTATGGATAATGTTTTTTACTAAGGACAAATGTGTACTTGATTCATAAAAAGTCAAATTGGACAATAATTTTGGGACAAAATTTTTTGAGCAAAGTGGACAATAATTATGGGACGGAGGGAGTAACTTTCATCCAGGCAAAAAAACCTAACAGTTTTAGGCTGTAAAATGCATGTCTCTGGTTCTTGTAGGAGACAAGGAAACAAATGATTATATAACTAAAGAGAAAGGATAAGAAAAGAACACGGAAACCGGAAAACTAATGCTCACCTCTTGTGGCGTTGTAGAAGAATACACCATAGCTTATTGCACTTCCAAAAATTGAGGTGTAAAGAAGAGCCAGAAGATCATTAGTAGAAAGCTCCCCGAAACTACCACTGAGTGCAGGATCACGGTTTAGAACGGAAATTGCCAAAAGTGGGAGACCGCCGATAACCATGTGCTGCAAGAGAATTTATGCACGCATCTCATGTCAGTATTAAAGTCCTATCCAATGTAAAATAGGAATTCACCTCTCTGCCCAATGAAAACTGAGACACAAAGATGTAGACTCACCCATCCAGTAGCCATCACAGGATCTGAGAATTTAGTAACCCAGCGAACCATAACTGTGCCAACAGCCATACTCTGAGCAGCTAGAAGCATCCACCATTCGCCACTTCCCCATAAAGAGAAATTACTCTCATCAAAAGAAACCGCCGGTACCTATATTTGACACAATGACCCACAAAAGCTGGTTCAAGTATACAAATAAAATGTAAAAAGGTTATAATATGAAGGACCTTTATGCCATAGGCATATATGATTGAAGTTCCTATAAACCGCTGTCTAGGAATGAATTACCCAAAGCATTTAACTTTGTCCAATTCAATTGTGGTTACTAAAAAGTTAATCCACCCGTCGTCACCAAGTATCACATGACCATAAATTCTCAGGTGGATTCAGGCAACTAATAGACAAAGACTTACCAAAGCATTTAAAACTATCACATATCAACACAATAGTTACCCTAAGAGATCTATAGAGGGATGCTTCAAAGAATAGCAAATTACTTAACTGTTCTGATGAACTCCCTACACCAGAAAGCTAAAATACTACCAAAAGACCACTGAATAGAAATTAAATATCCCTTGAAGTCTATTTACCTCCAGAAGGAGAAGGCCAATTACACCAAGCACAAGACCAGCAGCTCCAATAAACCCAATGGATTCACCAAAGAGCAGAGAAGCAAGGATCGCGACAGTCAGAGGCTGTGAATCAATTATTACCTGCAACAGTCAGCTCATAATCACTCACAAATCTCACAGCCATCAATAGGTCATCAACTCACATTTCAAATAAGACAATAGTGAGCCATCTGAACATTATGTTTTTACTCTAAGGAGCGGGATTAGAGTACAGCAAGCATTCAGGTTTAACAAATAACCATGCAAGGCCTGATTTGAGTGATTATAATTTTCCCCATTTGAGAAGAAACTTGGTCGACAAAAATACCAGGCTAAGAATCAGCACATAACAAGGCTTTTCCGACGAATGAACAGCATAGCAATTTCCCTCTTATGCATGCTAAGGAGCGCTACTGTTTACAGCACAAATAATGAACATCATAACATTCCCCTCTTACAAATACTTAAATCAGAGTAAATTCCAACCGAAAAATTTCATGCGAAACTATATTTTAAATGCAGCTTCAAAATGGAAATCAAGAGTAAGCTTGACAAAATTAAACAACTTATAACATACACTGCCTAAACCAGCAGAGGTCTTCTCCAATCCCTCGGCCAGAAATCCCTGTCCACAATCAGAAAAGTAAGATTACATAAGTTTGACGTAATATAGATGCTATTGAATCACATTATACAACCAACGAAAAGTTGGAAAAGAAGAAGACCACTACCTGAAAGCAAGCAGCATCAACAAGAGCAAACAGACATATAGAAAACCAAGCATTAAATCCAGAAGGAAACTTCCTTCCTCTAAGAGCAGCAAAACCCACCAATAGCAAACCAGATGGAACTAACCTAAAGGAAGACACAAAGAAAAGACCAGCTTTGGGCAAAACTTCTTTCATGGCCACCATAGCCGTACCCCAGAAGAAAAAAGGCGAAATTAACAAACCCCATTCCCACACACCCCCCAGCAATCCCTCCAATGGCAGTGATGATGATTCAACGTCAAGCTTTTCAGTGGCTTTATCAAAGGAAGCCTTAGAACTAGGATTTGAAGTCGGGAAAACGCACTCAACATCTTGCCCAGTCCCCACACAGTCCAATTCTTGTCCTTCAGTTGATTTTGTAATCGGCCCAACTTCAACTTCAGATTCTGTAGCTTTTGTCCTGAAATTCTTCCGAAACTTGAATGCAAATTTGTTGACAGGGTGGGAATGAAGATAACAAGCTGATTTCGATGATGAATTAGTCCAGTTTCTGGTTTTCAAATTCAGCAGATGCCTTCCGGGATTTTTAGAACTACAGCTCAAAATTGTTGCAATGGAAATGGAAGGAGAAGAATCAAAGCAAGGATTGCAACTCCATGCCATTTTCGATTCCCTCCCAAAATATCCTTTGCTCTGTCGCCCCTTTCTCGTCGGAAGAAAGATTCTAAAAAATAATTTGAAAACAAATACGGTAATTTATTTTCAAAAAATAAAAGGAATAATAATTTAATGACGTGTCGGCTCTGTCCATCACAATTATAAATACGACGCCGTCTATATTTGAACTAAGACTGGTCAACTGGTCTTCACCCTTTAAATAAGCCCTAATTCCGCACCCAAATACTCTCTCCGTTCAAATTAGCAAACACAAAAAGGCCAAGAGCTACTTCACAGTTCACTCCTCTCCATCTTTTCCGGCGTCCGAAGCCACAGCCGACGACAAACTCTTCACGGCGGCGAGGTCAGGCATGTAGCATACTCCTCTACCTATTCGATTTTTTATTATCTTTTTTGCATTCTTACTGTCTTCGTGGAATTTTAGTGAACATAAATTTTGGGTAGTAACATATCGAAATCTTTGTGGGTTTTATAGGAACGTGTAGCCTAATCATGTAGGGCTGGTGTGATTGTGTAGACCGGGGAGGGGGGGGGGAGGGGGAGATAGTAGTATGCCCTGTTTTGAATTATATGCTCAAGTCCTAGTTTCGTTTCTGGGTTTTTGTTGGTCTAAGTCATTTAAATTTCGCTTGAAATCTCAGTATCTTGGGTTATTGGAAAGAAAAATGTCCTGCATTTATGATTTCAGGTCAGTGGAAGGGATAGGCTTATGGAATTCGATTTTTGGAGTTCATAGCATTGCTAATTTACGAGTTGAATAATGAAAGACTTTTGATAGGTAGCATACTCATGGTTAGTGCATTTTGAAAATTTAGTGTTAGATTTTAGCTGTTATAAACTCAGTAGTTTCTACACTAATCATGCCTCTGATTGAATTATGGGTTTTCCTTGCAGTATTCTGTCGACAACGTCTTTGAGTTGTATCAGAGTTTCGGAGATGTCTGCTGGAACGCTTGAGTCTCTCGTGGGCCGTGAGTTATTCTTCAATCTAAAAGCCGAATTATGTTTTGTTGTCAATGATGCCATTAACTGATGTTGTACTTCAGTTATTGTAATGACTAATGAAAATATTATCAATTGCATATAATTTTCTTTTCTCATATTTGTTATTATTATTTTTTACTTGTAGAGACGATATCGGTTATCACAAATGATGGGCGTATTATAGTGGTGAGTTTACCTTCAAGTCTTTGATTAATATTTGGCTTGAACACTATTTAGACTTGAGGTTAAATGTCCAGGTTGAAGCTCATTTTTTTTTATGATCTTTTATTTACAGGGAGTATTGAGAGGTTTTGACCAGGCTACTAATATAATTCTTGATGAATCTCATGAGCGGGTGTATTCCACGAAGGTTTGGCTCAAACCTGTAGACAGTTTTGTGTTTCTTGTCCATTTGATCAATACATATCTTTGCATTGATTTGTTTTCTTCTTGAATTTTTTCTGTTCTCTCTCGGTTCCATCTGTCATATAATTTCATTAATTTCTCTTCTTTGCTATTTGATGGAAATCTAAGCTACTATTTTTGTTTTATAAATTTCATGTGAAACATTTGTTTTCTCTTGGAACTAATGTAATTTACCATGTTGGCATCTGCACAAAGTGGTGATTTCTTTTTGAGTTAGATGTGTCTGTTGAATTTGTCACTCCCTGTGGTGTCTGATTAGAAATTAGTATCTGATCTAGATGCACCATCTCAGCAATAGCTTTGTCTGGTACCAGATTAGCTTCTCTGAAGTTTACCTATGGAAGAGTCTGAACTTGTGTAAAACATCCTAGAGCTTTGAATGTGTGTTCTGATCTTTCACTGAACTGTAGGTGTGGTAGTTTTGTATCTGCATGTTGGCAAAATTTTATTTCTTTTTCCGGGAGCTTAATTATTCTTTTCTTCTTTTCTTTTTTATTTGTCTAGTCGAATTAGCATATTGTTTTTGGGTAAATGGATCTTGATTTCTTATTCTCCATGTTGCATGTATTCTGTTTTATAGCACCCATTTGTAATCACCTCACATTTTGGGGATTTTTGTTTATGGATGTTGCTGGTGACAGTCAACTTTTTTATTTGCAGATAGGTGTTCAGCAACTCGTTTTGGGGCTCTATATCATAAGGGGTGACAACATGTAAGTCATACTGATTTCAGCCCATACAAATCATTATATCCTTCATTGTGTTATCCATGATATTTTTATTTGATTATTCTCTCCTTTCTCTTTTGCAGAAGCGTTGTAGGTGAAGTGGATGAAGAGCTTGATGCAAGCTTGGATTTAGAGAAACTGAAAGCTCACCCTTTGAAGCCTGTAGTACATTGAACTTGTGCCATTGAAGCTGCGAACTCTGCATTGCGGTTCATTAATGATTGCTACTTTTGTATTTAGGCAAACCTTCGTTCCTGCTACTTGTGCTAATATTGTCCATTATTGAGTTAATCTAAATCTGGTAGCATATTAGAGGATGTTGAGTAAGTTTGAAGAGGATACTGTATTATGTATGGTTTCGAGAGCTATGAACTCATTATGCATCACTTTAAGTTGAGGAAAATTGGAGGTTGATTTATTGCTCCTTCATTTGCTTCCACTTTGTTTTAGCATTTTATTCAAAGCTAACAAAGTTTTAGAATAATTTTTTTACATCATTTGGACAAACATTTTTGGGCAAAAAAACTGCTGAGTTGCTAAGTTAATCACCATACAATACATAATCAATGAGTCAAATAAAATAGAGATGAATCACGTAGTTTTATTGATCATAATAATATATATGGGAGGAATAACCCAGAATATATATAAATCCTCCACCTTTTACATGAAAAGAAACAATATTAAAATCGAAAAAACACCAGGAAAAAAATGAAAATAATAATATGAATGATCATCTCCATGAAATGAAGCAAAAATCAAACTAAAACCTGAACCTGAACTTACAACTACTATCACTGATACTAATGGTGTTATCCTGCCTCAAGCTGTCCACATTCACCTTACACTTTACCAAGAATTTCCACTTCATCAACTTCAACCCACCAAGCTTAATCCTCACCGGAACTTTTGCCCTGAGATTCAACGGAATCTTCCCGGTTTGTTGCTGCTGAGCTTGCACGGACTGGATCAACCCTCTAGCATCCTGAGTTTGACCAGTCAAACTCACCTGCATCACCGTGGTATTCCGATGACCCTGATAAAATTTCGGCAATGACCCTTCACAGAGCTTGTTCCCGTTGTAAAAAACGCTCAAGTGGCTGCCGCCTTCGTAATAAATTCCGATCTTTTTGTTGGGATTTCTGGCGGTGATGTTCACGTTGAAAGTTGCGGACAAGCTGTTATCATTGCCGACGTTGAACTGGGTAATTCTCATGCTGTCAACAGAGTATTTTGGGAGTTTTGGCTTGAATGCAAAGTAGATGATGGCTGCCAAGATGGCCACCAGAATAATCTGGAGTATGATCAAGAATACCGTCCAGCAAAAACACCTCTTGCAGCACTTGCGCTTCGGTGGTTTGGAGTAAGAATAAGGAATGGTTCTGTGGATAGGTGGATAAGTTTGTGACTCCGGGTCACCTTTCTCCGACCGGGAAACCTCCTGAGGAAACAGGGGAGCCGATGCTTTCGGCGGCGGCGATGATTCCGGGTCATGGATCACTGGATGAACTCGCTGATGATCAGCCATGCTTGAAAAACCAGGGTAACAGATGAAGGGAAAATACTCAAAAAAGATGATAGATAGAATAGAACAGAGGAGTTTGGTCTGTTCTTCAATGGGGACCAAAGAAGGAAGGTTGATTGATTGTGTATATATACAAGACTAAGTCCTTTGATAAAACAATTGGGATTCTTTTTCTTTGGGTTTTTGTTTCTGTTTATGTACGTTTTTTATTGACAAAAAGTGAAGTAGATCAAAGAAAAAGGGAGTTTCTTTTGAGAGGAAGTTCCCCTGTTTTGACTTTATTGATTTAGACGGTGATGGTGAAGGGGAAGAGGAGCCTTCGTTTAGGTGGAAGTATTTTTTGTTGCCGTTTATATTTGTTTTGGAAGTAGTAGGATTCACACGTCTTGTGAAGTATGGTGGTGATTTGGTTGATGAAAGTATTACGCCGTGTACTCGACACGAGGCTTTAAATTCAAAGGTTCTTTCTTTTAAGGAAAGGTTCAAACCTCGAAAATGAGAGCTCATCCGAAATTCAGAAGGAACCATCGTCTTGTGTATTCATGGATCTTATGCATAACTTTAGCATTGTGAAATTCATGCAAACATTGTAATGATGAGTGATTCCAGATGAACTCTCTTTGGTCATATCTATAAGTCACGATAAACTTAGATAATGTACTAGTGAAGGAATTATGTGGTATTTCAAAAATATACTTTCTCTGTACAAAAATTATTATAACTGGTCTTCGTATCTAACCCCTCTAACTTTTCTTTTCTTTTTTCACTCATCCCTCTCCTTTCCATTTTTGTGTGAAAAGGTTTTCCTATTCTTTCTAGAACAGGACTAAATTAAATAATTTCTATAATCTGGTACCATGTTCAACGTTTAACTTTTGGAGCCAGTTTACTATGATTATTACAATAGACTCACATTTGCTTTATTTTATTTTATTTCTTAAATGTGTCGTGCGAGTATCTTAATATATATATACCCTACCTACACTAAAGACTATGAAGTATTTTATGAAAGAAATAAACAAAACTAAGATTTTTTTTTTTTTTTTTATAAACCAAAATTATTCATAGCTATCAAGTCAATCAACAGATTTTTCGTTTAACAAGGTAACACTTGCTGTTAACAAAAAAAAAAAAACAAAAACCTTAAATAAGACAAATTAGAACACAACAATTAAATGGTCATTATTAATTGTATCCTATTATTAGTAAGATTATGAGAATTTATCTTAATATACTAATAAAAATATAAAAAATACCACATAATTAAAACTCTAATATAATTTGAAGGCGGAGAGATATTTAACAAAATCTAAGATAAGCCAAGTCAAGACTCGAAAGTCGAAAGTCTATTTCACTGAGCACAACACGGTTTGTTTAAAATTATGATGACAAGTTTAAATGCTGATGAGAGTGGGTACAAATCAAATTAAATAAAAAAAAAATAGTAAAATTTCGCATTGGACTTTTCTTATTTTTGGGTCAGGAGTTGGACATCAGCAAACCAAATCTTGACGACTTTCAGGCCCAGTTGAGCTCGTGCTTCTTAATGCAGCCGCAAGAATTACGTTCTTCAGTATTAAAATCTAACTATAATAATAAAATATATGTTGGTATTCGTCATCAAATTTGAAGATTTCTTTAATGTAAAACGAATAAATACGAATCGAACAAATTTGAAGCGTTCCTCTACATTGCCAATTTTTCTTAGCCTTAAATATTTTTGGCCAAGTGAAGTATTTTTCTCACCTTAAATCCTTTTTGCCAATTACTACTTTATCTAAAGGTAGTAACAATTGGAAAAAAAAAAAATACTTATCATTACCATGACAATGAAAATTCTCCTATTCACAATCAGCTGGAATTCCTACTCCACTAGTTGCCTGGGAAAAATCTAATCAAAATAAAATCACATATGCCTATGATTAACTTTTGTTACATACTACAAATGTCAGTCTTGACATGTAGACATACTATTTTTACGTATGGGAAATGGAATGAATTGTTTTTCTTTAACTTTTACCGCATAATGGAGTGGTTGAACGGCTACACGTTGTGTTTTAGGAATTTAGCTAGGTGTTAGTGAGTTCATGAACTATTCAAACAAAAGTTATAACTTACGCGAACATAATACTGTTTGTCTTACTTTTAATCTTTGTTGTTCATTACATGGCAATTCTAGGTTACTTTTGAATCTTCCACGTTGTGCGAAAACACGATCAATAAGCGCCATTTTTCAACTAACCTTTGTGAACAAAGAATCCAATTGGTCCCAAAAAACAAGAGTTATTTAAAAAATAAATCTCGCAGACATCAACATGTGTTGCACTAGACAATATAGATGTATATTTAAAGGAAAAAAATGCTTTAGTAAGGAGAAAAGGTGACATGCATTCTAAATTTTGGTGCAGAAAGATGGAACCAACAAAGTTCGGGCACATGACAATAACAAGGCCCGACCCCTTTCAGTAATACACGTTAAATGTTTATAGTGTTAGATTTCGCCTTCATCACATCGCATGTTTTAATTTAGAAAAATCAGAGTCGGGCTTGTATATCCTAACTAGTTGGGGGAATAAAATCTCGAACTCTGTTGAGGTTCCAAGATAAGAAGGAAATGAATCAAATGAAATGAAATTTCTATAATAAATGACCTGAAGTTATTTTTTCTCACTACAGTATCTTTTCAAATGGAAATTACGAATAATAAAGGTTGCCGCATGAATGAAAAATATCTAAAGAAACCGAGGGGCTATAAGTTACAAAAGAGGGAAGCCAATTGTTACTTTTAAATTTTATGCCTTTTTTTTTTTAATCAAATGGTATCAGTGCAACTGTGTGGATAAGTACATTTTTAGGGGTAAAAACTAAAAAAGAGAGAGGGAGTTCAACATGATGTTAACATCAAGAATTTTTCCGGCAGTCCGGAAGATCCGCCGGTGCCTATTAAGGGTTCCACCAATAACCGGCACCATCATCATTCGTGACCTCCTTTTGAAAGATTTGAATTTTGAATCTCTATTTCTACTTTAAATAAATTTTGTCTCCACATGCATATGTGACAATTATAGAGCCAGAAAATAAAAATTAAGAAACCCGAAATCAAAATCAACTAATAAAATTCTATCATAACACAATACATGCAAGAGAATAACATATCGTTCAAAAAAAAAAACACGGAATTCAAATCCTAGACAAATTGATTACATAATAAGAAAACAAAGTACAAGAGGATCTCCTTTACACATTCTTCAGTTGTCTGACGACGACCTTTAAGGCCTTAAGGGACAGGATTCCCAGGGACTTGAGCTGCTGTGAAGGAGCCTGCAGGAGGAGCACTTGGAGGAGCGTCGACTTGTGGAGGCTTGACAAACAAGGAATCGATAAAATTATCAACCACCGGAGTTGCGAAAATCTCTTCGGCGGTTAGCTCGACAGGATCTTCAACAGATTGGTATCCGGGGAGCAAATAAGGGGCCGAATCGACGCTCGCAAACTCATCAGTATCAAACTCTACCTCGGGGAGTAATTCTTGATCATAAATCTCAAAGTCGGGAAGATCATGGTCCTTTTTCATATATTCTTCGAATTTCTCTGCTTCATTTTTATCTTCCCCCACCACAACAGGCCCATGGGCCTGAGTAGCTGTTATGTTTGGTCCAATTCCAGATGACTGTCCAGTGACTACCGGTTCTCCATTATTTGAGTCCGTTACGTTGTGGGCTCTTGGCCTTAACTTTCTCGTTGACTTCGACCTTTTCAGGAATTTCTGTGCATGACTAGCCACCTGTGTTGGGGTTCTAGACTGGACATATTGTCTGGAAATGCTCTTCCAATCCCCTTTCCCATACTCTTCCAGACCTTGTAGAAACAACCTATATCACACAGGAAAACAAAAGGAAAAACAGAAAACCAATTATGTAAGAAACTGTTATTTTTCATTTTTTTTTGAATGATTATGATGATCCAAACATACTTTTGAGATATGTTGTAGCTATAAAGAGAAAAAATTGGCGAGAGTTAGAGGGGAAAAATTTCAAATTACATTAAGAAGCGCAAGAACCTTCAATTATTCATTAAAATGAATACTAATGTTTACTCCGTGCGTTGCACGAGAAATATGCAAGGGGTGTAAAATGTGTTCGATAGAAAGATGAGTAATTCCTGGTTGTTAAATACTAACAAATTTTGAAATTTAACTATTATAAACATGATCAAATTTAAATTTAAGGAAAAAAAATATAATGGAATTTAACAATTAAGTTTTTAAAAAAATTGAAAATTTCAAAATTTTTAAGTGATAAAATATTCACTAAATAATATTAAATTATTACTTTTTTTTGTTATACAATAAATTTTAAAAATAATATTTTGAAAAAAGTATCCTTTTTCTTAATTATGTTACTTGCATTGCCTATGGTAATATTGACAGAAATTAAAAAGATAAAAAATGTAATACATGGCAATTGTTAGTCAATAAATCAACTAGAAAATGACTTCAAAAAAATTATAGCACACATTTATATAAAGATTAGACATAAACAAAACGCACCTATGCTCATCGTCCGTCCAAGGTTGTGCTCCTTTTTTATTTTTATGAAACTGGGCCAGACCTTTTCCTTTATGACTAGATTCAGTATAATTCGGTACTGGCACGTCGCCTAATTCAATTGCAGCTATATCTAAAATTAAGGCATCAAAATGTGATTTAACTTCTTCAGTTGTTTTTCTAGGAACTGCAGCAGCAACCTTCACTAACATATTCATATCGCTTGAATGAGCAGCGAAAGCATTTTCAAACGCCTTGTTCTCTTCTTTAGACCAGGATGAACTACAGTACTTCGAGTTTTCACTCATTTTTGAGAATATAATCTACAAACAAGAAATGGATGAAGTGGTATATTAAAATTGAGATGTGTTCGAAACAATCACAGCATAACGTTTAAAACAATGTGACACCTAGTAGTTTTGAAGACTTCTATTTTCAAAAGCGTTCGATGAAAGTGAAAAAAAAAAAAACCTTTAGATTGCTGGTAAAATGTTATCAGACCCGTATGGGGAGACGAACCAGTGAAGTTAGGGGGTCACTAGGTCAATCCCATTCGACTGGGACAAAAAACTGGATAAGATCGGTCCGACGTCATATATACTTTTTAAATTTATAATATATAAAATATGTGGAATCTAAAGTTATTAGTATTAAAATATTACTTTTTATGCTTTTTTATATAAAAAAGTAACAATTAAAGGTATGATAAGATTAAAATTAACTTAAATAAATATTTTTAGAGTTGTAATATTTAATTTAATTAATTTTAAGGTAATACTATTCAAAAAATAATGTATTTTATGTCATGATTTTGATAATTATTGAATAAGATCAAAATTAGGGTCTCAAAAACTATAAAACTTAAATTAGGAGTCAATTTAGCAAGAAAACAAAGAAAATGGGCTACAATGAGATTTTTTTTTAAAAAAAAAGTCGATAAAAAAGAAAGAGGATAAAATTGGATCAACATGTTCAGTCTGGATCCCAATCGAATTGTGAGTTTGACCGGGTTTTGACCAATTTTTAAGTAGCGAGCATAAATTGGACTGACAATGCAACCATTTCTTGGTTAAAACGTTCCAATGTTTACAATATTGGTTGACAGATTGAAATTCAATAACCAGGAACTGATGTAGTATTATGATTAGCAGTTACCAAAAGTAGATTTTCAGAATCTTTTATAGAACTCGATATTTGGTAAAATTGTTCAAACTAAAAAAAATCTAATTAATACTATCTAAACTCTAATAAATAAAAATATAAATTTATATACAAAAATAACAACAACAACGATAAAGAGAAATTTAATAATGATAGCCTCAAAAAAAAAAAAAAACTCCAACCAAATTCAACTTTCATATCTCACACCTCAAAACACTTTATAAACAAAACATACCTTAAATACAGAAAATGGAAGCTTCAACCTCAGTTGCTACGTGAAACACCATTGAGAGATGAACATAAAAAGAACTTATATGCGAGAGACGAATTGACAATCTCACTCAAAACCCTAAACTATCATTTGGAGGAATTGGAATTCTGAATTATGGTACATTGTAGAGTACTGGGGTATTAGTATTGGGAGGTCTCAAAAATTTAATGAAAAAATATAGAAAATAAATTATAAAATTTGCTGAAGAGAAGAAGAAGTAGCGCAGATGAGATTAAGGATTAGAACTTTCAGGGGCAGAGTCTTCTATCGCAAATTCTCTTCTTTTCTTTGGAAAGAGAAAGAGAATATGATTTTACGCCGAAATATATTTTGTCTCGTATCTGACGTGTTATTTACTTCTTTTGATACAAGCGGTGCAATGAATTTCAAAAATAATATTTTACAAAAGTGTCATTTCTACTAAGATGTTGCTTGCACTGCATGTGGTAATATTGAGAAAAATAAAATGGATAAATAATGCAATATCAGGCAACCGATAGTCAACAAAAAAACTAAAACATTTTTTAGAAAAAAAAATATAACACATATTTATATAAAGTTCAAATGATAAACAAAGCACACTTGTTCTTATCTTGCATCTAAGGTTTAGCTCTACTTTGATTCTTCTGACATTAGCCTAGACCTTCTCCTTTATGAATAGACTCATCATAATCCAAAAATGGCACGTGACTAGATTCAATTGCAGTTATATCTGACATTAAAATATCAAGATACAATTTAATTTATGTAATTGTTTTTCTATGAACTGCAACAACAATCTTCACTAGCATATTTGTATTGCTAGACTAAGTTACAAATGCATTTTCAAAGGTCTTGTTCTCTTCTTTAGATCCGGATGAACTATCGTACTTCGAGTTTTTATTCATTCTTGAGGATAAACAATAAATGAATGAAATGGTATCTGAGAATTGATATGCGTTTGATTACAATGTATCGTTTAAAAAATGGTAGAACCATAAATCTATTCTTTAACACGTGGTAGTTTTGAAGACTTCTATTTTCAAAAGAGTTTAATGAATGTAAAAGTAACTATAAACTATTGGCAGATTAAAATTTAGTAATTACAAACAAACACAACTTCATGATTACTGGTTACCAAAAATAGATTTATAGAATTGTTTATACAACTCAATATTTGGTAAATTTGTTCAACTTAAAAAACATATAATTAATGGCCTCTGAACTCTAATCAATAAAATGTAAATTTATTTGCAAAAATAACAACAATGATAAAGAAAAATTTATTATGAATCTCAGTTAATAATTAGCACTATTCCAAATCTCCAAGTGAACTCAATAGTGATCTCAAATGTGTGTGTGTGTGTGTGTATATATATATATAGTGAACCACAAAACATGTCATTGAATTATTTGGTAATGCTAATATATGTCATCAATCAAATTTATTCGTAAAACAGGTCACCATACTAAGCAAAAAATTCATCCAAAATCATTCTGTTAATTTTGAACGTTGAATAATGACGGAAATGTATTTTTCACATGTTTTTGGGTTAACGGGTATTTTTGTCATTTTATTGTTATTAAATTTATTTTTTTTTTGAAAAAAATTATTATTATTTTTTTTAAAATTCTTCTTCTTATACTTCCTAACTTGTATATGCTGGTAGTTTAATTTTTAAATTTCAAAAATTAATTTAAATTTTGTATTTTAACTTCTAGATTATAAATTTTAAAAAAATTAGAAAAATGAAGAAGAAGAATTCGAGTTGAAATAAACATAAAATTAATAGCTTATCGTATTGACGACCCCGTTCGACTGGGACAAAATACCAAATAAGATCGGTCTGACGTTATATATTCTTTTTAAATTTATAATATATAAAATATGTGGAATCTAAAGTTATTAGTATTAAAATATTACTTTTTATGCTTTTATTTTTTTTTTAAAAAAGTAACAATTTAAAGGTATGATAAGATTAAAATTAACTTAAATAAATATTTTTAGAGTTGTAATATTTAATTTAATTAATTTTAAGGTAACAATATGCACAAAATAATGTATTTTATATTATGATTTTGATAATTATTGAATAAGATCAAAATTAGGGTCTCAAAAAACTATAAAACATAAATTAGGAGTGAACTTCGCCAGAAAACAAAGAAAATGGGCTACAATGAATTTTTTTTTTAAAAAGTCGATAAAAAGAAAGAGGATAAAATCGGGGTCAATATGTTCAGTCTGGATCCCGGTCGAATTGCGAGTTTGACCGGGTTTTGACCAGTTTGTAAGCAGCGAGCATAAATTGGATTGATAATGCAACCGTTTCTCGGTTAAAACGTTTCAATTTTTATAACATTGGTTGACAGATTAAAATTCAATAACCAGAAAATGACGTAGTATGATTAGCAGTTACCAAAAGTAGATTTTCAGAATCTTTTATAGAACTCGATATTTGGTAAAATTGTTCAAACTAAAAAAATCTAACTAAAACTATTTAAACTCTAATAAATAAAAATATAAATTTATATACAAAAATAACAACAACAACGATAAAGAGAAATTTAATAATGATAGCCTCAAAAAAAAAAAAAAACTCCAACCAAATTCAACTTTCATATCTCACACCTCAAAACACTTTATAACAAAACATACCTTAAATACAGAAAATGGAAGCTTCAACCTCAGTTGTTACGTGAAACACTATTGACAGATGAACATAAAAAGAACTCATATGCGAGAGACGAATTGACAATCTCACTCAAAACCCTAAACTATCATTTGGAGGAATTGGAATTCTGAATTATGGTACATTGTGGAGTACTGGGGTATTAGTATTGGGAGGTCTCAGAAATTTAATGAAAAAATATAGAAAATAAATTATAAAATTTGCTGAAGAGAACAAGAAGTAGCCCAGATGAGATTAAGGATTAGAACTTTCAGGGGCAGAGTCTTCTATCACAAATTCTCTTCTTTTCTTTGGAAAGAGAAAGAGAATCTGATTTTACGCCGAAATATATTTTGTCTCGTATCTGACGTGTTATTTACTTCTTTTGATACAAGCGGTGCAATGAATTTCAAAAATAATATTTTACAAAAGTGTCATTTCTACTAAGATGTTGCTTGAACTGTATGTGATAATATTGAGAAAAATAAAATGGATAAATAATGCAATATCAGGCAACTGATAGTCAACAAAACAACTAAAATATTTTTTAGAAAAAAAAAATATAACACACATTCATATAAAGTTCAAATGATAAACAAAGCACACTTGTTCTTATCTTCCATCCAAGGTTTAGCTCTACTTTGATTCTTCTGACATTGGGCTAGACCTTCTCCTTTATGAATAGACTCATCATAATCCAAAAATGGCACGTGACCAGATTCAATTGCAGTTATATCTGACATTAAAATATCAAGATACGATTTGACTTATGTAATTTTTTTTCTATAAACTGCAACAACAATCTTCACTAGCATATTTGTATTGCTAGACAAATGTCTTGTTCTCTTCTTTAGATCAGGATGAACTATTGTACTTCAAGTTTTTATTCATTCTTGAGGATAAACAATAAATGAATGAAATGGTATATGAGAATTAATATGCGTTTGATTACAATCTATCGTTTAAAAAATGGTAGAACCATAAATCTATTCTTGAACACCTGGTAGTTTTGAAGACTTCTATTTTCAAAAGAGTTTAATGAATGTAAAAGTAACTATAAACTATTGGCAGATTAAATTTTAATAATTACAAACGAACGCAACTAAATGATTAGCGGTTACCAAAAATAGATTTATAGAATTGTTTATACAACTCAATATTTGGTAAACTTGTTCAACTTAAAAAACATATAAATAATGGCCTCTGAACTCTAATAAATAAAATGTGAATTTATTTGCAAAAATAACAACAATGATAAAAAAAAATTTATTAATGATAGCCTTCTATGAATCTCCGTTAATAATTAGCACTATTCCAAATCTCCAAGTGAACTCAATAGTGATCTCAAATGTGTATGTCTATATATATATATATATATATATATATATATATATAGTGAACCACAAAACATGTCATTGAATTATTTGGTAATGCTAATATATGTCATCAATCAAATTTATTAATAAAACAGGTCACCATACTAAGCAAAAAATTCATCCAAAATCATTCTGCTAATTTTGGACATTAAATAATGAGGAAAATCCATTTTTCTGTTTCACATGCTTTTGGGTTTACGGGTATTTTTGTCATTTTATTGGTTTTAAATTTTTTATTTTTTTTGAAAAAAATTATTTTATTTATTTATTTATTTATTTTACAATTCTTCTTCTTATACTTCCTAACTTGTATATGCTGGTAATTTAATTTTTAAATTTCAAAAATTAATTTAACTTTTATATTTTAACTTCTAGATTATAAATTTAAAAAAAAAATTAAAAAAATGAAGAAGAAGAATTCGAGTTGAAATAAACATCAAATTAATAATTTATCGTTTTAAACCAAGAAAAAAAAACTAAAAAATTATCTAAGACAAGTTGTTTCTTCTAAGATATTTAATTATTTTCAACTTGATTTAATCATCTAATTATTAATTTTTACATTTACTTCAATTTGAATTTTCTATATTTTTTTATTCCTTTTTTTATAATCTAGAAGTTAAGATACAAATAACAAATCATGACATTGGAGACCCTTTGGAATTGGATTAATGCTAATTTCAGACGACTTTTTAGCAGGTGAACACCGAATTTGGCATTAGGGCTCAAATTCCAATTCGAAGCCCCTAATGCCAAGCAAACCAACAGAGCCTAAATGATTTTGACTCGGTTTCCCTTCAAATATCTCACTAAATTGACTATATTTTAACTACTCCCTCCGTCCCATAATTATTGTCTAGTTTGGATTTTCATTTCTAGTTCAAATTGTACTAAAAGTGAAATCTCAAACAGGACAATAATTTTGGGACAGAGGGAGTATATTTTTCATAATTTGGATCTTTGCTTTATCAAGTCATGACGCCAAGTTTAAACTCATAAATACTACAGCACTCGGTTTCCAAAATTCGCTTGGTGATAGAATTTTGCATTCTTTGTACCATTTGGAATTTCAAACCAATGAAGGAGGATTGTAGTCCAACTTCCATTAAATCACTAAGTAGCTAGTGCAACCAATCCAATTAATATTGTACACTTAATAGAGAACGTTTCTTTGTATTTTCTTTTGATTACCTATCTTCATTTGTTCTTGAGTTAGCGGGACCGAATTTGACTGAATTTGTTACAAACAGACTGAATTTACCAACATTGTTCACCAACATTGTAACTGAAGGATTACAATGTATAATACTCACGTTCAAATTCTCTTGTACATGAACATTTTTTAATCATCTCGCCGTGGAAAATTCATTAGTCAATTAGAGTATCGACCTGAACAGACAGGTGAGAAAAGAAAGAAATGAGTAGTGATCATATTCCTTATTTGTTTCGAGTTTTTTTTTTTTTTTTTTTTTAAAAAAATAATCTGGTTTGCGTGAATTTGACTTTTCGATATTTCATACTGGTGAAAGAAAAAGTAACATGTTCTGCTATCACTTTGGTGAATGCCACTCTCAGTTAGAACTAGAACCCTCATGAGGCCTGAACTGCTAGCACTTCTTACTCAACAACGAAATTGCTTTCTTTCATTATCTTTTCATGCCACTGGACTAAGAAGTTGAGGAAAACCCACAACAGAAAAGTTTTTGGTTGGAGACTAATCGCTAATGTCAAATAACAAGCAGGATTCTTTTAGCTTCTGGCGCAGAAGATACAACAGACAGGCACTATAACATCTTCTGAGCTATAACAGACGCAGATGTTTAGCACAATAAGGACTGCTATCAAGGTTCAAACCCAATGGCCAAAATTACCTGATAGTTATCACTGATGATCTCTGCTACTTGCTTACTTTGTACATGCAAAAGCAGAGAAGTACTCTGGGGTTAAGCTAACCACGAGCAGAAACTCCTTTGCGAGAACCTGCAGCAGCCCGCTTTCTCCCCTGGAACATTGAAAAACGTTGCAGTTAATATTTCAAAGAGAGCACGGCAACCAAGCTATGTTAGGATTTACATCACATACCCCGTAGTGATTGAATAAGTCATCTGCCATGGCCTCCATTTGTTTTCTCTTTTTCTCTTCTTTGAAGGATTGGGCTACTTCTTCATTTCCATAGTCGGATTCCCTATCAGCAGAAGAAATCACGATATGAAGCAAACTGTCGAATTATAGAAGCAAGAAAAACAAAACGATTGAAGCAACAGCAATTTAACTGAACGTAATCATACTTGTAAGGACCCTTGGAATATGGGATGAGATTGTCGAAGCTGTTTCCTGAAGGAGTTCCCATCTGAAAATTACATCATGGTTAAAGAGAGAGGTAGAGCAAGAGACAATGATGAACTGGAAAGACAACCTATATCTGAGAGACCACAGGCATGCAGAAAATTCCATAATACATCTTCCATTAGCTCAGCGGTACATATTTTCATTTCAAAATAATTCAATATTTATTTCTATTTGGTTCTTATCCATCTTTTTTACTAATTCAAATGTAACCCATTCGTGTTTGTTCATTAAGGTAAGAATGTAGGTACACTACGGAGACGTCCCAAAGAGCAGCTTGCCACCTTTTAGAGATCTATTAACAAGGCTGTGTGTTGAAGATGTAAGTACTTAATTTGGTATTTATATTTATTTTGAATTTATTTTTCTTCCAGTTATACCATTTAAATAAATTCTTTTCGTGCAGTTTCGGTGGCAATCATATGCAAAGGTCCTTGATAGACTCTCTGATTTCTGTAAACAAGACCAAGTCATTTGGGCGACCAGGTGTTGGATGTTCTGTTGGGCAATTAGGGAACCCCACGAGTCGAGCAGAGTTGTGAGACAATTTAGATACATACAGGGTGTTCCCAGTCGCCCTATGATTAAAGATAACGCAACATTTCTTTTCGATCACGCCATAGTATGTCTGGGTATCCTAGCAACAATTGGGTGGATCACTATTCCGCAGTACGTTCTCACTGGAGAAAGAGAGAAAAGTACGTTCTACAAGATTTGGAGGTCGGAGAGAAAAGTACGTTCTACAAGATTTGGAGGTCGGATACCCTAGCCAAGTATATGAGGGGTATTATGAATGGTTCATGATGAACACTGTCAAGCTGATATCCAATCCCACAAATTATAAACCTAAAGGATACGAGACTTCTACGAACCGAGTGAAATTATATGTGAGTTCATTCTATATTTTTGGTTTCTTATTTCTTATATTTTCATTTTATTTTTTTTTATTTTTTTTTATTTTACTCTCTTAATTAATGTTCCAATTTCTTTTCAGGGTGAAGTATTGAACAACATTCACGTGAGTTCCGAACTATTTAGAGATAAACGAGATGATAACAATCTCCTAGACGATGAACTCGAGGAGCATTTGAACAAAATCATTGATCAAGCACATGTTGCTTAACCCTGGGTGCAAATGATGAGATTGACGTGGACGATACCCAAATCCTGGTTGATAAAGAACCATCTATACCCTCACAACCTCCGCCGGGTAAAAAAGCGAAACCGCGGTCGAGAGACAAGATTGGAGGAGGAAGAAAGAGAAAGATAGTGATCCCCTCTTGAACATCGCAAGAACAAAATGAGGGTCAACAACGTGAGGGCGAGGCGGCTTCTTCTAGAGACTCGCACATCCAGGTCCGGACTCAATTTGAAGACATTGGTGGACCCGAGACTCAATTTGGTGGAGAGTCGCAACCACAACCGGGAGTCCTATTTCTCACCATGGAAGAGTCCCAATCCCAACCCCAACCGCGTCAACAACAGGGTTCAATACTCACGTATCTTCGAAGAGAAGACAGGAACCGGCAGGGGTCAAATAAATACACTCCGGATGCGCCTAAAAAAGGAAAAGGGAAAAAATGAGCCCTTTAATGTATTTTTACATTTAAAGTAGTTTTTTTTATTAATTTTGGATTGAAACTTGTTATGTTTCGTTGTTAATCGAATGACGTTTATTGTTTTGTTGCTATTAGATTTCTGTTTTTCTATGTTTCATTGTTGTTGGTGTTGTAAACAGGTTTTGGACTGGTTTTAACCAGTCCATTTTTTTTTCAGTTCTGACAAAGATTCAGATTTAGGAAATCTGAATCCTCTCATTTTGTAAAGGACTTGGCTTTTTCAAATCCGAATTGGTAGCTAACTGGGAGTTTCCAGTTTTTAGAAAACAGAGCATATTCGGATTTCGAAAATCCGACTGTATCCAACTTTAGATTTCACGAATCCGTATTTAGCCGAAGAAGTGTTCCAAATTTTCAAAATCCGTATTTATTTGGTTCGAATTCCCATAATTTAAATTTAGCTAAAATTAATTTTCCAACACTTGTATTTTTTTTATTAAGTTAATGACAGACATTAAATTTAGCTAAAATATTAATTTCTGTCATTAACTTAATTTTTTTTAGTGTAATTAATATTTTATTATCATATTCGGATTTAGAAAATCCGTAGTATCATTAATTACACTAATTTTTATCATTAACTTAATATCATATTTACATTACACAAACTCAGATTTCGATAATCCGACTTTGAAAGGATTCGAATTTCAGAAATCCGAGTGCAACCCTGATTCGGATTTCAGAAATCCGTGGCATATAGTTTTGCCCACAAAATTTCTCGAAGATTTATTTTTATACAGGTCCTTAATGTGCAAGTATATTTAAGGAAAAAAAAACTCGGTGAAGCCCTGGCGGGAGTTGCAATTGCAAATTTTTTAGTTCATCGGGTGATTAAGGGAGAATCTGATTATTACACTCTTTAACTTCTAGACCGTATGAAAATAATACCTAATCGGTCCCTCGATCTTTTTAGTTTACTCCTTCAGTCCCATCTTAATACTTCACTTTGTTGTGTAACTTTTAGTTCGAAGAAAGTGCATTTATTTATTCCAACCCCCCAAAAAAAGACAGTAAACTTTAAAATAGGATGAATTAATAATTTTCACTTGTCCAATGGTATGACAAATACAAAAAAGGAAATTTTTTGTGTATATAAAAAATTATACTTGTTTTGGTTAAAAATTATAGCAGATCTTTCTGGTAAATATATAACTATTATGATTTTTTTTGGTATTTTAATTTTTATATTATAGTATACAAAATTATATTAAATGATAAAAGAATAAATTATGTAATGTTTAATTTGATAATACACACCAAGATTAATAAAAATGAATAAAAGTAAAACATCAATAATATAAACATAAAATTAAATAATTAGGAAGAGAAAGAAAATGTCTCGATAATTCAGTTCAGTAATAAGTGATCATAGCTATGTAACTTATTTTTATACTCACATTTATAGTAGTATTTCATATGCACTTAATTTATTAAGATATTTTACTTTTAGTTATCTAACACACTTAAAAAGTAATTACTTAATTTGTTAAGTTTTTAATCAATTAAGTTGCACAGAGATCACATTGTCAAATAGTTTGAATCGATTACGGGTTAAATACTTAATCAAATAAGTTTAAGTACTGAATGAGTTTATCAAACAAACCTTATCTAATTAGTTGGTTAGGGCTTAAGGATAATCATTATATGTGGCTTTCAACGCAATAGTTCTCTAAGTGTTTAGAGTTTGTCAATTGGCTCCAAAGCCCTTAATCTGGATTGAGGGGCATAATGATTTGCGCAGGAAAAAATTTGCAGAAAATTTTAATAAGATATAAATTATAATCGTTTATTTCTAGTAAATATGCTTTTTAAAATTTTCGTATACATACCACTCTAATCAAAATTATTATTATCAGTCTCTAATCCCAAAACTTAATTTTTCTTCGAGTCCGAAATGTATACTATTTTTCGGGCGGAGTAAAACAAAAGCCTTCAATACCACCTTTGATAACCCACATCATGTAATTACTTTGGACATTTTGATTTTTTGATACTTGGTTATTGTAAAAATTGACATTCTACTCAAAACTTTGAGATAGTTGTCAATGTTATTCGAAAATATTTTTATTAGTCAATTTTATTCGAACTGTTTGAATTTTTTTATCAAATTTATCCAATCACTGCAACTTCTATCCAATCTAACGTATCTCTGTAAGTTTTGTCAATAAAACAATAAATTTAATTTTAAAAACTATCATATAGTTTTGAAATTGTAAAAATAACCAAAAAAAAAGTCCTTCCCCCCCCCCCTTTTCTATTTTATTCCCTTTTTCTTTTACTATTTTCAAGGACCATAATACGTATACTTGTAAAGTATATATATATATGTATATATATATATATATAAACTGAAAGAAGAAAAAAAAATCAAGAATGAAAACTAAATTCTAGAAGAAGAAGAGAAATTGTACGGGAAATGATTAGGTAGTTTTTCTATGAGCTTGTGAATTACCATGGAGAGAAATGGCAAAATTCTTACCATTTTTAAAAGTTACATATGTAAATTTAGAATAAAAACCTTTTTACTATTTCTTTTAAGCTCAAAAATCATTCATTCACTAGGTGGATTTGTACGAGTATAAACCCATATTCAATTATTCTACTCTTATTATATGGTTTAATTATAATTGTTGAGATAGTTGTTGAAAGTTATGATAACTTAAATTAAAAGACTAAAATACAAAAATAAATGATTAAAAATTGGAGCCGCGCTCCGGTATTCTGATTGTGATTGTTAGTTAGTGTGTGTCTCAAAAAAGTTGCCAAACAATGAGACAAAAGAATTGAATCAAATTACATAGTTGTATAATAGTGTAAACAGACAGCGCTTGTCATAGGGTTCATTAAATTTTATGTAACATGTGCTTAAACATTTCTTCAAACGGCTAAGACGTAACTAAATCTTTTTCTATTTTTAATAAGAACATGAACTAACATATAAAATAAATAGAATTTAAAAGAGTTAGAGATAACCAATTGAATTTAAGAAAAAGGAAAACACAAAAAGAAAAGAAAAGAAAAGAAACAACCAATTGAATTAATTTATTTCCCTAGACTATTAATATTGAAAAGTTTGTTAGCATGGATAGTTTATAGCAAATACTATTTGAGACAAGTGTTAGCTAGCTTCATTAGTTTGTGAAGTTTTACTAACTAATCTCTTATAGAAAAAACAAACCTACACAGCCGATGCCGTAAGCACTGATGTCTTTCTCTTTTTGTCCCTTTAGGAGTAGGTATTACTTATTTTGATATAATGTTCATTTTAAATCCAACAATCATGTATTTGGCAAAAGACAGAAAGTGCTCCCAGCTAATTAGGAGTAGGTATTACTTATTTTGATTTAATGTTCATTTTAAATCCAACAATCACGTATTTGGCAAAAGACAAAAGTGCTCCCAACAATCATGTATTTTGATATAATGTTCATTTTAAATCCTTCCTCACCCTATTGTACTTGTATATATAACATGCCTCTTGCATTAATAGCGTAACCCAATAGAGTCGTACTTATTTGGTTTGCCCCTTGCAGCAAATTTAAACGTCCCTGTAAACATCTTTCAGGCAGAAAGTATGGTGACGGTGGAGGAGGTTCGCAGAGCCCAGAGGGCGGAAGGGCCGGCTACAATCATGGCAATTGGGACAGCCACGCCACCGAACTGTATTGAGCAAAGCACTTACCCGGACTATTATTTTCGGGTCACCAACAGCTCGCATATGACTCAACTTAAACAGAAATTTCAGCACCTATGTAAGCAGCCTTCTGTTGATTCGTCATTTCTTTCTACAACAAACTCTCTCTCTCTCTCTCTCGTTTAATCTCCCTCAGTCCCAACATGTCAATTACATTAGTAGATACTCATTTCTTCCCGAAATTATTGTCTAATTTAGATTTTTATTAACTAGACAATGGTTTCAGAACACAGGAAATACAACACACTTTTTATATATATGTGGAAATTTCAGGTGACAAATCAAGAATCAAGAAACGTTACATGTACTTAACGGAGGACACATTGAAGGAAAATCCCAACATGTGTGCTCCTGATGGCCCCTCGCTAAATGCTAGGCAAGAGATTCTGCTGGCTGAAGTGCCTAAACTTGGAGGACAAGCAGCTGAAAAAGCGCTTAAGGAATGGAGTCAGCCCAAGTCCAAGATAACCCATCTAGTTTTTTGTACCACAAGTGGTGTGGACATGCCCGGTGCTGACTACCAGCTCACTCAGCTTTTGGGCCTTAACCCCTCAGTTAAGCGGTACATGTCATACCAGCAAGGTTGCTTTGGTGGCGGAACAACTCTCCGGCTGGCCAAAGACTTGGCGGAGAACAATAAGGGCGCACGGGTCCTAGTTGTGTGCGCAGAGATGACTGTTGCGTGGTTTCGTGGCCCAAGTGTCAACGCCCACGTCGGTGGTCTTGTCGTGCAGGCCATTTTAGCAGACGGAGCAGCTGCAGTCATTGTTGGGTCGGACCCGGAGCCTGGTGTTGAGAGGTCTTGGTTTACATTAGTCTCCGCTGCCCAAACCATCATTCCTCAAAGTCATGGGGCGATTAAAGGATATCTCCGTGAAAATGGGTTGTCATTTAACCTCGTCAGGGATGTTCCTGACCTCGTCTCCAACAATATTCAAGAGATTTTGGAAGAAGCATTTGGGACTTTAGGCATTTCGGATTGGAACTCAATCTTTTGGATCATGCATCCAGGAGGGCCAGCTATCGTGGATAAAGTGGAGAACATGGTGGGTCTAAAACCTGACAAGTTACGTGCATCAAGACATGTGTTAAGTGAGTATGGAAACATGGGAAGCGCATGCGTGATGTTCATTCTTGATGAGATGAGGAAGGCTTCTGTTAAAAATGGATCCAAAACTACTGGAGAAGGTCTGGAATGGGGTGTGCTCTTTGGATTTGGGCCTGGCGTCACAGCCGAAACCATTGTGCTTCATAGCGTATCCATCTAAGTGCATTTCTCTCTAATCAATTACGTGATCATCGAATAAAGTAAGACCCGTCGTTCGCTCGGGGTTTCAATATTGTCCCTTATTGGCAGTGTTGTTAGGCTTTGACCGGAGCTCGACTCGGCAGGGGTAAGGGGTCGAGCGAATCGGGAGTCGATTCGGATGATATCATAATGACGTAATAAATATTAATTAATTAATAATTATATTTTTATAAGAATATATATAATTTTATTTACATTTTTGTTAATTATTAGAGTTAAATTAATACTTCATAATTTCTAAATAGGCTTTAATATGCCAAAATTTAACTCGGGAGGTCTACTAGGATGATGTCAATATTTTCAAAAAAAAAAAAAAAAATTAAAAACAATAAAATGACAAAAATACTCGTAAACCCAAAAGCATGTGAAAAATGGATTTCCGTCATTATTTAACGTCCAAAATTAGCAGAATGATTTTGGATGAATTTTTTGCTTAGTATGGTGACGTGTTTTATGAATAAATTTGATTGATGACATATATACGAATAAATTTGATTGATGAGATGTATTGGCATTACCATATATATATATATATATATATAGAGAGAGAGAGAGAGAGAGAGAGACACATACACATTTGATATCACTATTGAGTTCACTTGGAGATTTGGAATAGTGCTGATTATTAACTGAGATTCATACAAGGCTATCATTAATAAATTTTTCTTTATCATTGTTGTTATTTTTGCAAATAAATTCACATTTTATTAATTAGAGTTCATAGGCCATTAATTATATGTTTTTTAAGTCGAACAAGTTTACCAAATATTGAGTTGTATAAACAATTCTATAAATCTATTTTTGGTAACAGCTAATCATGAAGTTGTGTTGGTTTGTAATTATTAAATTTTAATCTGCTAATAGTTTATGGTTACTTTTACATTGATTAAACTTTTTTGAAAATAGAAGTCTTCAAAACTATCAGGTGTTAAAGAATAGATTTATGGTTCTACCATTTTTTAAACGATACATTGTAATCAAACGCATATCAATTCTCATATACCATTTCATTCATTTATTGTTTATCTTCAAGAATGAATAAAAACTCGAAGTACGATAGTTCATTATGATCTAAAGAAGAGAACAAGACATTTGAAAATGCATTTGCAACTTAGTCTAGCAATACAAATATGCTAGTGAAGATTGTTGTTGCAGTTTATAGAAAAACAATTACATAAGTCAAATCGTATCTTGATATTTTAATGTCAGATATAACTGCAATTGAATCTGGTCATGTGCCATTTTTGGATTATGATGAGTCTATTCATAAAGGAGAAGGTCTAGCCTAATGTCAGAAGAATCAAAGTAGAGCTAAACCTTGGATGGAAGATAAGAACAAGTGTGCTTTGTTTATCATTTGAACTTTATATAAATGTGTGTTATATATATATATATATTTTTCTAAAAAATGTTTTAGTTGTTTTGTTGACTATCGGTTGCCTGATATTGCATTATTTATCCATTTTATTTTTCTCAATATTACCACAAGCAGTGCTAGCAACATCTTAGTAAAAATGACACTTTTGTAAAATATTAATTTTGAAATTCATTGCACCGCTTGTATCAGAAGAAGTAAATAACACGTCAGATACGAGACAAAATATATTTCGGCGTAAAATCAGATTCTCTTTCTCTTTTCAAAGAAAAGAAGAGAATTTGCGATAGAAGACTCTGCCCCTGAAAGTTCTAATCCTTAATCTCATCTGGGCCACTTTTATTTCTCTTCAGCAAATTTTATAATTTATTTTCTATAGTTTTTCATTAAATTTCTGAGACCTCCCAATACTAATACCCCAGTACTCCACAATTTACCATAATTCAGAATTCCAATTCCTCCAAATGATAGTTTAGGGTTTTGAGTGTGATTGTCAATTCGTCTCTCGCATATGATTTCTTTTCATGTTCATCTCTAAATGGTGTTTCACGTAACAATTAAGGTTGATGCTTCAATTTTCTGTATTTAAGGTATGTTTTGTTTATAAAGTGTTTTGAGGTGTGAGATATGAAAGTTGAATTTGGTTGGAGTTTTTTTTTTTTTTTTCAGGCTATCATTATTAAATTTCTCTTTATCCTTGTTGTTGTTATTTTTGCATATAAATTTATATTTTATTTATTAGAGTTTAGATAGTATTAATAAGATTTTTTTTAGTTTGAACAATTTTACTAAATATCGAGTTCTATAAAAGATTCTGGAAATCTACTTTTGGTAACTGCTAATCATGATACTACATCAGTTTCTGGTTATTGAATTTCAATCTGTCAACCAATATTGTAAAAATTGGAACATTTTAACCGAGAAACGGTTGCATTGTCAGTCCAATTATGCTCGCTGCTTAAAAACTGGTCAAAACTCGGTCAGACTCGCAATTCGACCGGGATCCAGACTGAACATGTTGACCCCGTTTTGTTCCTCTTTCTTTTTTATCGACTTTTTTTTTTAAAAAAAATTCATTGTAGCCCATTTTCTTTACTTTCTTGCTAAATTGACTCCTAATTTAAGTTTTATAGTTTTTTGAGATCCTCATTTTGATCTTTTTCAATAATTATCAAAATCATAATATAAAATACATTATTTTTTTGAATAATATTACCTTAAAATTAATTAAATTAAATATTACAACTCTAAAAATATTTATTTAAGTTAATTTTAATCTTATCATACCTTTAATTGTTATTTTTTTTTTAAAAAAGCATAAAAAGTAATATTTTAATACTAATAACTTTAGATTCCACATATTTTATATATTGTAAATTTAAAAAGTATATATGACGTCAGACCGATCTTATCCGATTTTTTGTCCCAGTCGAACGGGGTTGACCCAGTTACCCGCTAACTTCACTGATTCGTCTCCCGATGCGGGTTTGATAACATTTTACCAACAGTCTACAGTTTTTTTTTTTCACTTTTATCGAACTCTTTTGAAAATAGAAATCTTTAAAACTATTAGGTGTCACATTGTTTTAAACTTCATGCTGTGATTGTTTCGAACACATCTCCACTTTCATATACCATTTCATGCATTTCTTGTTTGTAGATGATATCCTCAAAAATGAGTGAAAAATCGAAGTACTGTAGTTCATCCTGGTCTAAAGAAGAGAACAAGATGTTTGAAAATGCCTTCGCTTCTCATTCAAGCGATACAAGTATGTTAGTGAAGGTTGCAGCTGCAGTTCCTAGAAAAACAATTGCAGAAGTTAAATCGCATCTTGATGCCTTAATTTTAGATATAGCTGCAATTGAATCCGGTGACGTGCCAGTACCGAATTATACTAAATCTAGTCATAGAGAAAAAGGTCTGTCCCAGTGTCATAAGAATAAAAAAGGAGCACAACCTTGGACGGACGATGAGCATAGGTGCGTTTTGTTTATGTCTGATTTTTATATAAATGTGTGCTATAATTTTTTTGAAGTCATTTTCTAGTTGTTTTATTGACTAACAATTCCATGTATTACATTCTTTATCTTTTTTATTTCTGTCAATATTACCATAGGCGGTGCAAGTAACATTTAATTAAGAGAAAGGATACTTTTTCAAAATATTATTTTTAAAATTTATTGTATAACAGAAAAAGTAATAAATTTAATAACATTTAGTGAATATTTTATTACTAAAAAATTTTCAATCTTTCAATTTTTTTAAAAATAAATTGCTAAATTCCATTATATTTTTTTCCCTTAATTTAAATTTGATCATGTTTATAATAGTTAAACTTCAAAAGTTGTTAGTATAACAACCAGGAATTACTTATTTCTCTATCGAACACATTTTACACCCCTTGTATATTTCTCGTGCAACTCACGGAGTAACACTAGTATTCATTTTAATAAATAAGTGAAGGTTCTTGCCCTTCTTAATGTAATTTAAAATTTTTCCTCTCTAACGCTCGCCAATTTTTTCTCTGTATAGCTTCAACATTTCTCAAAAGTGTGTTTGGATCATCATAATCATTCAAAAAAAATGAAAAATAACATTTTCTTACATAATTGATTTTCTGTTTTTCCTTTTGTTTTCCTGTGTAATATAGGTTGTTTCTACAAGGTTTGGAAGAGTATGGGAAAGGGGATTGGAAGAGCATTTCCAGGCACTATGTCCAGTCCAGAACCCCAACACAGGTGGCTAATCATGCACAGAAATTCCTGAAAAGGTCAAAGTCAACGCGAAAGTCAATGCCAAGAGCCCATAGCGTAATGGGCTCAAATAATGAAGAACCGGTAGTCATTGGACAGTCATCTGGAACTAGACCAAACGTAACAGCTTCTCAGGCTCATGGGCCTGTTGTGGTGGTGGAAGAGAAAAATGAAGCAGAGAAATTCGAAGAATATATGAAAAAGTACCACAATCTTCCCGACTTTGAGATTTACGATCAAGAATTGCTACCCGAGGTAGAGTTTAATAGTACTGAGTTTGATAGCCTCGATTCGGCCCCGAAATTGTTCCCGGATACCAGTTTGTTGAAGATCCGGTCGAGCTTACTGCCGAAGAGATTTTCAGAACTCCGTTGGTCGATAATTTTATCGATTCCTTGTTTGTCAAGCCTCCACAAGTCGACGCTCCTCCAAGTGCTCCTCCTGCATGCTCCTCCGCAGCAGCTCAAGTCCCTGGGAATCCTGTCCCTTAAGGCCTTAAAGGTCGTCGTCAGACAACTGAAGAATGTGTAAAGGAGAGCCTCTTGTGCTTTGTTTTCTTATTATGTAATCAATTTGTCTAGGATTTGAATTTTCGTGTTTTTTTTTCTTGAACCGTATATTATTCTGTTGTATGTATTGTGGCATGATGATTTTTATTAATTGACTTTGATTTTATTTCTTATTTTAATTTTCTGGTTCTATAATTGTCACATACATGTTGAGAGAAATTGTTTTTTAATTTTTTTTCTAGAAACGGAGTTTCAAAATTCAAATCTTTACAATGAATTTATCATCATAAGACGTGCAAATGCATTTTTCCTTGTTCTTTCAAACCCAAAAAGAGATCACGAATGATGATGGTTGCGGTTATTGGCGGAACCCTTAATAGGCACCGGCGGATCTTCCAAACTACCGGAAAAATTCTTGATATTAACATCATTTAGAACTCCCTCTCATTTTAGTTCTTTCCCCTAAAGATGTACTTATCCACAGTGCACTCATACCATTTGATTTTAATAAGAAAAGGCTAAAATTTAAAAGTAACAATGGGCTTCCTTCTTTTGTAACTTATAGCCCACGTTTTCTTTAGAAATTTCTCCAAATCATCTGACAACCTTAATTATTCGTAAATATCCATTTGGAAAGATACTTTAGTGAGTAAAAATAATTTCAGATCATTTATCATAGAAATTTTATTTCATATTATTCATTTCCTTCGTATCTTGGAACTCCTCAATAGAGTTAGAGATTTAATTCCCCCTACTAGTTAGGATATACAAGCCTGACTCTGATTTTTCTAAATTAAAACATGTGATGTGATGAAGGCGAAATTTGACACTATACAATTTAACGTGTATATTGAAAGGGGTCGGGCTAGAGAAAACTTGTGACTCGAGCAAAAAATAGAAATTGAAGATGAAAAATGATGGCTGAAAAACACTTCTTCTAATATTAATTCCTGGCTTAACTTTACAGCTTTCTATCACCAACTATTTATAACAAACTAGTGCTTTACATGTGAAATTGAAGACAAAAATATGATGGCTGAAAAACACTTCTTCTTATATTAATTCACGGCTTAATTTTACAGTTTTCTATCACCAACTACTAGTATGTCAATGTTGAAAATTTATCTTCTAAAAGAATTAATTAGATAATGTAGTTATTAATATTTCTTAAAACCATAAAACTTTTTTGATTAATCAATTTTAGATCAAAATGAGAGGTATTAATATTATTTATAAGATGTATATTTGTAAGATCTGGCCAGAAATTAATATTTCTTAAAACCGTAAAACTTTTTTGATTAATCAATTTTAGATCAAAATGAGAGGTATTAATATTATTTATAAAATGTATATTTGTAAGATCTGGCCAGAAATATTACAACAAAAATTTTGAAAAGTTGTATAATAAAAATTGTTACCGTTAACTAATGTTATGTTTGGATTAAAAAATATATTAAAAAATGGGTAAATTATGTCTAGATGCTTATAGCTTATTTATAGGCAAGGGGACTTTGGGATTAGACACAATTAATCGTCCTTAAAAATATAAAATCGATAAAATTGAAGACAAAGTAGCACATAAATAGAACTTTAAGGGCTAAAATGATAATAAGTTAAAAGTGATGTTTAATGGTCTCAATTAGCGACACATGTCGATTATCTTTTTTCCTTTAATATATATAATGATTTATAAAAAACTAGTACTTTACATGTTGCGCGCGCGACAAGTGTTTTTTTTTAATCATTTAACTTTATTTTCATTCGAGAAGATAAATTACAAGTAATAATTTATCTTAAACCCTAAACCGACACGGAAATGCATAATTGGTTTTAAAAAATTTACAAATTAATCGTTTTACGGTAAAAATTAGACCCTAACCGATACAGAAATGCTTACACCTCCCTAAACTCTAAACCCTAAACCCTAAACCCTAAACCGACATGGAAATGCATATTTTTAAATTTTTTTATTTTGGTTTAAGTTTTTTAAAACCAATTAATCCTAGCCTAATTAGTTTTAAAAAATTTACAAGTTAATCGTTTCCTGCCGCAAACTAATCCCTAACCTATAATTGAAATGCTTAAACATCCCCTAAACCCTAAACCCTAAACCGACATGGAGATGAATTTTTAAAAGTTTTAATTTAGTTGAATTTTTTTTTAAACTGATTAGGTTAGGGTCTAATTGGTTTTAAAAAATTTACAAGTTAATCGTTTCCCGGCGCAAACTAGTCCCTAACCTATAATTGAAATGCTTAAACCCCCAAGCCCTAAATAACTAAACCGACACCAAGATGAATTTTTTTAAATTTCTTTTTAAAAAAATTTGGTTGAAATTTTTTTAAAACCGATTAGGCTAGGGTCTCGTTAGCCTAATTGGTTTAAAAAAATTTATAAGTTAATTGATTTACATCTACTATCATCTTGATAACAATTAAAAAACACACCAAAATTTTGCACAATTTGGTATCAAAATAAAAATTCAATAAATATTTTCTGTTGTGCACTGAACAACGTACAATACACATCCTATAAAACTGTAATGTTCATCCTAAACTCAAACATCTTTCATTAGGAAAAAAATATTATATAAATATGATATCTCATCTTTCTAACTACAATGTTCAGTTCAATGAAGTGAATGCTCATCATGCGAAACTGTAAAGTTCATCTTATGACTGAAGTTCACTGCAAAACGGATAAAGTTCATCTCAGAAAATGTGATGTGCATCCTGTACTACCTGATGCATCCTGTACTACCTGATGCTCATCCTGTAAAATTATGATGTGCATTGTGGCCTGCATTTTCTGTTAGTCACAGGAAAAAAAGAAAAAACAACGTATAATAACAGAATAACATAAAAAATAACTATTGTTTACATACCCACGATAAATGTTGATAAAACAAATTGTTCAAAAAAAATCAAAAGTATATATTATTTACAGACCAATAATTAAAAAAAAAACGTTCATAATTTTGTCATATAAAAAAATGTAAATCATGGGTTTTGGGGAGCCAAGTTCTGGGGAGGCGCGGGTGGACTGACATTCTGGCAAGGCACGGGTGCAGCGACATCCTGGGAGGGTCCAACAACATCTTGGCCAACATGTATTCGAAGCATTGTTTGGTATGCATTTTCTTGGCGAGCAATATCTATTGCAAGGAAATTAAGGTCACGTTCCAAGAACTTCCTTTCATCCCGATGCAATTGACGCAAATAGCCCGCCTTGCCGGATTATCCTAATTAGACAAAGATCAACAATTTGAATGAAATTAGTTCGAAACTCCTTTGTTTATACTTGAATATAAACATGTGGAGTATAGTAATATCAAAAAACACAAACTGTACTAAGTACTAACCCTATCGGGGTATTCCTGATTCAGTCTCATTCTTATGTTGCTCGAATCCCTCAGAAATTGATCTGTTCTTTCCACCATCATTCTTAGATAATTATTCCTTGCTTGTATCTGTGCTACATAAAAAGAAAAAAATAACAAATCAATCACATTTAAGTTGAAAAATGATTTTAAAAGATAGAATACAAAGAAGCAAAAAGAAGGGCATATCGTTGTTCCTTTGAAGCATCCTTTCGTATGTGGTGGAAGAAGACATATTTTTGCCGAACAACAGAAAGCTAGAAATGATAGGAATTCCAAGTGTGGTAGAATTGTTGGATGATCTCGTTTTTTATAGATGAATTCTGTGAATGAAACTGTTGATTTTGTTCTTGCCCTTGACTATTCCACTTCTATGGATAATGAATGTACATTAGGAACTTCTGATGGTTGTTTATTTAACAGGCACATAGATCCCTTAGAATTCAGATTGGTTCTTGTTTATTATACATGTGTCTTTTCGTTTAATAACTGTCAGGAGCAGTTTAAGGGGCAATGATTAATTGCCAGAAGCAGTTATAATTAAACAAAGCTGCTGTAAACAGTCATTGCTCATTTCCATGGTTTCATTGTTCACCCTGCAAAACTGAACTAAAAAACTCCAAATGTTCATCTCACAAAACAACAATGTCCATCCTGAAAAATTGAACTAAAAAACAATGTTCATTTCAGAAAGAAGTTCATTTCACAAAACAACAATGTTCATTTCAGAAAGAAATTCATTTCAACTCCACAACAACAATTATTCTAATATGTCAAAATGTTCGTTCACAAGGAGCAAATGTCCATTTACAGGCTGCCATTGTTTATCCTGCAAAACAGACAATGTGCATGGTGGTTCACAGGAACTCCAGATATGGACGCGGCTCGCTTCGGGTGGCATCACTAAAACTTGAGACTGTTGCTTGCAATGGTTGAGTTGGACAAACTGGATGCACAAAATTTTCCACAACTTCAGGATTCGTATTGAGGCCATGAGAAAATGGGACTGTGGATAAAAATGGGAAGAGACGGTGAAGGCATGCAGGAAGGGATGGCCGATTTGTTGTTTGGTGGCTTATTGGGTGCCGGGGAAGGGATTTTCGTAGGAGGAAGAAGAAACGGGTCTGCATAGTTATTGATGTTGTAGAAAGTAAATTACAAAGGAGCCCCCAAACGGTGTCGTTTTTGGAGGGAAATTATGCAAGGGAAAAATTACCGTAGAAGGTAAATCACATGGGGAGGGAATTCTACAACAAGGAAAAAGCCAATAATTGTATATGAGTTTGTAATTACGAATATATCCCTATTAAAAAAAAGACCATCCAGCCAATCAGATTTGAGGCTTTGTTTGGCCAACCTTCCATTTTGTATTTTGTCTCATTTTACATCTTAAACACAAAACCCAATGGAAAAGAAAACATCATCCAAACAACTTTTTGATTTACATTTTAAATTCCAACTTGAAACACTTTTTGTTAGTGTAATGAACATTTTAGAACTACAAATAGTTCAGTGACAAATTTGGCAGGATTCCGTTGTTGAGTGATTGTTTTTGGAAAAGTTCTTTTTTGCAGTGACTATAATTGACATTATTTAATTGTTTAGTGATGACTTGTACTTGATATTTCAAAATGTAGTTCAAA